TTTCTGCTCTAGATTAGGTTAATGAAAAAGGTCGACGCTATGCAGTGTACAATTAGGCACCCGAGTCATTAAAAGAAATGGAATAATTTTATCTCAAGCCATATACCGGTAGCGAAATTAATTAAATGTAACAACGGTACGTCATAGATGAGAAGTTTTAGGTCTATCTTCGGCTCTCAGCCTGAGACTCGGGTCGGCTGTACTTATGAATAGTCTTAATAAATTTGCTAAACGGACGATCAAGCTTTGTTGCAAATTGAAAATTAATTCTATCGATGTAATGTCTTCATAAAAACATAACGAAAAAGTTTTCAGCTAATCTCATATTTCATATAAATTTCCACGCTAAAGAAAGAAATAGCTGTGGTCTGATTGAAGATCGTGAGAGTTATCTTCCCAATTAAGGTCAAGGTCGATAAACACGGAAGTGACGTCTTGACGACCATTGTTGTGCTTGACAACTTCAATTCATTTACATTTTCATGCAAACATTTCTGTAATTAAAAGGCTTTTAATGAAATCTTTGTAACTTTCTGGACATTGGGAATATAATTTGTTAAGATGGCGACCGTAATGCATGGTAGAAGAAGGGGAACCACCCGTGGTAAGTATTTAAATGTTTAAGAATAAAAAATATTTGAACTCTCAAAAATGTCAATACGATGCAGAATTTATATGTTCATAGATTTAGGCCTAGGCCGAGTTTTGTTTACATCATTCCCTCATTTTTAAATTACTATTGTCTGGGCAAAGTAACAATTTTTTAGAATGTTTTCTATTATTTGTCTGAAAATTGACCTCTGTAAATACAAATTTTGAAGACATAATGTGTGCTTATGTTTATATTTTCATCAACACAAAGACAATCTAAGACTAACAGTACTATTTTCAGGCTGCTTTCCAATTCTCATAAAAATAATAGAAAAATTCAAAAACTTTTTACTTTACTTAAACAATAAGTACCGTACCATGATCAAGTAACTAATGTCAAGATCACCCAAAAAAATTTCATGTGCACATCAATTTTTGACCCATACAATATAGTACCTTGATACAAGCTCCTTTTTGGCTTATCTCTTGTCAAATTCGAGAATGAGATTGATAATAAGTAAATCTAAAAAATATTATATTCCAGCAACACCACCTCGTCCACCTATTGAAATGGAACCACCCAGCATGCAGCTAGCTGACGGTACCGATCTACGTCAAGTCAAAGTTTTAACTAAAACTGATTGGTCTAGAATTCACGATCAGTTAAACAGACGAAATATTGAAGAAGAAAAATTACAGAGGATTAAGGAAGAGAAAGAAGCTCAGAGACAGAAATCTAAAGATATTGTTAAAAACTGGGGAAACACCATTGTTGTAAGTAAAAATAAAAATGTTTTGTTGATGTAAATTGGTCATGTCAGTCTTAAAGGGACAGGTGCACCATTTTCAGGGGTTGCTTTAGGTCTTTAATAAATGTAAATAGTCTTCAGAAGTACTAGAAATGTATGAAAATGTGCATTATTCCTTCAATATTATCTCAAACTAGGAATTTCATTTTCCTATATTGATGTCTTCTGAATCTCTAGAGTTGGTATTATGGACATTAAAACCTGTTTGTTTTTACTAGCTTTTATATTTAATATAGCCACTTCAGTTAGGGTCTTAAGATGGCTTTCTAGAACATTCGTCTGTTCAATGACACCGCCAGCCAATCAAATTCATGCCCTCTTCAACGCTTGGATTTTATTAGATAGTGAATGTAACTTTTGTTTGCGTCACAAAATGCCAGTGTTGAAGAGGACATGAATTTGATTGGCTGGCCGTTTGAGAAGGCCGTTTTAAGACCCTAACTGAAGTGGCTATATTAAGAATAAAAGCTTAAAAAAAAAACGGAACGAAATTTTGGTATAATTATGATGAGACTGATTGGAAACTGATGAATAAGCTTATATTTTCTTATTGACCAAGTTTGAGAATTTTAATTTTAAGAAGTAGCATTCCTTTTAATAATTGAAGCTTTTTATTTGATGGTAGGGTCAGAGACAGCGTAAGTTAGAAGCTAGGAAGATCAGAGAAGCTAAAGAAGAAGAAGAAAGAGTAGCTATAGATATAGAAGAAGCTAAATACCAAGCAACCCAGCGTAAAGAAGCTATAGAAAAAGCTAAAACACAACAATATTATCAAACTGATAGAGTCAAAGCCTTCCACGTGAGTTGATTTTTTTCATAATTCAACCATTTGCCAGAGGTGGAGTCAAAAGGGGAGGGGGGTAGGGGAAATCGGGTGAAAATCTCATAACTCTGTTAGAAATTGGGGCAATCTCAGCAGATATTTCGCATCCCCCCCCCCCCCTTGGATATACACCTGGCTCCGCTGCTACCACTTGCAATCTGATCAAAATTAATAGATTATAATTTTGTATCTTTTTTAGTTTTTTGATATATTTACATTGTAATCTAAATAGTTAATTTACACTTGATGATTCTACATGAAATTAAAACATAGAACAACAAGGGAGGGCAACAAGAGAGCGGGTTTCAATTAAAGGGACATTCTGCTTTTTTTATAGGTCGAAAAATTTTGTTGATCAAATTTGTGAAAACTATAAACCAATATCTATAGAATTGTATCCCATAACCTATCTAAAAGTTTTAAGTAAAAAAATCTAGCTGTTAATTTTACGTAACATTTTAAAGTTCGTTATTCTTTTTGAAAGCTGTAAGAAAACTACTGTATAAAGCCAATCACTGTAACTAGGTCAAACTGCTTAATTAACACTTAGTACTCTCTGTTTTTAATTAACCCTTTTAAAACAAATTCAGTTTGATCCAGTAGATACATAGATATAAATAACATACTTTAGAAATATTTTCAGGTATAATTTAAGATGCTTTTGATAATGAAAATGTTTTACAAAAAAAGGGGGATGTCCCTTTAACCAAGTTTTTATATGCCCACATCTCTCTATGTGGACGTATATTGTCGACGCCCCTGTCCGTCGGTCCGTCCGTCAACATTTGCTTGTAAACGCTCTAAAAACTAGATTTTTTCATGGAATCAAATGAAATTAGGTATGTGTATACATATTCATAAAACAAAGATCAAGGTCAAATTTGAGCTATTTTCGACCGTTAGAGGTATTGCCATATTGAATATTTACCATCCGCATGCCGTGGTGGGCGTATATGGCTGTGGTCCACTATCTTTAACACAGCATTTAAAAATAATGTTTTTTTTTATGCAGGAACCCTGATTAAGGGGAGATAACACATTCTGTGTTATGAAGTAGGGGTGCCCACAACCTGCCTTTTTGAGAAAATTTTCATGTATCGACGATCTCTACCACTTCAAATTTTATGAATAATTTCAATTTCAGGGAGCACTTTTGTTAACAGAAGTTTTAAAAGAAAGAGAAGCACAGATTGAATTAAAGAAGGTTAAGAAACAAGCTATAGCTGGGAAAGATGAAGATTGGTTAAGATTGGCCCAACAAGAATATGAGGAGGGAATACGACGAGATCAGGAGAAGGCAGCCACTAGAATAAAAAACACTCTAGAAACTAGAAGCTTTCAGCAACTACAGTAAGTTTTATTCTTTTTCATTCTTATTCATTAGGAGAGGGCAGTAGGCGTGCCAGCCTCCTGAGACTGGTTGTACAAATAGGATGCAGACTAGGGCTGCTATGATTCACTGATAAAATGATGAACCGCGATTGTTTCAGTCTTATCGACGCATTGCATTGGATAAAAATAAACATGAAATGGGGACGTATATTGCTGTCACCCATGTCGGTCCATCGGTTCGTCCATCCGTCCACAATTGCTCATAAACACTCTTGAAGGCACAATTCTTGACTGATTTTGACGAAACTTGATATTGGTGTTAGTAATCACCCAAGGATGAACCCTATTGAAAATCAGAAAAATGGAAAAATAATTAGTATGAGTTATTGGCCTTGTTCTTGAAAACGCGTTCAATTTGTAGCACGTAAACACTCTAGTAGGCCCAATTCTTGACAGATTTTGGTAATATTATTTAGTATCGCCTCAAAAAATTCAGAAGAAGTGTATATCTGAAGGTTGAATATTTCATACTGGTAATTGTTACTGTACTGCTAGATATTTTTATTTAAAATCAAAGCTGCCAGTGGGCGTGTATTACCTTGCCTGGCAAGCTATCTTTTGTTATATGTTATGCTCTCAGCTTCTAAATGTTATGATTGTGTTATTTCCCTATTCTAGAGTTAATGAACACGAGAGATTGAAAGCTCTTGATGTACAAGAAGATATTATTGAAGGTGAAGAACTAAAGAAACTGGGTATGAAATATCATTTGGAGAAAGAACAGCTAGAGAAAGTAATGAAAGAAGAACAGAATCAACTGATGTTAGACAATCTCCAACAGATACAGGATTTACAAGTTTTGAAAAAAATTCAACAACAACAGGAAGATGTGAGTACGAGTTATTTTTTGTTCATCATGACAGGAGCAATTTTCATGGTTCAAATTACTACCTCAAAAAAGAAAACTATATTTTTCAAGGATAACAACTTAAGATCTTTTCTGCTAGCTGGTCATTGGCCAAACCTCTTGGCATTGATATTTCCTGGATTAGCTGTACCCATGTACAGCTGGGTTGACTGGATTTATGAGTGAAGATGACTTATTCAAGGTCATCAGACTTTCACATGCTGATCGAACCCACAGTCGCCATTTGCTCGACGTAATTATGCAAATGAGGTTATGTAAGTTAACGCTGTAACCAACTGTGCTATAGAACCTCATCTCATGTAAAGCTATTTGGATAAAGTGAACTATGCTCCCATCTAATAATTGATGTAAAGAAACGTGGGTTGAATTACGATGACCTCTATCTTATGCAAACCACTGGTCATCTGTCTGGTGATTAGGTTTCATTGGTTTTAATTCCCTCAAATAATGAAAATTTTTTATATTCACGAATCCACAAGAACAGCTTTGGCTCCGCCCACATAGGTACACCTAATCACCACAAACAACCACAATCCCTCCAATCTTTTTGGGGGAGCCACGGTGGCTCAATGAGTTAGACGCTTGCTTGCTAACCTAAAGGTCCAGGGTTCAATCCTGGCATAGGTCGAGAAAATACCTTTGGATTTTTCAACCCGGTTTCCCCCTGTCAGTGATGCAGGTACGAGGGCCTGACATGGAAAAGCGTCTAGTCGTTCGGATGGGACAATAAACCGAGGCCTCGTGTGCTACAGGCTGTGCACGTTAAGGATCCCTCGACAGTTGGAAATCGAAAAAAGAGCAGGCTAATGCCGCTGTCCTGGCAAAATTTCCCTCATTGCACCCCGCATGGCGTGGCCCGTCTTCATTAGCCCACATGATACAGAAAAGTAGGACGTAAAACTCCATTCATTTCATTTCATTTCCAATCTTTCGTTTGCATTACAAGTACCCCATGCACACTTCTGTACAATTTTGTCAGAAACACACGAGTCGTTAAAAATGAAATTTCATTTATGACACGCTTTGTGGCTTGGTGGCAGCTGATTTTACAGGGATTGGTCAATATTCAGCTGTCAATCATTCTGGCAGATCTGTTAATGGTGTTTGAGAGCTGACTCAATTCAAAGACAAGAATTAAAAAGTTTGTTATAATTTATAGGAAGAAGATGATGAATGTCGAGTATTTGCCGCAGCTAAAAGAAAAATGATGAAATTACGGGCAGAAAGGGAAAACAATATTCACATGTAAGTCATGTTCTTTATTTTTTTTTTACACCACTTAAACTAAGGCCCTGTATGCTACATGCTGTGCCACTTAAGGGAGAGATTCGCCATCCATTTGACCAAACATACCTTAGTCTCAGAAACAGGAATTTTTAGCTAAGCTATTCAGTAATAGTGTTCACAGCTGATTGTCAAAATTTGAGACTTCAAATCCATGTGTGTCCAGAATTATCTGCATTTGAAAGTTAAAATGACAATGTCTTTTCTTGAGACTCTACCATATATAGAAAAGACATAAAGTATAGAAATAGCAAGTGAAATTCCTAGTTTGAGGTATTTATGAAGGAATAACACAACTTTTGTACATTTCTCGTACTTCTGAAGACTTTGTACATATATACAAGACCTAAAGCAACCCCTGAAAATGGTGCACCTGTCCCTTTAAGACTGACATGACCAATTTACATCAACAAAACATTTTTATTTTTACTTACAACAATGGTGTTTCCCCAGTTTTTAACAATATCTTTAGATTTCTGTCTCTGAGCTTCTTTCTCTTCCTTAATCCTGTGTAATTTTTCTTCTTCAATATTTCGTCTGTTTAACTGATCGTGAATTCTAGACCAATCAGTTTTAGTCAAGACCTAAAGCAACCAATGAAAATGATGAACACTCCCCTTAATCGTTGGAAATCAAAAATAAATTATGCCAGTTCAAGCTTAAGATAATTATTATGTGATAATTTTTCAAAAGCTCATTTTGAAGTTTAAAAAAAACCCCAAAATTCTATTGCCATTCCCTGTCTATGTTATTTCCTTTCATTTCGCTCATTTTGTTTCAGAGAAAAACAAGCTCACCTGGAGAAAATCCGAGATAAATTACGAGCTCAAATTAAAGAAAAAGTCGACAACGAGGATGAAAGAATTTTACGAGCTGAAAAAGAAATCGAAGAGAAGAAAATAAAGGAAGATGAAGAGCGAGCTATTAAAGTTAAAAAAATGATTCAAGAATCAGCAGAACACAGACAGAAAAAGGTAAAGTTCTTTTACAGAGTTCACATGCAATTTAGATATCTTTAGAGGGGAGTCGACTGAAAAGTTCATAGGCTGACTCACTGGCACTCTTTGAAGCAGATGTAGCCAGTTTCTTTGAATGCTTCTTCACCCCAGATGAGTGTTAGATCCAGCACTTCGAGCTGTTGATGAGCCCCCCTGCTAAGCTAATCGTTAATAGTGTTCACAGCTCACTGTAAAAATTTGAACCTTCAAATCCATGCCACGTATTCTCAAAACGATCTTAGCGCTAGGTTCTAATCTTCTAACATGGATAGGACATCCTACCTAGAGCTAAGATTGTTTCGAGAATATGTGGCCATGTGTATCCAGAATTATATGCGTTGAAAGTTAAAATGATGACTCGTCTTTTCTGGAGAAACTGCCATATATAGAAAAGACATATATAGAAAGTAAACTTCCTAGTTTGAGATATATTTACAGGAATTAAGCGATTTTCATACATTTCTAGTACTCCTGAAGTCTATGTAAAAATGTATTAAAGACCCAAATCAACCTCTGAAAATGGCAAATTTGTCCCTTTTAAAACATTGTTTCTGTGTTTTTACTAGGTTCTTGCTGATGAAATAAAGAGGAAGACAGAGAAGAAGAAAGATCTAGAGTTAATGGCTATACGTAAAGAAGCTGATGAGATTTTCCACCAGAATGAACTGGAAAAAGAAAGAGTGAGGCAGGAAAACACTTTAAAATTAAAATCTTTCCATGATAAACAAAAGGTAAGCACAAATATTATTTGATTATTTATGCCGAACAGTCAGACATCAGTGTCATTCTGACATTATTGGATGACAGTGTCATTTGGACATTCAGACATCAGTGTCATTCAGTGTCATTTGGACAGTCAGACAACAGCATCATTCAGTGTCCTTTGGACATCAGTGTCATTCAGACTGTGGACAACAGTGTCATTTGGACAGTCAGACATCAGTGTCATTTGGACAGTCAGACATCAGTGTCATTTGGACCTCAGTGTTATTTTGACAGTCAGACATCAGTGTCATTCAGACCTCAATGTCATTTGGACATTCAGACATCAGTCGACAACGGTGTCATTTGGACAGTCAGACCTTAGTGTTATTTGGACATTCAGACATCAGTGTCATTCGGACATCAGTGTCATTCTGACATCAGTGGACGTCAGTGTCATTTGGATATTCAGATATCAGTGACATTCAGACATCAGTGTCATTCGGACATCAGTGTCATTTAGAAGGTATCAATGTCATTCAGACATCACTGTCATTTAAAAGGTATCAGTGTCATTTAGACATCAGTGTCATTTAGAAGACATCAGTGTCATTCGGACATCAGTGTCATTTAGAAGGTATTAGTGTCATTTAGACATCACTGTCATTTAGAAGGTATCAGTGTCATTTAGACATCAGTGTCATTTAGACATCAGTGTCATTTAGACATCAGTGTCATTTAGAAGGCATCAGTGTCATTTAGACATCACTGTCATTTAGAAGGTATCAGTGTCATTTAGACATCGGTGTCAATTAGAAGGTATCAGTGTCATTCAGACATCACTGTCATTTAGAAGGTATCAGTGTCATTTAGACATCAGTGTCATTAAGAAGGTATCAGTGTCATTCAGACATCACTGTCATTTAAAAGGTATTAGTGTCATTTAGACATCAGTGTCATTAAGAAGGTATCAGTGTCATTTAGACATCAGTGTCATTTAGACATCAGTGTCATTTAGAAGGTTTCAGTGTCATTTAGAAGACATCAGTGTCATTTAGAAGGTATCAGTGTCATTTAGACAGCGGTGTCAATTAGAAGGTATCAGTGTCATTCAGACATCAGTGTCATTTAGAAGGTATCAGTGTCATTTAGACGGTATCAGTGTCATTCAGACATCAGTGTCATTTAGAAGGTATCGGTGTCATTTAGACGGTATCAGTGTCATTCAGACATCACTGTCATTTAGACAGTATCAATGTCATTCAGATGCAATGTCATTTTGATGACATCAGTGTGATTTAGACAGTACCAATGTCATTCAGATGCAGTGTCATTTAGATGACATCAGTTACAGTCTGATTATCAAATTACAAATTTCCATTTATATATTTTTTAGGATCACAATCTCAAGGTCAAAGAACTTTTGCGTCAAGAACAGCTTGCTTTAGATAAAGCTAATCTTGAATTGCTGGGAATAGAGGAAGACCAGTTCCAAGAATATGCTCAAAAAGTCATCAAACATTGTGAAGAAGGTGGTCGAAACACGATTCCTTTGAAGAAAGCTGCTCGACAAGGAGCTGGTGGTGGATGTGGTCCAATATTTGCTGGTAAAGGTGGTATTCGTCCTAGTTACATGGCAGCTGACCAGTGTGGCAAACAGTTACCCAGCTATCAAGGGCAGACAACAGAAGATGTTAAGTTCACCATCAATGGAAAGGGAACCACCAAGAAAAGAATTGGTTTTGTGTGGTAAAAATTGTTATCATCTGCGACAAGGGATTTTTTGCGATGTTTTCTGAAGTATGCCATCACCTTTAATTGTATGATTTTAAAGGGATTGTAAAGAGGTTTTCTAGATTTTTTTTATGTGTATCAGGGTCACTGGAAGCATCATTTTGCACCATTTCGATCCCCAACAGACTTCTGTGGTTCCTACAATTCCACTCAAACTAAGTGTGTGATGTCGTCACTAATAGCAAAGGGCCTTGTGTGATAAAGCATATTTTGCAATCAGTGATGTCATCAAACACTTAGTTTTAGTGGAATTGCAAGAACTACAGACGAAATGAAATTGAAATGGTACAAATTGATGCTATCAGTGTCCCTGATACACATACAAAATTTAGAAAACCTCTTTACAATCTCTGAAATCTGTATTTTAACTCAAAGGAATATAGAAATCTTTTGTGATGTCTACTAACTATGAGCCAATTTCTAACAATTTAAGACAAAGTTTTTAATGATATAAGTTTTGATATAATTTTTACACCAATGGTCTACCACCACATCAGCATTTTTAAGGTAACTTCCTTGAATTTTTGTACATAAACAATTTTAGAAATATACTGTAACCCTCGTCGATCTCTATATATCTGTAAAGAACGTCATTTGCACGACTTCAACTAGAACATTTTGAATTGCTATCGAATCAAGATTAAACTTGATTAGCCAAGACTAAAATTTGGTGTGATAAATTGCTAATCAATTTTTTCAGTCTAAATTGAACACTGAAGTGATAGGGCTTATAAACATCGATATCAATGACTCCATTTGGGATCTTTCATATTTCAAGATTTTGAAGAAATAAGCAAAAGATTTGAAATACTAGATATATATATTTGTAAATACAAATTCTGTTTTAGAGTGCAACATATTTTATAGTATAGAGTCTGTGATATCTAGATTAAAGAATTGTAAATATTATTTATTTTACAATATTTATTTTATATCTTATTTGTCGTGCTAATACATAATGTTCATATGAAACTACGTATAATTCTTACATGAAATAACACACACGAACGTAGTTGCAACCATTTTGAATCACCTCCTCGTATTAATAAGTTTGATTTTAAAAAGGCCAGGTTTAGATTTCAAATGCGATTTGAAGGCTTTGTTGAAATATTAGAACCTTTTTCAAAAATTAGACTTATTTAGTTTTGGAAAAGATTCAAAAGGTTGAGAACTATATTTGTGTGTGTTATTTCCATGTTAAAATCATAAGTAGTTTTATATGACATAATGTGGTCACTATATGTAAGTAAGGTCCATTCATTTTGAGTCTGAGGACATTTTAAGGAAATCTGCAGCATTATTAAAAAGGTTCAAAAAGGTTTTTAACATTTGTATGGGTAAAAGAGACACTTGTTCCTGTTTGACATCATTACAAAATAACTTAACAAGATTATGACTAGAATGTCACAAATACCTCAAGTTTCTAATCTTATTTACAATAGTGATGTCATAATCTTATCAAATTTCTCTAGAATTACAGGAACCATAGCATTGATCTGATATCTGAATGGTCCTTTGATATCTTAGTCTTTCAGACACATACAAAGGCTGGAAAACCTTTTACCAATTCTGTTTTTGTCCCAAATTTTAGCTGGCATATTTAAGGAAGGGGGGATTGTGACATGGCCCATTAGAATGAATTTTCTTCTTTCTGGCCTGAAGAGGACCCGCATCCCTCAGGCCAGAAAAAAAGGCAAATTCATTCTTCTTTCATTGCCAGATGTATTCAGCCCCATGACCAATGCCCTCTAAAATCTGAAAGGGGTGCCAAACACATTCTTCATCACAGCCTTGTTCCACAAAAAATCTTGCACTATGTTATTTCGAAATGTAAGATTCTATTCTTACGACAAATTTTTATCGTCATATTTTTTGTGAAATGTGGCCAAGTACTTTAGGTGTATCACCACGTAAGCAAACTTCCAGTTTAAAATTCACCATTATCAAGACTTAAATAGTCAGTTTATTGTTATGAAGAATTTGTACATTATATATAACTGTATGTGAACTGATCACTGATTGATAATACCACATGTTACTGAATAAAAATATTGGTTGGGTTGTTCAGTTTGGGTAATGGAATTTTAAACTGATACAGTCGTGTAAATATTTGCTTTATCAGCTGAAAAAGCTTAATTTCAACTGTCTTTACGGATGTCAGTACACCTACAAGTCAGACGAACCGGCATAAATAAGTTGAAAATTAGCTCTATTGATCAGTAAATTGTGCTAATATTTACACCACTGTATCTCTTTAAGACCATGGTCATCTGAACCCCCTGCTAAACAGCAGAACATAGAACTAAGCACTCTGACTGGTTTTAGATAAAAGCAAAGAGGTAAGACCTTCCACATTGGCAATTCAAGGGAATGCTATAAAAGGCAAGACCTGCCACGGTACGCTATAAGTGGCAAGACCTGCCACGGTACGCTATAAGTGGCGGTACGCTATAAGTGGCAAGACCTGCCACGGTACGCTATAAGTGGCAAGACCTTCCCAAGACCTGCCACGGTACACTATAAGTGGCAAGACCCCTCCCCCCCAAATGGTGCACTATAAGTGGCAAGACCACCCCCAATGGTGCGCTGTAAGTGGAAAGACCCCCTCAATGGTGCACTATAATTGGAAAGACCCCCCAATGGTACACCATAATTGGAAAGACCCTCCCAAATGGTGCACTATAATTGAAAAGGCCCCTTCAAATGGTGCACTATAATTGGAAAGACCCCCCAATGGTGCACTATAATTGGAAAGATTCAGTAACATGTAGTGTAACCAATCAGGCTATAAACAATCATAATCATCATTGTAATCAATTATAAATACATTAATAGTAACAATACATGTAATAATAATCATCATTGTAATCATAATACATTCATAAGAATAACAGTAATAATCATCATCATTGTAAGCATAATATATTAATACGAATAACAATAATAATTGTAAGCATAATATATTAATAAGAATAACAATAATAATCATCATTGTAATCATAATACATTAATAATAACAATAATCATCATCATTGTAATAATAATACATTAATGATAATAACAAATAATAATCATCATTGTTATCATATATATTAATAATAATAACAATAATAAGCATCATCATTGAAATCAAAACATATTAATGTTAAAAAATAATAATTATCATCATTGTAATCGTAATACATTAATAATAACAAATAATAATCATCATTGTTATCATACATATTAATTATAATAACAATAATAATCATCATCATTGTAATCATAATACTTTAATAATCACAAATAATTATCATCATTGTAATCATAATATATTAATAATAACAAATAATAATCATCATCATTGTAATCATAATACTTTAATAATCACAAATAATTATCATCGTTGTAATCGTAATGCATTAATAATAACAAATAATAATCATCATCATTGTAATTATAATGCATTAATAATAATAACAATAACAATCATTTTAATCATAAGACATTAATAATAACAAATAAAATTCATCATTATCATCATAATACATTAATAATAATCATCATCATCATCAACATAATCATAATACATTAATAATTGTTATGTGAAGGAGTACTCATTACTAAACACTTGATCAATAGCAAGAGATCAGGCTAAAAGAGACTTAAAGACGTCAAGGTTGCCATTTTTCTGCAGTGACATTTTGTTTGTTTGTTTGTTTGTTTGTTTGTTTGTTTGTTTGTTTGTTTGCGTTATGAGCCTCATTCTGGATTCAATATGGCTGACACATGAATAAGGTCTATTTCATATTAAACACAAACTGAGAACACAAACTTTAATAAGGCAATTGTCCAGTTGTGGTCTGGATAACCACACAAATAAATATAAGTAGTTCAGACCTGGATAACCACATGATAAAATGTAGTCTTCATTGTTTAGTCCAGTTTTGGTCTGGTTTCTTCTTTTTGTTCTTGTAAATATTGACAATCATCTACTGTAAAACTGTAGAAAAAATATAAAATTGAGAGACTAACATCCTATTTTCTTGCTCATGATAGAACTAAGTAATACCTGCAATACCTTGCAGTGTGTAGTGGGTAAATTTAATTTGTAGCATTAGCCTTCTGTCATTTTATAATATTGGTTAAAGGGGACCATTACTAACACCTGGGCATGCAAGATAATTGGTACATGCGATTTTATTCTTAAAGGGATTGCATCAATTTGCACCATTCCAATTTTCGATCAGACGTCTATGGTTCCTGCAACTCCACTAAAACTAAATGTTGGATTGACTTCACTAATCGTGAAGGGCCATGTGCATATTTTATGATTAGTGACTTTATCAAACACTTAGTTTTAGAGGAATTGCAGGAACCACAGAAGTCTGATTGAAAATTGGAATGATGCAAATTGATGCTATCAGTGTCCCTGATACACATACAAAATGTAAGTTTCGACTTACCTAGTCCAGAGTATAGCTAAAGGAATGGTTCCAGCATGCCAAAAAGCATGGGCATCCAACACCCAAAATAATGGAGGGAAATCTAGCAATTCTAATAACAGTAAAGAACTAAGGGACACCATAGTAAATAAACATTTCCATGAATAACTCTGTTGTTTATTTTTTAATATAGCCCAAACAGACCAACACAGTGTGTTCACTATACCTGAAATAAAAGAATGAATGAATAAATAAAAGAATAAATGAAAAAATGAATAAATGAATGAATGAATGAGTACAAATGTTTGATGTAATTCTGTTTGTTAGATATGAATGAATGAATGAATGAATAAATGAAAAAATGAATGAATGAAAGAAAAAATGAATGAATAAAAGAATATATGAAAGAATAAATGGAGTGAGGACAAATGTTTGATGTAATTCTGTTTGTTAGATATGAATGAATGAATGAATGAATAAATGAAAAAATGAATGAATGAAAGAAAAAATGAATGAATAAAAGAATATATGAAAGAATAAATGGAGTGAGGACAAATGTTTGATGTAATTCTGTTTGTTAGATATGATGGTATGAAGGTATGAATGCATGAATGAATGATTAAATTAGTAAAAAGGTTATCTAAAAAAATTCTTGGACTAAAGGGCATCCAAATATGTTTTGGGTCATGTCACCTAATGCCACTCGATTGGACAGTTCTGAACTGGTTCCGTCTGTTCCAATTCTGCCTTCAATCAAACAGTATGAAACTGAAAGCAGAATATGTCACATTCAAAATTTTCTCATCTATTTCCTTCTCCGGATTCCTCCATTTTGAATTCTGTCCACACCTACTATTTTTTCAGCTCACATGGAACGCATTCTAAACTCTGTTCCAACTTGTTTTACGGAACGTTCAGTTGATTCCATGAATCCCGAACGAGCAGATCCAGAGCGACCCATAGTCTTGTGGTCAAGGAGACGGGGAAGAATGGATAACTCATTGACTTATACTTACCAAATATAACGTTTACTTGCATGTTATAGCCGTAGTCTAGTTTAACATAATGTAAATAGTGAATATGTTTTATATAGATACCAAGTATAATGACCGAGAATATACCAGTTTGAATATACCTCTTTGTTCCTAATACCCTTAAAATACAAAAATAAAATTAATGAATTCACAATAAACTCAAACACTTGATACCACTTCGTGACTCAGATTTGGCAATTTGGCAGCCTTTTTCAGCCTTCACACGCCTGGATCAATCAACTGGACCTTTCACACCCCCAAAAATTTGTTTTATCCACATTTCCAGCATGTGATAATGTGAGGTGCTCTCTCAATTTAAAATAAGTTCTTCTCCTACACCAGCTGGTCACACCCCTGACACCCTAGTCCACACCCCCAGGGGGTGAATCTTCATAATGTTTAAGATGACTTAAGAGGAGCTAAAAGTCATACAATAAATAAACCAACGCTCAGAACCGCAAAATGAAACCCAAATTCCAAGCAACATACTGGCGAAACACTGGTAGCAGCTAATGAACTTTTCACAAATGATCTAGAAGAATAAGTATATACTCCATACAACAATGTTTTGGATAAATAAGTCTCATCAGAACACCTATCTTTGTAAATAGAATAAGCTTTCCAATAGAAGAATTTAATCATATGAGATATGTACGCAGACTCTGGAACGGAAAGTTATATATCCTACAGCATGAAGACTCGGACTCACGTTTCGGATACTCAAACCTTTACAGGTCAGCTAGGTCAGAAAAGAATGTCATGGTGCAATGAAACAGTCAACTTACCTGCATAAAAATGCCCAGATGTTGATACACACCACAGAAAAGGCAAAATAATAATCTAATTTCTGAAAATAAAATATTTTGCATTCAAAAGAAAAGAAGCACACAACCCATTTTATGTTCAAATTAAGCTAACAAAGACCGGTAACCCCATGGAGTGTGCAAAGAGGTAAATTTTGATGGGAAATTAGCCTACTCTTTCTCTTTATTCCTAACTGCCGCGGGGTCTTTAAGATGCACTGCCAATAATACACCACACTTTGGTTTTTGTCCCATCTGAATGACTAGATGACTAGATGACTCCTTAAAGGAGTAGATGTGCCATTTTGGGTGTTGATTTGAGTCTTGAAAGTATGTAAATAGTCTTCAGAAGTACTAGAAATGTATGAAAATCTCTTAATTCCTTCAAAACTATCTCAAACTATTTCTATATATGTCTTTTTTATATATCACAGAGTATCTTAAAATTGACAAGTGGTCATTTCAAGATTCAAACACAGATAATTCTGGACACACATGTATTTGAAGGCTCAAATGATGAGTTGTGAACACTAGCAAGCAAGAGTCGAACTCACTGAGCCACTGCAGCTCCAATTTCATCTCTAGGTTATACCACTCTGTAATAGCTAAAGCTTACCTCTGTTATATCAAAGTCTCTGGTATGGAATATAATAGAACAGATCCAAGCATTCAAAGATACCTACAATAAACAACAGATTTCACAACGACCTTTGACCTTCACGTCATTCAGACAAAAACATTTATCGTATATAAGTTTTCCATTCTCGCTCCGCCTGACAATAACCTTGTATACAGCTGGTGGAAACTACTTTCAAATATTAGGTCATATGACAATAGCTTATTAGTCTCTGACCCCCAGACTTCTGTCTACGATGATGATAGACTCTTCAAGGGAGATAACTAACATCTGACTAACTATATTTTGTAGCGTGGATGTAAGAAGATTTATAACAAGGTTATTGTCAGACAATACGAACGAACAACTCATCTGCCTCTATTCCAGCCTTTTAGAGCTGTTTTAAAAGTTGTAGTCTGGTCTAGAGACAGATTAACTAGGCCCTGTGTTGTAGGAATGTTACACAGGTTTTTCACCTATTTAATTTGAATAAAATCCACCAAACTCAGTTATTTCGGAAAGATTGGTATTTTTGTAGTTCAGTCATAGCATCATAACTCCCCTACACTATTTTATATTGTATGCAGTTCCATCAAAACTCTTTTTAACAAAACTGAACTCTCAGCGTCGGCCATTTAAAACTGCATGCACAAAGTCTTAAAGAAAATATATAGGTGTATATTATACTTACTATAGCTACGACGTGCCAAACGTAAAACATGTGAACTCTGGGTAATATACGAGAACGAAGATAAAATATCCCCAAACAACATGCAGCATTACCCAGAGAAAACAGAGTAGAGGCTGGTTCCTGAATACCCAATATCCGAATAAATGGCCACTGGAATCATAGAGAAGACACAATATTAGTCAGTCTTTTATAGTGTTCATTCCTACTTAAAGGTATACTACCTCTTAGAATGGACATAGAATTGGGGAATTTGTTCGAATTTTGCTAAGAATATTCTCCTTAGTTACACGCCTGCTGATGGGTAATGTGGAAGAGATTAATACTATCAGTGGATCAATGACCATAGGACTGGTACCATACACAAGAGAAAAAATTACTTTGACATTTAATCGATTATGAAACTTGATAATCGATAATGTAAATTTAAAATTCAAAGCAACGATTTTCGATTATTTTACCCGGCCCAAATCTATAGAGGAGCTCCTAAAAACTTTCATCTTACCTTGCCATTAAACTGTGGAATTGGTAGACCATCTTTTTGAAAAGCATCAACAGTTTTCCACATACAGTAATACCTACACTCTGATGAACAGTCCCAATGTAACAGTTGTAAGTAATATGGCTGCCGCGAAAAAAACACATTCATGTCTGTACAATTCGACTTTAGACATGTCTCCAAACATTTTTGAAATACGAAAGAACGATCACCCACTGATGTCCAACATTCTTGAAGATTCAAAAATATTATCAGCAACAAAATCATAAGTACATGAGTCTCCATTGTTAGTGTATCATGTAACTTAAAAGTTATACCGACAGCACATAAACATTGCAGCTGATAAAAAAAAATTACAAGTTTATTTTCACCACTGGCTGAAATATTTTCTACAGACACAATTGATTTAAAAGCTTGGTAGAGGATTGACCTATTGCTTGGTTTCAGGAATGAAAGGTTTTGTTTTTTTTTTTATAGTCTGGGTTTATGAAGAGTTGTGTCCCTTTATCAGTCTGAAATTCGTGATTGCATTAATTCTACACATACACATCATTTTAAGCGACCGGTTTAATCACAAATGAAATCAGTGAGCTAATTTGGCCATTGAAATACCAAGTTTGCAATCAATCAAGCTGATCATTTTAAATAACATTCACAAAACAGAAAATTTCTATCGCCAATGCATTTGTTTATCTCATGTGACCTTACCTGCTTTCCTGATTAGAAGAGCACGCAAGGGGAAGTAATTGATATTAATTCAGACTACAGTTAAATCTTAATCTTCGTCTTTTTCACAAAGATCTCTTAACCTCCCTTCCCCCTATTTTACAAGGCAATGGTATAAGGCTTGTCCCAATGTCGAAACAGGCACAAGAATAGGGAGTACGTAGTCTTAATGAAAAATATGTTTATTCACAATGAGTGTATAAAAGATGAACAAGACTACAAAGTACTAGAACATCAAGTAATGTTTGGTATTAATTTGGGTATTTCTGTCCTCATTGTCTTGACGAGTTCTTCATTGATTAGAAAAATAAACCGTAAACTGGAAATCTGAAATTATAGATAACTCTTCATTGGGGATATACTGCAGGTGGCAGCTGGTGGAATAGACAACCTCTGTTTCTCAACATGGAAAAAACGTCTTGTAGTTCAGATTGGGCAATATACAGAGGACCTGTGTGCTATAGGCTGAGCTGAAGGACAGTTGGAAATTGAAAAAGAGCAGGCTAATGCCATTGTCCTGGCAAAATTTCTCTCAATGCACCCTGCATGGTGTTGGCTGTCTTCATTAGCCACAAGGTGCACATTGATGATGTCACTATCCGCGAAAGGCCTTGTGTGATAAAGCATATTTTGCGATTAGTGAAGTCATGGCAGGCACTGCAGATGTCTGATTAAAAATTGGAATGGTGCAAATTGATGCTATCAGTGTCCCTTTGATACACATAACTTTTTTTTAAAAAAACCTCTTTACAATCCCTTTAAAGCCCCCTCTCCCATCTCCATCCCTAAATATCCAAACACAAAATTAAAAAAAAAGGTGCACTCACCTCAACCACTGAATTATGAAATAATTTTTGTTTATTGCCTTTAATAATTGGTTTCCCATCTACGTAGATCGGACGCTTTCCTTCGTTAGCTAGATAGAAATCACCACATGGCCTTAGTTTGATGACACCCTGTTGTCGGGAGATTTTCCATGCTGGTCCCTCTAGAGATAGATCTACATCTACATTGGTATCTTTAGTTGCTCTTCCAAGGGTAATCTAGGAAACAAATATTTTCATTATGAAATACTTACTCATTTATGATTGATATACTTCCTCATGTGAAGACTTTCTTTAACTGTTACTAATATTTTGGCAATATGTTGTTTGGATTTTAGGTTGCGATTTTGCCCAACAAGTGTACATATTCATCAGTTAGACTTACCAGGTACCATGACTAAAGAATAGAATCTCTATAAAAGACAATACATCCATTAAACTAAATAATTATTGAAAAACACTTCTAAGCGTTTTAGTTTAATGAATTATTACTTAGTTTTATAGATTTATTAGATTATAGAGAGATTCTGTTGTATAGTTATAACACCAGGTAAGTCCACTGGCTCATTTTAACAAAGTTTAAAAATTTCAATTGTTTGGTCATTCTAAGAGGTAGTATACCTTTAACTTAACAATATAAGACTTGAGCATATTTTACAATGAACCAGAGTTACAGGAAAGTTAACTTACCTCTTTTGATCTCATCAGATATCTAACTAATCTTCCTCTTAATACAGCCAGAGTTTGGTTGTCAAAATCAGGAGGGCTGATTCCTGTCAAAAAAACATGGCCATTTTCAATATAAGATCATTCTCCTTTTTTATTTGTCATTTTCAAGATTGAGCTAATGAAGACAGGCCACACCATGCAGTGTGCAATGAGGGAAATTTGCCAGGACAGAGGCATTGACCTAATACTTTTGGACTACTGACTTGGCATTCCTTAAAAAAAACATGGCCGTCATCAAGAGAAGACCCTTCTCCTTTTTGATACTCATTTTACAAGAAATAAAATGAATTTTGTTTCACAGCCTTCTATTTTCCCCCAGATTATCTGGCAATGCCATGCAGTTTGCAATCAGGGAAATTTTGCTAAGACAGACGGGGTCAGAGGCATAGAACTAATTACTATTGGATTCCCTTCAGTCAAGCAATTTTAGCATGCACTGCCTGACTAGAAATGTAACATCCATTGGATAGTTTTTAATAGGTTCTGTCTGTTCCAATTCTGTTCCAATTCTGCACTAAATCGCAAGCAGAATATGTCACATTCAAAATATCTATTTCCTTCTCGGCCATTTTGAATTCTGTAGGCACCAACTATTTTTCGGCAGAGTAGGAATGCATTCTGAACTCGGTTCCAACTTGTTTTATTGAACGTCTGGTTCACTCCATGAATCCCAAACGTGTAGAACTGAACCAATCTGGCAACCCCTATAGTCACTTCTAAAACATTTGTTTGATTATCAAATATTGAAAAATAGAAATTCTGACCTGTAACATTGTCCACTAGACATTGTAACTTAGGCATTTCTTCTTCTAAATGTCGAATCTCTTTCTTACATCTTCTGTCAGCTACCATTAATTCTGTCAAATGAAATGAAATGAATGAGTTTCACATCCTACTTGTCTGCACCATGTGGGCTAATGAAGACAGGCAACGCCATGCAGGATGCAATGAGGGAAATTTTGCAAGGACAGAGGCCATAGCCTACTCTTTTTCGATATCCAACTGTCGGGGGATCTTTAATGTGAAAGAATGTACTGTGTCTACTTTGTAATGTCTATCAGCAAAAGTATCAAGAAAAAAATATATTTACCTTTTTCCACAGCTTCATCTTTTGGCTCCCTGAAAAAAAAACAAAGTTAGGTTTAGGCCTATTTCAACAAAAATACTGATATAACTATCTAACATCATTATTACATAAATAGTACAGGAAGTCCATTGCCAAGAGCTTTGGCGTGGGACCAGATGGTAAGAAATTTCATGGTATACTACTCCTTAATTTTATTTAATACTACGTTTTAACAATCTACATTGTCATCTACAGGTGAACTTAAGTTCTATATGTCTTACAAAGATTAACTAAAGTTCACAGTTAAGGATCCTTTCGACCAGCTGGTCCTTGACCAAACCTCTTGGCATTGATCTTTCCCAGATTATCTGTACCCATAATGGGTCGACTGGAATTATGAGTGAAGATGACTTATTCAAGGTCATCAGACTATCACACACCGATCGAAAATTGAACCCACAACCGCCATGCGCTCGGAGTAACCATGCATATGACGTCATTTACTGTAAAGAATTAACACTCTGTGCTATAGAACAAGACAAGGTCCTTGTGAACTTAATTTTCTGGAAAAATTTCCATAAAAAAGGGCCTGGTTTTTCTGTCTCTACACCTGTCGACAACTTTCAAAATAGCTATCAGAGGCTGGAATAGAGGCTGGAATAGAGGCAGATAAAAGTGATCTGAGATTTCTAACTTACAGTAACTCTTCATCATGAATAGCATCTTCTGCATCAGAAAAATTTAAAATATGATCTCCTCTTGGCATTGGTTGTACTAAAAATTAATAATATACTATAATTAGACCAGTCTAATTCAAATCAGACCAAACTTTCATTCCGTTTTTCATTAGCTATTATCTTTAATTAGCCACTTCAGTTAAGGTCTAAAGACGGCCTACTTGAAAATTTGTCAAAATAACCTTTTGATTTTTATCTGATGACACCTGCTTTAACCATTCAGTTAGGGTCTAAAGACGGCCTTCTTGAACCTTTTGAACTTATCTGATGACACCTGCTTTAACCTTTCAGTTAGGATCTTCTTGAACATTTCTCAAAATAATCTTTTAACCTAACCCGATGACCCCCGCTTTAACCAATCAAACTTCTGCCCTCTCCAGTGCTGAGATTTTGTGAGAGGGTGAAGGCATTTGATTGGTCAAAGCAGAGGTCATCAGTATGGCCAAATACACATAAAAAATATAGAAAACCACTTTACAATCCCTTTTTAAGATTTATCTGACATTTTGGTTAGTTTGCAATGAACAATGTCGATTTATAAATTGGATAATTTAGTCAATACCTGATTGGTCGGGAAGTAAGTGATATTGTTTTAAAAGTAGCCAATGAGTGTGAAGAGCTTTAGGTGTTCTCAGTGGGTAGAAATCTTCTGGATGTTCGTTTACCAGGTCTTGAAATCTTTCAATGGACGGATTCTTGGTCTGAAATAAAGTAAAACAAATCAAAAAGTTGCTTTTGAATAGAAGAGAGATGGGCTAAAATTGCATGAGGAGATTTCAAAACAGTTCACTTAAAGAGACAGATTCAACAGTTTAATCAAAATTAGACCTAACCTCCATTTGTATTTTATAAGTTTCGTTTCGAAGTTTTTATTAGCTATTAGCTTTGTACGTAGCCACTACAGTAGGGTCTAACACTGTCCTTCTTGACTTTTCATTCTGTTAACCTTTGGCTGTCCAATCAGATGCTAGATAGTCATGGTGGTGCCAAATCTTTTAGTACGTTAGATTTAGCAAGTGGGTATTGGCAAATCAAACTCAGTCGATGGAAAGGGCAGCCACGTGACTGGTGAAAACAGAGGTCAAGCAAAGGTTAACAGAATGAAAAGTCAAGAAGGACAGTGTTAGACCTTACTGTAGTGGTTACGTACAAAGCTAATAAAACATTCGAAACGAAACTAATAAAAGAGGAACGGAAGTTAGACTGAGATTCATAATTTCATAATTCCTTCCAAAAAAAAAGTAGGAATTTCTTTTCCCATACATGGCAGTGTCTCAAGAAAAGATGAGTCGTCATTTCAAATGTGGATAAATATGGAATGGAAGCTTCAAATTTCAATGTTGAAATATAAACACTATTACTGATCAGCTTAGCAAAAAATTTCGGTTTCTGAAACTAAAGTACAAGCTGTCAAAAAAATTGTGAAATTTGAACCTTCAAAACCATGTGAGTCTAAGTTAATCCATGTTAGAAAGTTAAATAGACAACAAGTTTTTTCTTCAGACTTTGCCATATTAGAAAAGACATCTATAAAAATAGGAAAAGAAATTCCTAGTTTGAGGTATTTTAGAAGGGATTATGTGATTTCTAGTACTTTTGAAGTCTATTTACATATATTCAAGACTCCAAAAAAAAACCTGAAAATGGCGAATCTGTCCGTTTAAAAGTTATCAAAACACTTACCGAGGGAATTGTTCCTAGTAATTCTTCCTCTCTATTACTAAATAGAGCTTTAGCTTGAACTTGGCCGATGATATCTGGGTGTAACATCTTCATAGTCTGTATTGATAGTCTGAAATTTATTAAATATTAAAATAAGAAGAAAATACATGGACATTTCTGATTGGTTATAACTCTTAATTATATGCAATAAGAACATAATATGATATGTTTAAGAATAGATGATAATTTATTAGAAACACCAATTAATCAAATAGTTTGCTTAATAATAAAAAAATAAAGAAACCCATCTTTAAGTTTGGTGAAATAATTGTTCAGGACAACACATAAGCTAGTTCCAGTTGTTTTAACATAGAAACCAGACTGCCAGTATTTGAATTAATCAAAATTAAATCAAACTTTCCTTCCATTTTTTATATTAGCTTTTATTTTCAAAACATTCACTTCAGTTAGGGTCTAAAGACTGCCCTCTTAAACATTTGCCAAATTAACTTTTGACCTAATAGGATGACATCTGCTTTAACCAATCAACTTCCTTCACTCTCTCACCAAATGCCAGTACTGGAGAAGACAGAAATCTGATTAGTTAAAGCAGGGTATGTCAAAAGGTTATTATGACGACTATTGAAGGGGCCTGTCTTAAGAGACTGAAGTGGCCATTTTAAAAAAGAAAAGCTGATAAAAAAGGGAATGAAAATTTGGTCAAATATTAATTAGACTGAAAACTTACTGGAATGAAGACTTACTTTGATATTTGTTGATCGTAGAGTAAAGCATACCATCGTTCCTGTATTTCTTTTAGAGTAAAATGACAGGAAAATTTGACTCCAGTGTGAACTAGACTTAAATCATTACATTGTTGAACAGCGTTGATTAGTAACAGATCATCTTGAGCCTTCCATCTACCAAGATCTTTAGATGATGCTGCCAGCACAGCCTATAATGGGAAATAATAAAAATAGCTTGCCAGGCAAGGTAATATATGCCCACTGGCAGCTTTGTTTTGAACATAAATATTTAGCAGTACAGTAAGAATCACCAGTATGAAATATTCAACCTTCAGTATGAGTTATTGCCCTTGTTCTTGAAAAAGTGTTCAATTTTTAGCTTGTGAAAACTCTAGAAGGCAAAATTCAATCTTCAGCACTGTACTGAATAATAAAATCAAGTTTTGTCAAAATCTGGCAAGAATCATGCGTTTAAGCTAAAATTCGAAAGCGTTTTCAATAACAAGGTCAATTTTCCATGGGTGGTAAATAACAATTTCACCAAGTTTTGTCAAAATCTGTCAAGAATTGAGCCTTCTAGAGTGTTTACGAGCTAAAAATTGAACGCGTTCTCAAAAACGTGGGCAATAACTGATGCTAAATATTTTTCGAATTTCGATTCATACCATTCCGTCAAGAATTGCATCTTGTAGAATGTTTCCGAGCAATTGTGGACGGATGGACGAACATGGGTGACGGCAATATACGCCCCCCATTTCATGTGGGCGTATAATAAAAACTGTTTAAATACTATGTATATCTGTGATATATAGTAAAGACGTAGGGAAAGTGAGTAAAATTCCCAGTTTGAAGTATTTCAAAGGAATTTTGTGAATTCGTACATTTCTAGTACTTCCTTCTGAAGTCTATTTGCATATATTCAAGATTAAAATCACCCCCCCCCCCCTCCCCCCCAAAAAATGGCGCACCTGTCCCTTTTAGTGTCAAAGATATATTTTCTCCAGTATACCCCTGAATAAGTAGTAATCTCTTCCACATGGTTTCCCTTCAACACAAAACATTTTCAAATAAATAGAAACATACCCGTGGTCTTTTTGGTCTCTTTGAACTGGACTTCGAAGGCTGAAAATTAGACAGAGCATTTAAGAAAAGCTGCAATTTTATCATTTGGAATAAAATATTAATTTGTTGAAATAAAAAAAAAGAAGTCCAATCTAACAGGTTGAGCTTTTTTTAATCAATCGCTGAACTGAGCCAACAATAAAATCCATTAAAGGAAAGCATTAGTGAGCACCGTATTTTTTAAGCCTATGCCAGTGCCAGTGCCTTCTGTTGAATAGTAACTAAACTTTCAACTACCCCAATCTCTACAAACTGCTTTAAAGCCTGTGCCAGTGCTTTCTGTTGCATAGTAACTTGTTACCCTTCTACTCACCCTTGAGCTGCTTTTTGCAGGTGGTAAATTGATCTTTTTCTCTGGTATAGGAGCTGGAGGGGCAGGGACCACAGGGGGTGGGGGAACTACCGGTAATACAGGAACTATAACTGGAACTTCTGTTTTTTCAACAGGAATAATCATAGCAGTGGTGGATGAACTTGGAGTTGCAAGAGGAACAAGACTTGGTATTTTTGGTCGACTTGGTGTTTGACGATCAATTTTATTATAAAGACTACTTTCTACCATCTCATCATCAAATTTCTTGCGTTTTATCGTACGTGTAGAGCTCCTCCTTGCTGGGATTGGATCAACTTGAGGTGTGCGTATGTTTCTATGTGGTGTTGTTTTTGGAGGTGCCTTAGGAGTCACCATGGTTGGTAAAGGTGTTGGCGATTCTACATCTGGCGATTGAGTTTTCATGGCTGGTAGAGATGATGAGCTGACTGGCGTTGTTGGTACATTTTGAGATTCTGAAAAAAAAAAAAAAAAAATCATTAAGGAAACATTCTGGAATAAATTTGAGTTTTACATTCCACTTTTCATTGGGTGAAAATGATTGTAAAAACAATATACAAAATTGAAATTACAAAAATACATGCTGAGGTTTGTTTGGGGCAAATATCTTAGTCTTTAGTAATGGTATCAGCTTGAGTCCTTCATTTCTGATCCTAATTGGGCTAATTGCAGTTTCACATTCTGTCGTTTCTGCTTCTAAATAGGAGCTTCATCTTTGGACCCAAAGACATTCTAACACAAATGGTATACTGTAATACAGTTAAAATTACATATTGTACTGAGTAGTGGGCCTATCAGACTGCCTGTACCCGAAAACAATGGATTAATCATCATCATTATCATCATCATTACTACTATCAAAACAATAACAACATTGTATGTAATTGATCGACATGACTTCAGCTCTATTAGTAGAAACCACACACAATTCGAGCTCAGATGAACATAAAATTTTGTTTCTTATACCTGAATCTGCCATATTGCTGAACAATTTTCATCAAAACTTCTTAATTACATTAAAAATCAATGTTTTAATAAAAATTATTGATGTTTTCAACTTTTCAGCGCCATTTTGAATATGGAATTTTATTTTCCGAAACGAAAACTTGCCGATTTGACAAAAATTTAATTTCTTTATTAATATAAAAAACAATCATATATTTACAAAATACAAATTCCAAATTCGATTTAATCGACTCATGTCAAGCGACAAAATTTAAAAAAAAGAACAATAAACTTCGTTTAATATGAGTCGCCTCCCTTTATGAATAGTCTTGATTGTCACACAGTAACTAAATTGGTCTGATAGTCTTGTTTGTCACAGTGTCATTCCTCTTTGTCGACATTTAGTCTTGATTGTCATACAACAACAAAATTCGTCTTTCTTTGATTTCCTCTCTTAGACCATACAAATATGTACCTCTTCATTGAAAATTGTTGGTTTTGGTCAAATAATGCATTACGATTTGGAAAAAAAAGATGACATTTTAAAATAATTTTCCTAAATTGCTAAACAAGATTTCATCAAAGCAAAATAGATTAACTATTATAATTATTAATTTTGTGTGTTTGTTTTGGGTACGTTTTCGAGAAAAGGACTCCCCCAGAATGCATCTTAACCTACCGTGGCAGGAAGTTTGAAAATGGCGTCGATCGTCGCATGGAATTCTGTTTTTGTGCTTCAAATATTAATTTTGGCAGTTCAGGTTTTGGCTGGGTAGGTGTATTATTTAATCTAGACAAGAAGAGATATCAAAGTTTCTTTACGAAACTTTTTGATAATTTTTATTCATAATTAGACATTTTTTCACTCACATTTACACGAAGGAATTGTAGCAGACAGCTTTTTTGTTGCGTGGATGACACCCATTGGTTGATAGCTGAGCATCCTTTATTTTTATAACAATAACCTCAATCAAGTCCATGATGATTATTCAGTGATTGCTAACAATGTCCCGGATTCTACCAAGTTGATCTTCCATTTGATTAGATTTTAACATGATGAGCTTGGCAAAGACTTAAAAAGTAAAATGAAAACTAGGGCTAAAGTAAAGTAAAAAGCCAATGTCAATGAAATGTTTCTGAGAATTATCTCTAATTCTGTCATTTCAATGGGTCAATCGGTCAATCTTTTATGAAGATCAAAATTTGTCATAAGTCATTCCAATGCAAATCAAAAATGTGAGTAAATCTTGAAACCTTCATCGTCCTTTCCATAATGGCGAGTTAACTGTTGCCAAGTTGACAGGTAGATGAGTTGACTAGGCTAATCACCTTCTCAGCTTACTGTTCAAAGTGAAATACTCGGTAGTTATTACCTTATGATTGGTTAGAGCAGACGACATCGAGTTCAAGAGGGCTATTGTTAGACCCTAACTAAAGTGACTTTTTACAAAAATAATAGCCACAGAATGATAATTTGGTCTAGACTGAGACACTAATGGCTATTATTTTGTACTGTTTCTTTTTCAGCCGTGATTTTTATTCTATATTGGGAGTTTCTAAAAGTGCTAACACAAATCAAATAAAACGAGCTTATCGTAAACTAGCTAAAGAACATCATCCTGATAAAAATAAAGATGATCCTGATGCCGAGAGAAGATTCCAGGATTTAGGAGCTGCCTATGAGGTAATAAGAGTTTTTTGGTCTTTTAAACAGTGTGGACTCTCTGAAGTTAAAAGTCTTGGTTTATTTAAAGAACAGCATAACAGGGACATACAAAATTTAGAAAACAATCTCTTTAAAGAACAGTATGAATATTGTCCTGTAGTGTTTGCTTGTTTATTAAATGGTCTTGCAACTATTCACAACATAGAAACTTCATTTCATGACTGGTTGTGTATTGTAGGTTTTATCTGATGCTGATAAAAGAAAGATTTATGATCGTCATGGTGAAGAAGGACTCAGTAAAAGTGATACTCATGGAGACCCATTTTCAAGGTAAACCTTTTTTCTCCAGTTTTAAACAGGATGAATTTCTTGTTCAAAAGATTTATTCCATTCCCTCCTCCTCTGCCTCCAACTCATAATGTATTCATGCTGGTCAGTATGGAAGTCTGGGTCTAACATCTGGTCTGCTATTCTATCTCAAATTTTTGTTACCATTATTCCTTGACAGGCGATATAGGGACAGTCTAGACAGCAGGGCTGTTGATTTAACTGTATTTGCCAGTCATGTCTGATTAGAGCTCCAAAGTGTCTGACTGTAATGTTGATCTTTAGGACATTTTCAATGTATTTGTTTGCATTTTTCATGAACTTGATGAAGATTGGTGTACAGATCTTTAGTTACATATTAGAATGCCCGGTCAGGAGTTATAAAAAACCACCAGCCCTGTCAGAAAGCATATTTGAATTTGAGGAAGTAAATTATTTCAATCTCTTTTTCAGCTTTTTTGGAGATTTTGGTTTTGGTTTTGGAGGTAATCAGGAACAGGAAACACCCCGAGGAGGGGATGTCTTGATGGATCTGGAAGTCACTCTAGAGGAATTGTATTCTGGGAATTTTGTTGAGGTAAGCCGGTATTGCTAGCCTTCATTTATGTGCAGAATGTAGGCCAAAAGAGTTCATTTCAAACCATTTATAGTTTATCATATATCATACTGTACACATTTTCAGTTTCTTAAAGGTACAGGTTCACCATTTGTTTGTTCTTTAGTCTCAGAAACAGGAAATTTTTAGATAAGCCAATTAGTAATAGTGTTCACAGGTCACTGTGGAAATTTGAGCCTTCAAATCCATGTGTGTCCGAAATTACTGGCTTTTGAATGTTAAAATGACGATTTTTGAAGGAATTGTGCGATTTTTTTTACATTTCTAGTACTTCTAAAGACTATTTACATATATACATGACCCAAATCATCCCCAAAAATGGCATACCTGTATTTGAGTCCTTGCTAGGGTGAGTTTATAGATTAGGAATTTGAAATGAAAACATGTTGTATATTTTAGGTTATTAGATATAAACCAGTAGCTAAACCAGCTAAAGGTACCAGGAAATGTAACTGTAGAAATGAAATGGTAACAACTCAGCTTGGTCCTGGTCGATTTCAGATGAGTCAGCAGCAAGTTTGTGATGAGTGTCCCAATGTTAGGTGAGATTTCAGTTCAAGAGCTATGAGATTTTCAGTTCATGAGCTGTGAGATTTTCAGTTAAAGAGCTGTGAGATTTTTAGTTAAAGAGCTGTGAGCTGTGGATCTAATATAGAGGCTGGTTGTTTAGGACTACCGTATATTTCCGAATATAATGCGCAAGCATGTATAATGTGTATCCGTTCCTTACCTTAAAATCTGGAAAAAATCCATTTACCCGTAAATAACTGCTCTCCCAAGAAGACAAAACACAATTTACCATTCATTACCAAGACAAATTCAGCTGTGCGGAAACTCTCAAGGATGGCCGAATGCATTTTCTTCTGTAATTCAACAAAACATACCACAGAAAAGATTAACATTAATGCATGTAAAAGTGTTTATTGACAATATTTTTTTGTTTGAAATTTGTAATTTTGTGTTTTTTTCGTGTAGATTTGTACCAGAAGAAAGAATATTAGAAATAGAGATTGAACCGGGAATGAGAGACGGTCAAATTTATCCTTTTGTTGCTGAAGGTATGACTATGTACATATTATATTGTGGGTGACCGCTTGAAACCTCTTATAACGATATAAGAAATAACAATACTGCCATGGTCTGATTGAAGTAGCGAATAGACGATGTCTGGTGTGGTGTACGATGGGGGATTATGGCTACAGGAGAAAATAGAACCAGTGGAAACATGAGGTACATGTCCAGACACAATGCAGACATGATGCACTTCTACTATTTTCTACTGTATCGATAATCCAGCTCCATACACCGCACCGGACACCGTACATCATCTATGTACTCTTGTAACTTGAATTTGATCTTACAAAGAATCAAGAGTCAGTCCTATATCACCTGTTACAGCAATTTTATTTTTACACGATGAGAAAGCAAAATTCCTAATTTGAGTGTTGTTTTGAAGAAATTATGCGATTTTGTACATTTCTAGTACTTCTGAAGACTATTTACATATATACAAGACCCAAATCAACATCCCAAAATGAGGCACTAGTCCCTTTAATTGGTTTGTATTATTTTTTTTAGGAGAACCTCATATAGATGGTGAACCTGGGGATTTGAAATTTAAAATAAAACAGGCAAAGTAAGTCTAATTCTATTAGACCCCTAGAAAAATAGTTTGCACCCCCTATTGTACGCCCACTTTACTTTTGAAAAATTTAAAAATATGATTTTTTATATGTTTTTGCCCCGAAATATGTGTTAGAAATCAAATGTGCTAAATCAATTCAATTTTCGAATATTTTCTGAGGAGAACTCTCTCAGACACTCCATGAGAGGCTTGCAACTATGATGCCTCCAAAGAGTTGCAACATTTTGAACTCAGCCTCGACAGTTGTGCCCCCTTCGAGTCGGTCTGTCCCCTATTTGTACCCCCAGTCTTGGAGGGTGTAACTGAGGATGATTGTATAAATAAATATGGATCTGTAGATCATCACGTCAATTATTTTGAAGTATTATTGAAGTCATGTTTATTTATTATAGACATAAAAAGTTTGAGAGAAGAGGAGATGATCTGTATACCAATGTAACAATAAGTCTAGTTGATGCCATGGTGGGTTTTGAAATGGAAATAAATCATTTAGATAATCATAGGGTAAGGCAGGGTTTGCTTATTCTTTTATCTGGATGCTTTAGTCTCAGAAACGTTTCTTTTTAGCTAAGCTAATCAGTAATAGTGTTCACAGCTCACCGCCAAAATTAAGCCTTCAAATCCATGTGTGTCTACAACTATCGCAGATTGAAAGTTAAAAAGACGACTCATCCATATTTTACATAGAAAAGACATAATTATATAAAAATAAGAAGTGCTATTCCTAGTTTGAGATATTTTTGAAGGAATTATGCCATTTTTGTACACTTTTAGTACTACTGAAGACTATTTACATATATTTAAGACCCAAATCAACCACCGAAAATGGCGAACTTGTCCCTTTAATGAAGAAACATACCAAATAATTAAGTTCAGTAAGTTAGAACCAAAGGAAATTAAACTCCATTTATTTTTTTTTTTCAGGTTCATGTATCTAGAGATAAAATTACGTGGCCTGGTGCCAGATTACGGAAATCAGGAGAAGGGATGCCAAATTATGAAAATAATAACGTAAAAGGAGCTTTATATATCACTTTTGATGTGGAATTTCCTAAAGGATCTTTAACAGAAGAACAACGACAAGGTTTGTATAGATTTCACTTTTTAGCTCAAAAGATTTCCATTCATTGTTTAAAGGGATTGTAGTTTAGTTTCATGGTAATTGGTATTGATAAAACTTTTCAAATGAAACTCAAAAGTTAAATGTCTGGCCCTAAACAGTGACGATACCACATCCATATGTATGTCTGAAGAACTGGATAGTCTAAGCTACATGAAGACTGAAGAGTAGCATCCCTGGATGCATGGCCCTTGACGACTGGGCCGTGACCTTTCCCTAAGGCCTGTGAAAGGTCTGAAAAGTAAAAACTCATCTTAGGCCATCTGAAATCTGTTGGCTTCTGAGTATCTCAGGCAGCCTGAGCCAGGGTTTTGACACCTACATTTTGGGCTCTCCATCAGGCATTTTGTGGAAATGCCCCTGCATGCAAGCTCTTAATTTTAAATTATATTTTTTTCAGCATTGAAGGAGTTGTTAGGACAGGAGTCAAAACAAACAGTTTACAATGGTCTTCAAGGTTTTTAACATCCAGTCTTTTTAGATAGTGTAATTTATATATTATTTGTTGATATACCAGATTATCATGTCATTTCATTGTTGATATCATTTTGTATGACTGAGACCTAATATTTGTTATACAACTATTCTTATAGTCTAAATTTCTACGTAACCAGGTGATAGAGCTCAATTTCAGCCTTCAGTAACACTTATCAGAAATAAAATGGAACGTGTGGTCAGTTTTTGATTGAAAATGTAAAGTTTGAGTCTGAAATTTTCCATGTTTTCAGAGTTAAAATAAATGTCTTGTTAATCTGTAAAACTTCATGCCTTTTTTCAATAATGCATATATTTAGCTTTAGTTGTTAAAGAGATTGTAAAGAGGTTTTTTAAATATTTTTATGTTTATCAGGGACACTGATAACATCGATTAGCACCATTCCACTTCAGACGTTAGTGGTTCCTGCAATTCCACTTAAACTTAAGTGTTTGATGAAGTCACTAATCACCAAATATGTTTAATCACACAAGGCCCTTTGTGATGAGTGACATCATCAAACACTTAGTTTTAGTTGAATCGCAGGAACCACAGACATCTGATCAAAAAATTGGAATGATGTGAATCGATGTTATCCGTCAGATTGAAAATTGGAATGGGGCAAATTGATGCTATCAGTGTCCCCAAAACACTTCTTGACAATCCTTTTTAAAGTGAGCTCTATCAGCCAGTAAAAATTGGATGCAAGAGGGGTGATGTTCTGACTACAAGCTTTGGTTTTTCTCAAAATGTTTTTTTTTTTTAAGTTGAAATATAAATCAGAATTTATGAATCAAAATATTTCACAAATCAGCCAAGGGGAATAATTTGAAAAGATTTTTTTTTGTTATTATAATTTGGGGTATTGACAATCAAAATAAACCTATATCTATTGCTCTGGGGCCACTCAATTGGAGAGGTCTGGACGTTTGGAATTCATGGAATCAACTGGAGGTTCAATGAAACAATTGGAACAGAGTTCAGAATGCGTTTCACCTGTGCCAGAAAAAAAAAAATTCAAAATGGAGGATTAAGGAATATTTTGAATGAAACATAATCTGGTTCTGTCCAATTAATCGAGGCCAGGATTGAGCAGACATCGCCAATCAAGTGCCACCTATGTAAGGTTGGCGGATTCTGAAAGGTGACATAGCTAAATTCAAATTCAGCCATGTTTTTTTTTGTTCTTGTGTTGTGAGGCAATCATGTCACATGACAGCAGGGGCAAGTAACTCTGGCTTACTAGAAGGTTCATAGATATAGGTTTGTCCAGATTTGGTTATTTATATAGTTGTTTTTGTTTAAAAATTTTACTTTTGTCCTAAAACATATGTTGACTTCATTGAAATCCTAAGTTTTCTATTTCGTAACAATCATGCAAAGGACAATTTTTGTAAAAGTTATAAAGTTATGAATTAACACTTGATAATCAAGGCACAATCTATTTTTTTCCCCACAATTTTCCAGTCCGTAAACACATTCAAATGATTAGATATTCTTAATTACAAGTTGCAATGTTATACTTAGCAGTTGATGGGTTAAGATCTTCTCATGTTTTATCTTATGGCACTTTGAGTCTGTATATTTCCCTGTCAAATAAAAAATTTTAAAAATCCAGGATGTTGTCTTTTAAATTAAATTTTTTATTCATGCAAGAGCCTTGTTTAGGCGGCCTACAATAAATCGAATATCTGTCTCTATACCAGCCTCTGATAGCTATTTTGACAGATGGCTTATCAAGCAGGCAACTGTTGAAATAGCTATCAGAAGCTGGAATAGAAAATAAATGGAGTTTACGTCCTACTTTTCTGCACCTAATTGGGCTAATGAAGACTGCCATGCAGTGTGCAAAGAGGGAAATGACTAGAGGCTTTTCCATGTCAGTCCCAAGGGGGGAACTTGGTTGAAAAATCCGAAAATATCTCGACCCATGCAGTAATTTAACCCTGAATCTTTTTTGAATAAAACTCCTGGCCTACCATCCTATCGAGAAAATTATGCCAACGCTATGCAAAAGTTTCTGCCGAGGATAGAAGAATGGTCTGGGGATAAAGGGATAGCAAATGCAGGAAACAGATAAATTAATTAAAAATAAGTTTATTCAAAGTACTGCATATAATAATATAGTTTCAAAAAAATAATTTTATGTATACAATTATACAATATTTTCACTGTTAAAACAGTGCTCAACAGAGACACAGACTGAAAATAGGTTAGTTGTCTGCATATGTGAAACTAGTAATAACATGATTCAAGTTCTGTTTTAATATTTCTATAAAATATATTAATATTTTTATAAAATATATTGATATGTCTATAAAATATATTAATATTTCTATGAAATAAATTAATATTTCTATGAAATATATTAATATTTCTCTAAAATATTTTTATGAAATATATTAATATTCTTATAAAATATATTAATATGTCTATAAAATATATTAATATTTCTATGAAATAAATTAATATTTCTATGAAATATATTAATATTTCTCTAAAATATTTTTATGAAATATATTAATATTCTTATAAAATATATTAATATTTCTATAAAATGTATTAATATTTCTATAAAATATATTAATATTTCTCTAAAATATATTAATATTTCTCTAAAATATATTAATATTTCTCTAAAATATATTAATATTTCTATAAAATATATTAATATTTCTCTAAAATATATTAATATTTTTATAAAATATATTAATATTTCTATAAAATGTGTTAATATTTCTATAAAATATATTAATATTTCTCTAAAATATATCAATATTTCTCTAAAATATTTCTATAAAATGTATTAATATTTCTCTAAAATGTATTAATATTTCTGTAAAATATATTAATATTTGTATATAATATATTTAATATTTCTATCAAATATATTTAATATTTCTATCAAATATATTAATATTTCTATAAAATGTGTTAATATTTCTATAAAATATATTAATATTTCTATAAAATATATTAATATTTCTATAAAATATATTAATATTTTTATAAAATATTTTGCTCTGTAAGTAACTTTGCTGTAAATAAATAAATAATGAAATAAAATAAAAGATAATATAAAAATTGTGCTCAATGCAAAAAAAAAAAAAAAAATAAACATAAAAAAAAAAAAAATAGAATAAATAAATAAAATAGAGAATAAAGAAATGTTACTGTTAAAATAGTGCTCAATACATTTATTACAGAGCAAAATAATCCAAAAAAATATGTTTCTAAGAAAATACCCATAAAAATAAATGAAAAAAATATAAAATATCACAGATTTTACATATAAAACACATAGTTTGAGTTTAGTTTTTAGATACAAAACGACTACAGTAGTTGGTCAATCCAATAAACACACTGTAAAGAGCTTGTCTTGGTCCAGACCAATCTTGTTTTGTATTGGTTTCAACTACTGAAAAAAAGACCCAAATTATTCATTAAAAATCTAATGAAATAATTCAACCAATTATATGTATCGGGGATACTGAAAGCATCAATTTGCACCATTTACAATTTTCAATCAGACGTCTGTGGTCCCTGCTATTCCACTAAAACTAAGTTACTAATTGAGAAAACCTCTTTTCAATCCCAATAAGTTTTAACACTTAACCAAAGCGAAGTAAGCGGTCAGTAGGCAAGTATGAGAAAACATTATGTTATTACAAAGTAGACTCCTAAATTTTTTATTTGTGGTCCAGTTGGCATACTAATAGGCATCGATTTGTAATGAAATTGAGTTAATGTTCAACTTCTCTGACATAAATGGCATATTCTTACCTTGATTGTTTTGAATCTTTCTAACCATATCATCAGAAAACGTTATTTCCATCATCTGACACCTTTCCATTCTGACAGTGTCCTGATCTTGTCTTCCACCAAAAACAGTAACGTTATCCTCTAAATCCAGACTTCCATCATGAACGGTAACTCTGTCAGTCGAGTTAAAGCTTCCTTGAAGAACTGTAACTCTGTCTTCTAAATCAAAGTCATCATCAAGAAAGGCAACTTTGTCTACAAAGCCTAGACTTTCACCATGACCGATAACTACTTCCAACAGATCTGTGTCATCGTCGAGAATGGGAACTCTGCTGACAATGGTTCTATCGTTGTTGAAATAACACTTGACAGACAATAAAGATGTTTTTGGCTCTTCTGGACTTGGGAGGTTTTGAGATGACGGTAACATTAGTTGCCTCTTCGCCTCTTCAATATAGGGAGTTATCACCGGAAATGGACCAGTAACGGCTATACTAGCTAGCTGTAGTTGTAATACATCAGCATCAATGAATTCTCTAAGACAGACGACTTCAGCTGACAAATCCACAGTGAAGCAAAAAAAGTTCTGTTTTTCTGTATTGAATGCCTTCAGAACTTGTCCAGGAGATGTCTTTAAAACTAGCAAGTTTCTCAGATGTTTCAAATCAAATTGTGTGACTTCTTTGAAACCGAACGCTCCAGCAAGTGTATCAATAATGAAGCAAAAGTTTCGTTCTTCGTTGGCCTTCAAGAATTTTTGTGCCACATATTGTCTGCAACCTACAGCTGATGGTATTTTAGGCACCATTTCTAAAGCAAGTTTGGTATCTTCCATGTTAGAGTTGTTCATCTCTACTGCTTCATCATCGTCATATCCGATCATGCAGTCGATTGTGAATGATCTGGATAAACTTTGAGGATGGTAGTCTGAAATAAAAAAAAAACGCAATGTAAAACCGAAATAAGGACTTAAGGTTGCTTGGGTTCAACCAATTCCTATGGGTGTTGAGCCACTGGTATCCAAAATATTATTCTAACTTCTAACATGTGTGGGGAAATAAAAAAAATAAAACAAAAAAGTCACTGGAAAGCTTTAAGAAGATGCGAGCACAGTGGGTCACCCCGTGACAAAAATAAAACCACTTACCACTCCAGTCCCCAACAGTAACATCCGGAATAATGAGCCCCTCCTTCACAAATCTTCCACCCCAAGGGACAAACACAGTTTTATTCTTTAGATCAGTTTCAATCTTGATGATTCTATTTTCTTCTTCTTGCCATCGTCGTATCTCACGAGTTTGTCGGTTCAGAATGACCCACTTGAACTCTTCTGTTGTTCCTTGCTCGAGTTCAAAATTTGCTGTCCACACAGAAGTTACAGGATCGTCCAAGGCAGCAGGAACCCAGGTCTTCCAGTTCCCAAGCAGCTTTCCAGAACCCATCACAACGATCTGTTCATCAACATTCAGAACATAATGAGTGCTCATTGAAATATGGCATCCGCAAAATGAAGAGAACTCGGTCCAGCTTTCTCCGTATTCGGATTTGAAGACACCTCCAAAAACGCCGACATTGGCTTTTCTGCATCCTATAGGCTCCTCTTCATAAAAATGCCCATTTTTCGTCATCGTCCAGTTAAAGAAGAAGAACGACATCTGAGGAATCTCTAATTCCACTGTCCATTTCGTTGAAACTTCGTCGATTTTCCTAGCCACAAGACCATTGAGTCTGTTCCATGTTCCCAATTCTTTCAGCGAACCAACTAGGCAAGGAACAATATCTTCCGATGCGGGGCTGAACTCCACCTCAAAAACAACAGGAACTTTTACGGTTTGTATCGGCATAGCGAAAATATTCTAAAATATTCCGAAAATCTTCAAGAAAACTTGAAAAACGCAACTTATCTGGTCGAAACAGTTAAGTTACTGATTATGACGTCATAATGCCTTAAAGACAAAGAAATAACGTTGTGTCGATTGTTTTCTATGAGGACGTTTTTTTTTGACCGCATTAAAACTAAAATATTTATTAATATTACCTGAAAAGTTGTTTCTTAATTCTTAACAGGGATCAGGATGATTAACGAGACAGGTATGCCATTTTGGGGGGTCGATTTTAGTCTTGAATATATGTATAAATATAGTCTTCAGAAGTACTAGAAATGTACGAAAACCTAATTCCTTTCAAAATACTTCAAACTAGAAATTTTACTCACTATTTCTATATATCACAGAATATCTTAGATTGACAAGTCGTCATTTTAATATTCAAACTCAGATAATTCTGGACACACAAGGATTTGAAGGCTCCAATTTCGATGGTGAGCTGTGAACACTATTACTGATTAGCTTAGCTATGATTGGTAAAATAAAAGGACTACATGTCTCTTTAACTTTCAATCCGTTACGGGCATGTGGTTGTAATCAATGTTTTTCGAGCAAAAGTTTGTGGGAAAAACAATGGAATTTTGAAATATTAATTAATGACAGTATATTTTTTTCATCGTATCTCCCGAATTGACCAATTCGCCCATTTTTATCCCACTTTATGCTTTGGACGCCAGTGGGGGTATAGGGGAGCGAGGGCATTTGCACCGCAAACTGTACCCTCCACTTTTTAACAAATTTGAAATATAATTTTTACAGTTTTTGGCCCAAAAAATAAGTTAAATTGTATCATATCAATTCAATTTTTTGAGAGTTTTTTTTTTGGAGATCATTTTTAGACACACCATGAGAGGCTTGTAACTATGACGCCTCCACAAAGTTGCCGCATTTTGAATTAAGCCTAGACAGTGTTGTCTCCCTATTGAGCCATTCTGTCACCTGTCTCGAAAGGCTGACGCCGCCACCGGTTTTCAATAAATAACCATCAGCAAGACATCGTTTTTGGAAGTATGGTTTACACAAATTTTGACCGAAGGCGTATGAAAGTGCACACCAAATTGAATAATGTTATCTATATCTATAGTCTACTCTGTAGTTGTTATCATCAATCCGTAAGATATTGAACACCACTTCATATGTTCAGCTCTACTACTATTCTAGATTAGACTTTGATTTTATATCAATTTTCCTAAAGCCCCGTCTACAATTGATTTTTTATGCTTGAGGTTTTCACCAGTGACACAATAAGATTATTGGGTGCCTGTGGACTTAAGTTAGTTGGGATCCCTGCCAATGATTTTAATGCCTGTTAATGATCTGTCGGACTGTCGGAAGGTTAAAGACTCCGGGTTGAGCCCCCTAGTGGATTGAGCCCATGTACTAGGTTCAACCACTCTCTGTGTTTCTCACATCTTAGCGTTCTATATCTTATCAGAGCACAATCTAGTAAATTGCTGTCATTCGGGGTTTTTTTTCGCATGCACTACCTGAAGCAAAACTACCATGATTTTGTATCTGTTCTCATTTTATCTTATCCGAATGACTACCAATCTAATATAAATTATATTTACAATTTTGTATCTTTTTTGTTTTATGATATTTTTATTCTACATTGTAATCTAAACAGTTTCTATCAAACGCTTGTCCCAAAAGTTGTATCTTTAACCAATCAAAGCATGTCATGTTAAACAAGTTTCAAGATAAAATATGGAATTGTGGGATATATAACGAAACCCAAAGAGTCTGTCATTTTCCTTTACTTTAATTTTTCTATATCCCATAATTCATTATTCATCAAGAAATGTTCTACACGCCACGCTTTGAATTATTAAAAATACCAAATACATTTGGGAGAAATCTAGTAAGATTACCACTGAGACTAAAAATATCAGAAAACGAAAAAAAACCCCATCCCGTTCAGATTACAACCAACCTGATATAGTCGTGTGAACGGTCCCCGATAATGATAATTGATATTTTCAAAATGAAATTAAAGAAAATGGACCAGTTTCTTATCACATGGGGGGATGTTCTGGGTAGCACGTGGCACCTTCATCACATGACCTAAGGTATAAAACTAAACTGTACGGTAGTTACCCACCCCTTTTGATAGTAAGATTTTGTATTGGAGGGAGCCCTGTATTACTACCATGAAGATTGTTATAATTGTTTTGGCTATGGCCACCGTGGCCTGGGCTCAGCTTCCCTCACCGTGTATTACCCCCTTGGAAATGACGGTGAGTTTAATTATTGTTTTCATCTCAGTGGTCATTCTTGGGTTAATTTTTTGAATATTTAAATAAAACTGTTCGGTATATAGAATATATGTATATGTAAATAGAATAGAAAAAAACATTATATAGAAATTGGGAAATTCCTAGTTTCAGATATTTTTTAAGGAATTGAGCGATTTTCGTACATTTCTGTAATTCTGAAGACTAATTACATATATTCGAGGTAATAAGGCGCTTTGTAGTCTAGCAAAAAAAAAATTGGACAATTATGATTTAAGTCGTTCTTTGCAAAATAGATTGCAGGGAAAACCTTAGAGAAAATGTCAAAATTGAAAGGATTTAAAGAAAGGGGGCGGGGGAGACGGTAATGCTATTTGTACCCCACCATAACTAAATAACACACAATCTGTATAAAATAGTGAACATTATCGTACATCAACCTCTTTCGAGATTCGAGTAACGATCGGTTATTGGCTGGATCAAATGATAACAAAAACTTGCCCATTCATGAAATAAAAGTAACGTAGATAACATGACATACTGAAAACTTCAAAGTTAGATTTTCTATAGAGATACATTTACTGATAAAATTAGATAACTTATATTCATATTGAACAAGTTGAGGCCCGATTTTTAAACCCGGTTTCTCCTTGTCGGAGGAGCTGCCATGGAAAAAAGCGTCAAGTTGTTCGGATGGAACAATAAACCGAGGTCCCCGTGTGCCAAAATATAGTAGGCTAACGCCGCTCTCCTGGAAAAAGGTCCCTCATTGCACCCTGCATGGCGTTGTCAAATTAGGTGCAGAAGAGTAGGACGTAAAACTCCATTCATTTTATTTCCATAAAACCACAGCCTTGTATTGAGGAATCGCTAATTATTCACAGCAAAACTACTTAACAGAATATTTGATTTGCCATTTTTTAGATCTGAGTATTACCACGATCTTAAAATCTTTAAAAGTAGAACTGTCATCAAATTAGATCGTTCCAAATCAAGTCTTCAATAACTGAAAAATATCACCAAAAACAGTGACAAAACTCTCAAAAAACCTTCGGCATAACAAATTGAAAAATAATAATTACAAAATATCCTGGTCCATTCATAGCAGAGATAAAGCCTAAACAAATAAAACCAAAAGTTGTAACTTGCATTTAACTGAACAGCTTTCCATCATTTATGCCCCTAGCACACTTCTCTAAACTAACGTTCCGAACTTGTCTCGAAGTGTCCAACTTCAGTAGGAACGCAGGCTGAAAAAGGTCAGTTGTCTGAAGATTGCATAGCATGAAACTCTGAGTAACAACATGATTCAAGTTCTGTTTCAATATTTCTATATCGCTCCACAATTTGATATATTGGGCACTATTTTAACAGAGGTATTTCTATATCGCTCTACAATTGGTGTGTTGGGCACTATCTTAACAGTTGTATTTCGATATCGCTCTACAATTGATGCATTGAGCACTATTTTAACAGTAGTATTTCTATATCGCTCTACAATTGATGTATTGAGGCGATATTTTAACAGAGGTATTTCTATATCGCTCTACAATTGATGTATTGAGCGCTATTTTAACAGTGGTATTTCTATATCGCTCTACAATTGATGTATTGAGCACTATTTGAACAGTGGTATTTCTATATCGATCTACAATTGATGTATTAGGCGATATTTTAACAGTGGTATTTCTATATCGCTCTACAATTGATGTATTGAGAACTATTTTAACAGCGGTATTTCTATATAGCTCTACAATTGATACACTGGGCACTATTTTAACAGTGGTATTTCTATATAGCTCTATAATTGATGCACTGAGCACTTTTTAACAATGAAAATATCTTATTATTGTAATTCTTAAATTATGTTATTTTAGTTCCGAGCTAACCAATATAACCATGAGGACGATATCTTCAACCGATATTTCATAGCCTACGACGCCATTAACAAACGACAGGCTATTTTTGAAGAAGAAAATGTCATCATCCCCGGCAGACAGTAAGTAATACATACATTTGTAACCACCTTAGCACCTAATAACGTCATAGTGATACCAGGAGACACATCGGGGTATACCTGAGAACACATCAAGCTGTACCTAGAGAACACATCAGGAATACCTGGGAACACACTAGGTGTACCCGAGAATACATCGGTGTGTACCTGAGAACACATCAGGGTATACCTGAGAACACAACAGGTTGTACCTGAGAACACAACAGGTCGTACCCGAGAATACATCGGTGTGTACCTGAGAACACAACAGGAATACCTGAGAACACATCAGGGTGTACCTGAGAACACAACAGGTTGTACCTGAGAACAGAACAGGTTGTACCTGAGAACACATCAGGTTGTACCTGAGAACACAATAGGGTGTACCCGAAAACACATCAAGCTATACTCAGAACAGAACAGGAATATCTGGGAGCACACCGGATGGACCTGAGAATGCATCAGACTGTACCTGAGAACAAACCAGGGTGTACCTGAAAACACATCAATTTAGTTTCAGAGAACATATGAGGGTCTGAGAACACACCCTGGTGTACATGAGAATATTTCGTGGTATATCCGAGAACACGCCAGAGTGTACCCAAAAAACCCAACAAGGTGTACCTGACCTCTAGCATCCGCTAGGTGATTAGGTGCTATGGGTTCGAATCACTATTAACATAATACTTTTCATTTTCAGATTTCACGAATTTTTGATCCTCAACAACGAAAACGTCATGTACGATTATAATCTCAAAACCAAAACCTGTACCAAATCCATCCCCAGACCATGGAGAAACTTTGCCATTCCACCAAACGCCACTTTTGAAAACGAGTTCTCTATTGGAGGTCCCTCTGAAATGGTTTACGCTCAAGAATGGTCTGATCGAATCCCATTCAGACAACGTAAGTATCATCTTGAAATCCGATCAAGAAAATTGTGAAAGGTGTTGTTAAAGGGATTGTAAAGAGGTTTTCTAAATTTTTTTATGTGTATCGGGGACACTGATAGCATCAATTTGCACCATTCAATTTGCACCATTCCAATTTTTAATCAGACGTCTGTGGTTCTCGCAGTTCTACTAAAACTCAGTGTTTGATGACGTTACTAATCGCAAAATATGCTTTATCAGATAAGGCCCTCTGTGATTAGTGACGTCATCAAACACTTAGTTTTAGTGGAATTGCAGGAACCACAGATTGAAAATTGGAATGGTACAAGTTGATGCTATCAGTGTCCCCGATCCACATACAATTTTTAGAAAACCTCTTTACAATCCCTTCAAAGACATATGGGTTTGTCAACTTTTCCTTTTCTGAGTGGCAATATAGCTTATAATATTATTTTGGTATTTTATGTATTTCCAATCCTCACTCCCTTGTCTTCGTTCTCACGTCCTTTGTTGTATGTCCTTGTTGTGCCTACCTTGACAGTTGTATGGAATGGACACCAGTGACAAACTGACAATCGACTTTGAGTAATAGTTAGCAGACCTACCGCTAGACTTGTTTGTTAGGGGTGGGGGAGAGAATTGGGTATGGTCTTTAGTAATTAAATATAGTGAATTTCGTGTTTTATATGTTGCAGGAGAAACATTTTTAGGTATATTCAGCATGAAAGACTGCTACCCTATTTCAATGGTCATAGTCTCAAACGATAACGTCACCGACACTGTTACGACCAATTTCTACGACGTCGTCCAAGGAATTACAAACCCCGATGACTTTATACCACCGACTGAATGTATGAATGCCAAATGGGCGAAATCGGCTATGAAATTTAGATATTAATTCATTAAAGATCTTTTGTAAAATTAATTTTGTTGATTTGTGGTTTGTATTTAATGGACACCTTAAACCCAAGACTGACTTTGAACTGTAATGAGGTAAAAAATTTGCACCATTCCAATTTTAGATCAGATGTCTGTGGTTCTTAAAATTCCCCTAAAACTAAAATATGCATGATCACATAAGAGCCTTGGCTATTAGTGACGTCATCACACACTTAGTTTCATTTGAATTGCAGGAACCACAGACATTTGATTGAAAGTTGGAATGGTGTAAATTGATGCTATCAGTATACTCGATACACATAAAAATTCAGAAAACCTCTTTACAATCCCTTTAAGTTTATGTTTTGTTATGTTATTCCCCACACCCATCTGTATTTCATTTGCCTTCACCCTAATTGTTATGAAATGAGGTCAATCCTTGGAGTGCACGTGCTTATAAATAACGCTACAGGGAAGGGAGGAGTTGCCCCATTTCTCCATTGAAACTATGTATGAATATTGTTCCGAAACGTAGCTCTACTATTCTGACAACGTAAAAATGATTTAACTTACTGAATCATCCCTCGTCTGCAAACTTGTCCACTCATAGTTCCAGTTGCTCTAGAGATATTAACAATTCATCATTTTCCACAAATACATAAAAATGGCCGACTGTTCATGTTGTTGTTGTTGTTAAGAAAAATTACTGACCCCGCTCGGGTTAAAAACGTCAACCAATCAGAATCTAGGTGGTTCAAAGTACAGTCCTTCTTGACATTCGATTGGTGAACTGTTTTTAATCCGTGAAATACGATTCACACTTTTGAACAGAACTCGTTAACAGTTAAAATATTGTTTGGTTAAAGGGATTGTAAAGAGGTTTTCTTAAATTTATTTGTGTATCGGAGACACTGAAAGCATCAATTTGCACGATTCCAATTTTTTGTCAGACGTATGAGGTTCCTGCAATTCTAATAAAACTAAGTGTTTGATGATTGCAAAATAATCATGCTTTATCACATAAGGCCCTTTGCGATTAGTGACGTCACCAAACACTTAGACTGATGCTATCAGTGTCTTCGATACACATCAAAATTTAAGAAAACCTCCTTCAATCCCTTAAAATGAGAATTTAGAGCCAGGGTAGTTTGACTGGGATGGTGGTTTTTCTGAGAGTTCCATAGGAATAGACCCACAATTCAGAACCAGTCTATTTTATTTGGCTAATGAGTTAGATAACGCCTTTGTCCCTTTCCTGTTTCTATGACAGTGAGTTTAATTCTAATGTCGAGGTACACAGCTTAAAGGTATACCGGTATTCATCAGTGGACTTACCTGGTGTCATAACTATACAACAGAATCTCTCATTCATTAACCTAAGTAATTTTGAATAATTATTTAATTTAATGGATATATTGTATTATATAGAGATTCTATTCTTTAGTCATGACACCTGGTAAGTCCAACTGATGAATATATATACTTATTGACCAAGTTTGACACTTTAAATTTTATGTCCATTCAAAGAGGTAGTATTCCTTTAACGACACTTTCGCATGTCAGATTGTCAGGGTCTCTCATCACTGACATGTCAGTCTCTTTATTTCAGGAGAGATGTGGTTGGGAGTGTTCAGTTTAAAAGATTGTTATCCAATCAGAGAGGTCGTAATTGCCAACTCGAACATCACTCAAACCATCACTACCAACTTCTACGACATAGTACAGGGGATCACCAACCCAGACGACTTTATACCACCGACTGAATGTCTCAATGCCGAATGGGCCAAACCCTCTAGATATTTCTATTAATGGTTTTGTAATTTAGGTCAATTATTCATAACATATATACATAACTACATACATGTATATGCATATATTATTATAGTGTATCCAAAAAACTACCCATCTGGCTGAATCGACACATAAACAAGATCAGCCCACTTTATTTTAAGGTTGAATATAGCGATTATAATATACAGACACTACGGTGTTGATTACTACTTAGAGTACCTTCACTACCTTTAAATGAAGTCGACTGCTCGTGTTAATGTTTAGAATCGAAACTAACAGGGAGGAAGGTCTACAACCCTACCTTCCCCAACGCTTCATTGGCCACGTTACTGAGAGATCATCGCAACTGCTCTAATCCAAACATCTCCGATTTGTCTAAAATTACACTGTAAGGTATTACCACCACCCCCTCCCCCTCCCACAACAAACACCCTAGACCCTGATCGTATGACTTATAACTCATATCACCGGCTCCTTAAATCCATTTCCCATAACCATCTCACTTGTCTTTCAAAAGCTTTTTCTTGCTGAAGCAATGTCTGTGATGATCAAAAAATAGTTTCACAATCTGCTAGCTAGTTTGACAATATAGTTTCACAATCTGCTAGCTGGTTTGATAATATAGTTTCACAATCTGCTAGCTAGTTTGACAATGTAGTTTCACAATCTGCTAGCTGGTTTGACAATATAGTTTCACAATCTGCTAGTTGGTTTGACGATATAGTTTCACAATCTGCTAGCTGGTATAACAATATAGTTTCACAATCTGCTAGCTGATTTGACGATATAGTTTCACAATCTGCTAGCTGGTTTGACAATATAGTTTCACAATCTGCTAGCTGGTTTGACGATATAGTTTCACAATCTGCTAGCTGGTTTGACGATGTAGTTTCACAATCTGCTAGCTGGTTTGACAATGTAGTTTCACAATCTGCTGTCTAACAAGACAGCTACCTCTAAGCACGAAATTATGTAACTAATAACTTGGTTGGTAACAAAGTACCTGTCACAATACTCATGATGTAAATAGAAATATATAACCTCTAATAATAAATAAAATATATCATTCTGATTTTTATTTCCATGGGGTCGCTCGATTGGTGAGTTTCGCACGTTCGGGATTTATGGAATTAATGTACATGTACAAATGGGAACATTTTGAATGTGACACATTCCGTGTCCGTACCGTTCGATTGAGGGTAGAATTGGAACAGTCGGAACCTGTTCAGAACTCTCCAATCGAGCGCCACCCTGATGTTCTACACCCACATCATTATGTGTGGAATATATTGTCAGCATACATGTTTGTCCTTTCACACTTCTTTGTAAACGCTCTACAATCATATTTTTTTATCGAATGTGACAAAACATTAAATTTGGGCTTACTTTCCTTGTGCGTTTTGTACTATACATGAAGAGACCATAACTACTATGGAATCCAATAAAATAGCACACCAGAAATCGTTGCCAATGATCACGAGTTACTTCCCTTTAGACTGAATTTTATGATTGCTGTACAAATCATCGAATTCCTTTCCGTGGATACTCTGTTTAGGGCCACGAATCAAATGATCATAACCATCGTCCTCAACAACGGACGACTTTCGGTTGTTTTGAGTCTTTCCGCCTGCTTGACTAGTTGTAAGTTGAAGCGTATCATAGTCACCATTTACATAAATAGGTGAAGAGTTCTCTCCCGTTAATTGCGAGTGTATCATAGAGTTATCTCTCTTTGAGGAAGAAATGTTCTTCCTAACGTTATCTCCCTTGCTCTCTGATGGAAGTCTGTCTGATGATTTCTTTCTCTTGGTGGAGTTTAAATTTTTGAATCTATCGCTGTCGTGATCAGACATTGAAATGATGCTGACGGCCAAATCGTCGACTGTATTATAATAAGTAGAGTTTCGGTTTGACTTTCCGGACACTCTCGACTGTCGTCTGGACTCCAAGACGAAGTACTGTGACTGATTCAAGCTCACGTCTTTAATATCAGTCTCTACAGTGTTCTCAGGCTTTCGTCTGAAATGTAGAGGTAAAGGCAATCTTTTTTCCGCTTACAGTGCTAGATATTTAGTTTAATATATACCCTGTGGTTCACCTCTTTTGGAGTCGAATGGGGAATGGAGTTTGTGTTTCTGTTAGATATGAGGGAATGGAGGTGTAGTTTCTGTAGGGAGTATTTGGGAAGAATGGGTTTTCTGGTGGAGATGGGGGAACGAAGGTTGGGTTTCTGTTGGGCGGCGGGGAAATGGAGGTTGGGTTTCTGTTGGAGCTGAGGAAATTAAGGCTGGGTTTCTTTTGGAGAATTGGTAACGGAGGTTGAGTTTCTGTTGGAGCAGAGGAAATTAAGGTTGGGTTTCTGTTGGAGCTGAGGAAATTAAGGTTGGGTTTCTGTTAGAGCTGGCGGAATTCGCTCATCCAATTTTCTCTAAAAGTTCGACCTACCTTTTGGAGAGCAGAAGATACACCAGAAAGATTATAATAATTATAGTTACTATAGCAACTGGTACTCCAATACCCAATGTTACCGCCATCTTATCTACAAAAAACCAAAAACCAGAGAGTAATCAAAAACTATGACACAATTCCACTTACACTGGTGGCAAGTTCTTTTAGCAACGGTACAATGATTGGGAAAGGGATTGTGAAAGCAACGGTTAACATGTGGATAATCATCGTGCCGTTGCTTAAGAAACATGCACTGATGGCTGCAAGGTAAACTGGTACCCTGTTCGCGTATCGCTACACTAACGGTGCTAAGCTTTAGATGGAATGGGGACCAGTTTAGTTGCAAGGCAGGACACGATCAACTTTGAGAAAACGTGATGCCACTCTATATGATTAGGTTAATCCAGTCGACATCCCTTAAATACATAAGCAGAACACAATGTAATCAAATATATAAAAAACTATAACTTTCTTTCAGAGACTTTGCATCTTCTTCCATACTTTCGAGGTTTAGACGACCTCTATCATTGGTAGCAAAGCAGGTCCAATGCTACTTTGCGACTAGGTCTGTGGTTTCTGTAAACATTGGTAGATGACATGTAATGGCCTACCTTGATTAGAGGAAGATGACTGACTTGTCGTAGTTATAGTGGTATCTGAAATTAAAGGAAATGTAATTCTGTAATTCTACTATAACTAAGTGTTTGATGACGTCACTAATCGTCAACATATTTTGAGATTAGTGACGTCATCAAAAACTTACTTTTGAGGAATTGCAGGAATCACAGAAATTGGAATGGTGTAAATTGATGCTATCAGTGTCCCCGATACGCATACAAAATTTAGAAAACTTTTTACAATTCCTTTAATAAGATTGTCAATTTTAATCAAGGGAGGTAACCATTATTATAGTAAGCTATTAATGGTAAAATAGATCAGAGGAGCTTCCCTACAGTGGATCGACTGGATGAGTGGGGGCTTGTGGACTTAGTGGTTTGGGTGACCCTTTGTTTAAAACATATCCTTTCCTGCATTCTGAGACCCCTCTGTAATTAATTTAATGGAAAATTTAAAGGTTTGTATAGTCTGTTAACAAGGGAGATAATCGTGATTATAGTTAGCTAATACTGGTAAAATATAGATTGGGTAGCTTACCGAAATGATCAACAGGGTACGGTGGATTAATTTGATATTCATAACACATATCATCTACGTCAACTGAAAAAATAAGTTGTACTCCATGTTAATTTAATCGGGCTTGAGTGACCTTAGGTGAAAACATCAGAGGGTGAAATAGAGGCAGATGTTTCGGACTAGAACTAGCCGAGACTGCTATTGGAATGATATTCATATTAATTTACTTGTTGGATCTCAAAAGACAGTCGATATTTCGAAATCTATATGACTAAGGTACTAAACACCATACACCATACACCATTACCCTTCCTGATATATTACTTTCCTCTCCAAACAATCAAGTCCGGCCCCAGGCCTTAAAAGAAGAGGTGGCATTGAGAGCCTGATGGCTTACCCACATTAAGAGTCGCTGGAAGACATTTGTAACGAACTATCGAATAAACCGGAAGTACGTGCACTCCTGTTTTACAGCGGTTGGTCGGAGATAGGAGATCTGTAGTGGTGCAGGACGACATCCGCCAACATGAATCACACATCATCCTGATGGATACTATATCGAAAACATCCCAACATCGAAAATCTCTTGCACTTCTACAGCATTTAGGTCCATGACACAGACTGGCCGTGTTGCCGCCCATAGAACAATTAAATCCGAAGAAAGCTTCAGAAATTATTATCTGCGTGGAACGGTCCGAGCAGGAAAGCATATGAGGATCACATCCGGTTGCGTAATAGCAAACTCGAACGTCAATATTTATTTCACTAGCAACTGAAATTTAAATGAATGAATGAATGAATAGATAAATAAATACGACCGTATTTCTGAAAGCCTTTGAACTTATTTTTTATATATATCAAGGGACACAAATGGCCTCAATTTGCACCATTCCCTTCTTCAATCAGACGTCTGCATGGTTCCTGCAATTCGACTAAAAACTAAGTCTTTAATGACGTCACTTATCGCGAAGGCCTTATGTGATACAAGCATAATTTGCGATCAATTAGTGAAATTGTAGGAACCACAGACGTCTTATTGAAAATTAGAATGGTGCAAATTGATGATATCAATGTTACCAATGCACATAAAAAAAAATTATTCCCTTTAGGGCATGCAATCACATTGTCCCAGGTAAAATTTGAGAAATTTCATCAACGTTGCTCGGTTTCTTGACATATACATTAATGAACATGATATGCTGATACTTACCAAGCACTATACAGCACCAAAACACAAAAATAGAAGCGGAAATCATATCCACGGTTAAAATAAGTGTCACACTACGGCTATATATCCATATTTCCTTCACAGGTATTAACTATTAACAAAACCAATCTTGACGAATGTGTAGTGTCCGAAATGCACTATTAAATCAAAACCACAATTTATTCAACTAAATAGTAAAAAGAGTTCTTTGTAAATAACGATGGAGAATATCCGAAATGTACATTTAAATCACATGTACCCCAAAAACAGAGATTTTCACAAACTAATATGAATCCGATCAAAGGCATTAACTCATTAATTCATCAAAATCAAAGTAGAAATAAACAGTTAGTATAATTTCTCAAGAACGGGTACAAACATTGAAGGCTGATTGTCCTAAACGAGCGTCTAAAACAACACAAAACAATATAGGTCTTGCTAAATTTCCTTCCAAATTCATTTTAAAAACAAAATCGCAGCAAATTCAATAAAATTATCAAATTAATCTGCGACTTAAACGCGGAAGGTATAAACCACCGATTTGATGTGTTTATTCGTCAGTTTTTGACACCTGTCGTGACGTCATAAGACGGTATGTTTGATGTAGGTTAATTGATAGATGGAGATGATTTTTAATTAGAGATGACTTAATTAGTTGATTAATTTTTCATTCAATATTTCCATTTTTTTCCTTACTTATTTATGTATATTTTGTTTTTTATCTATATTTTGCTTATTGTTTCGGTCGCCGTTCAAAATGTTTTCTTCTCAGTTGCTTAATTTGTCTTGGAATTTTTCTGTTCCACTGCCATTTCTGAAACAGATTGTCTCTATCACAGACCATCAATTCCAGACCAGTGCCATCAGGGGTCAGTTCCAAACATTTTTTACTTGGAATATGCAATAACCAACCTCCCTGAAATAAAAATATAACAATTATTGTATAAAACAGGTGTTTTTCAACCTGCGAGTAATAAACGGGATTGTAAAGAGGTTTTCATGTGTATCGGGGACCCCTTTGACTTCTATTTGGGGCATTCCAATGCCTGTGGTTCCTGCAATCCCAGAAAGAGTTAACCGGAAATGACGCAGCTAACGCAAGAGAATTCGTAACCAACCTACCATCAGACCACCAGCTCCTTAGAGGAAGACCACCTCTTAAAATGGACATAACCTCTTTCAAACTTTGTAAATAAGAGTTTGTATTCATCAGTTAGACTAACTGTGACTAAAGAAGCTTGTTTCAAAATTACTTAGTTTAATGAATTATTACTTAGTTTTATAGATTTATTAGATTATAGAGAGATTCTGTTGTATAGTTATAACACCAAGTAAGTCAACTGATGAACAAAGACTCATTTTGGCCAAGTTTAAAATTAGGTCATCCTTAGAGGTAGTATATGTACCTTCACAGGCCTAAAAGACACAGGTACCCGCACCCCCGGGAACACTGTGACAGGACAAACCGTCTTAAAAATGACCGAAAACCATTGAATATTAATGAGTCAATGAATGCAGTCACGTCGAAACCAGTGTAACGGAGACGAAACCAACCTTAGTATATTTCCAACGTTGTAAAGTTAACTTAATACACTGTATAACTATTAACTTTTTACCACTAACATCTAAACATCCTTCATCTCTTCTTATCTGATTCTCTTTAGTTAGAGTGAAATGCTGCAAGATAAAACGTTTCGGGTACACAGCCTTCGTCAGTATGAGGCTAGGCCTTATCTGATAAAGAATATATTGCAATTAGTGACGTCATCAAACAGTTAGTTTGAACCACAGATGTCTGAGTAAATATAGGAATGGTGCAAATTGATGCTATCAGCATCCCTGATATACATAAACAAGTTAGAAAACCTCTTTACAATCCCTTTAATTTTCACAAATCAAACATTTCCGTTTTTATTTGCTTCCATTTTTAATTTAGCCACTTCAATTAGGGTCTAAAGATGGCCCTTCTGAATATTCGTCAGTTTGATGACACCGCCAGCCAATCAAATTTATGACCTCTCCAACGCTGGGATTTTGTGACGCTTACAAAAGTTGCATTCAATGTCTATTGCTTCAAGGAATACAGCTTTTGTTCGCGTCACAAATTCCCAGCGTTGAAATTTGATTGGCTCTGAAGTTGCTTAATCGAAAAAAAAGCCCATGCAAATAACAATCTAACCTCTCGCCCATTAGGCGGGTTATATTTTATCTAATTTGAGATCCGAACAGAGGAAAATCACAAGAATTTCCTGACCGCTAATACCATTTTTTTAATGATGTATTTGATCCATCCTATGTCTGTACAGTTAGGAGAATCAAACCCTCCATACCCCGAAATCTAATTAGACTGCAATCCTACCTGAACAAGTATATCTTTGTTACATCGTGATACATAAACCTCTTGACCATAGTTAGCCCATTGTATCGGTGTTTCAATACACATATCACTTATCCCAACGTTTTGAATCTGAAACAGAAATATATTGTCATGATATTGTTTTATATCTTTGGCTAATTAAATGAAATGAAATTTGATGTGCCTGCGTTTGGTACCTTAGAGGTCTGATACCAGTTCTACATCCTAATGTTTTACCTTGTTGATCTAATGCAAGGATTTTCAACCTGTATGTAAGGGGAGGTAATGTGGCCTGTGCCAATGCTTCCGACAGTCGGCTTTAACCCAAAATACACAAACATAATCAACGTACCTGACCGGATGCAAGCCAACCAAACGGAAGATACAGTTCAGGATATGCATTAGTAATATACCATTGAAAGGATTTACAACCAAGCTGCTTACGTAACAGCTTTCTTTCGTCTACGTCACCGATATCTGTGTACATCTACATCGAAAGAGAAAAACAGAAAATATATATCAATACTTTAAAGAGATGTGGTTGACCTGCCCGATTGATGATGTTCTCAGACCTTTCTACGTTAATATAAGTAGATCGAAGATAGGGTGGACGATGAGAAATAAAATGAATGGATTTTTACGTCCTACTTTTCTGGAAGATGAGAAGGAAGAGTTAAACGAAGGTAGAGAGAGAGGAAGATGAGACAGGGAAAGACAGAGATTGGAGAAGTAGGCGGCAAGATAAAAAGGAAGTATGACGTTTAGTTGAATATTAACAAAGAGAAACAGATGGGGGGAAGGAAGACTAGACAGTACCACGTAGACAACAGGCAATGGGAATATACACAGCAGAGAAAAGAAGGTATTGGAAGGTGAATATGAGGTATTGAAAATGAAGAGTTAGTGCTTAACAAGGACAGGCAGGGGGATGCAGAGCTAAGAGAGAAGGTATTGGAACACAGGAGAAGAGACGGATGATGAAGCAGAAAGTACAGTTGTTGGTGGATGATAGGAAAACCAGACGGTATGGGGGTCTAGAAGAGGAGGCTCTGAAATGCAGAGCAAAGAGAGAAGGTATTGGAAATGAAATGAATTAGAGTTTTACGTCCTACTTTTCTGCACCATGTGGGCTAATAAAGTCAATAGAGATGGTATTTGAGCCCAAGGTGGTCTAAAAGAGGAAGCGAATAGGGTGAGGAGGAGGAAAATAGGCATTCTCTTACATTGAGAGGTACTCATTGTACCACCGTGCAATGGATCGAATTACAGTACAGTACAGAACCTGTCAGATATTACAACAACCTTTAACAGAAATTGGTATTAATAATTTTTCATAAGTAGTTTCAGTGGTCAAATAAAATTGAAAAGAATTACCTCCCTTAGGTAAAACGTATATAAAACGTCACTATTGACTATAGTAGACTCCAGATCGATCTGAACAATTTAATTATCAAAATTATATCATTATATTGTAAAATAATATACCGCTATTTCTGGACTAAAGTTCCTCGTGGTTTATAGAGACTATCGATCGTTATCTAACGTTACTTTAAACGGCAAAAATTCGCATGAAAAATATACAATTTGATATGAAAATCGACGTGATAAATTTTAAGTTTGGCTATTGGAAATATTGGATCGCACATTTTGACTAGCGCGGTGCGATACCGCTTACATTGAACCCTGCTCCAACCCTAAGTTCAAGATTGGGTGCGCCTCTGTGCTTAAGTGAATACTAGTCAAATTGAAATTAGACCAAACTTTTCGTTTTTTATTAGCTTTTATTTTTAATATAGCCACTTCAGTTAGGGTCTAACGACAGCCCTATAGGGCGTTCGTCAAATTAACCTTTTAGCCTAATTCGATGACGTCTGCTTTAACCAATCAAATTTATACCCTCTCCAGCGCGGGCATTTTGTGACGTGGTGTTTACCAGGTTAAGTCAAAAGGTTAATTTGACGAACATTCAAGAGCGCTGTCGTTAGACCCTAACTGAAGTGGCTATATTAAAATTAAAAAGTAATAAAAAAAACGGAACGAAAGTTTGTTCTAATATTAATTAGACTGAGTGAATACAAACCTGTTTGTTGAAAATTCTCTCATAATAAAAATATTTATAGTTATCCATCCAAACTTCAGCTACTCGTAAACAGTTCCTTCTGATGACGTCACTTCCGTCAGGACCATAGTCGTAAGGAGCTGTTTGTCTGAACATGTGGCCTACGTGAGAGCATGGAATGATTTCAATATGGCCACCACACATCCAAACCTAAAATATAATGAAACCATTTGAGTTAGACTACGTTTTCTTCAGGTTCTAATTGGGTTCGTGAGGATTGACAACGCAGCACACAAGAAAGGGAACAAGAAACGGGAAGCTAAAGTAGCCTTATCCAATAAAATTCCGTAAAAGCAAAACAATTTCGTTAATCAAAATCTCGCCCAAAGAATGGCAAAAGCGAGAGTAAAAGTTGTATAGTAGTGGACTCATCTTAAGAGAAGTATCATCAAGTGTTTCGAAAAGAGTAAGCATGGTCTGCTTAGCTCGCAAAACAGTGTCAAATAGGTCAACACCTTGAGATAATATCAGAACAATTTATGCATGACAAGCCTTATCCATGTTTATTTTCACGATAATGCACAACCGTGAAAATGGGTTATAACTGACTGACCTTAAATGATAATTCTATATTTTCACAGCCCCAAATCTTTAACTCTGGGTCGTATTGTCCCAAACGTTTAAAGGTTTCAACAGAGATGGCGAAACAGCAACCGAGATGAGTGGGAGATCTGAAAAATAAAATAAGTTGTAAACGTCATCAAGAAATAAGAACTGTCGACACAAAAAGAATTAACTTAGATAATCTACGAAGATTATTCATCATCAGGCCCTTAGCCAGACGTGATTGCAGTGGCGGGCCATAGGGGGGAAGGGAAGATGGGGCATTACCGAAGGCATGTCTTTCGGGCAAAAATCTCATAACTAGATTAGAAATTCGCGCATTCATACCTCATCGGAGCCAAAGGATTAGCGAGATCCTGACGTCGCATCAGAATCCAATTGTAGTATAGGTCAAGGTCGAAACCTCCGATCTGTCTGCTGGAAACTGGTACAGACTGGAAGGAGAAATCGTCACTATCTATCCTATCAATACCGGGTACAGCTAGAATATTTTTATTCCCCTGTATTCGTGATAACAATGGCTCCAACCATCCTGAAAGAATTCGAGCCCATGAGGTAAGCACTTCAGTCTACGTCAGTTTCGTTCTGTATAGAAAATAATCATACGTTGACAGTTGCAAAATCATGATAGAAGAAAATTTGTCCCAGAAAATAACAACCAGGGGCGTATCTAGAAAATTTAAGGGGATGGGGGTATTTCTACGAGGCAAGGTCCGAAGGACCAAAGCCCTTGATGCCGGGAGACTGGGGGTTGCTAGAGGCTCTAAAAATACAACGGATTCCATGCTCCAAAATTCTTCCCTCTAAATACGCTACTGGTAACTGTTAATCATGACGATGATGAAATGGATGATGATGATTATGCAATTGATAGTTGGGCGAATCATTTAACTGATTCAGATGCTGATGGTGATAATACAAATGTATGCAAATCATTCGCCAGACGAGGTAAATGAAGGATGACTTACTCTCCGCCGTCTCCACGTGGGAATCCAGAAAGACGGCAACTTCTCCCGAGACATATTTCAGACCCTCCATTCGAGCTGTCATCAGTCCCATTCTGTTCTGTAGCCTCACTAACTTAACCATTGGTATGTCTCGTATATAGTCCTCAAGTGGACGATTCAAAATCACTAAAAACGATTTGAAAGTTGAACGTGGTAAAATTCTCTGACCAGGTCATAGACATCGGGGGTACGAGCAGGCTCGGAGACAGACTTGATTGTTCGGAGGGGCAAGTATTACATCCGGAAAAGAAATGGTGTATTGGTGGGTTATCAGAATTCTTTTTCAAGAAAGCAATCCATTTTTTCGGGAGGCCTTTGCCCAGTAAAATATTACAGAACAGGAAATAAAGTCAGTCAACTTATTGACTTACCATGAGTAGAAGCATCATCCACAAGAATAATCTCAGTCAATAAAATATCAGGTACTGTTCGTAAGACGCTGTGTAAAGATCGTAATAAAACACTCCAAGCTTCATTATGAAAGATGATCACAACACCGGCTTTTGGCAGTTTTTGCAAATTATATTGGATTTGTAGGCACCTGAATTAAAAGATTGAGCTAATAAAGATTTGCAACGAAGGCAATGAGCAACGAGGGAAATTTTGCCAGCTGTGCACTTATACCTTAGCCATGTGATTAGGTGTCATGGGTTCGAATCCACCTCAAGAAAAGAAAAAATCTGATGCCTGTGCCTGTGGTTCCCTAATACCTTTAACCAGACTTCAGGTATTTTTTTCCCAAACCTTCTGTGGTTATGTAGCGTCAGATAAGTACATACATAAGATTAAATGCTCGGCTAAAATCTGGAATGTTTTGGGTTTTTTGTTTACTTACTGTGGTTCTGTAACGTTGAGAATCTGTCGCGTGACGGGAATAATACCACTGACCATTTCATTAAACTGATGTCTTCTATATCCAGCATCGTATTTCTCTCGTTGTTCTGAACTCAACTGGTTTTTATCAATCCTCACCCCCTGTCCCCCATAACCTGAAAGAAAATGATCACAATAGATATAGCCTTGTGAACTCTCCAAAAGCGAATTCCACTCTATCCATGAGGCCAGTATAGCCAGACTTGATTATTCGGAGGGGCAAGTAATATATCCGGAGGGGGTATTGGTGTATGGTCTTTAGTTGCAGTAATGTTATTGGGTCGGTTGCCCCACCCCCCTACTCTTTAAGCCTTTTCCCGATTAGTGACGTCATCAAACACTGAGTTTTAGTGAAATACCAAGAACCACAAGGAAAGATTGAAAAGTTGAAAGGTGTAAATTGATGCTTTAGGTAAGCGAGCAAGGGCCAATACACTAATCCACACACGGCCTCCGCAGGTATGAGAGTAAAAAACTTACCAGGGGAGTTCGGATCGCTTCCATGATCTCTGGAGAGTATCAAACGATGACTCTGAGCAGAAGAGTAGCGTTGGTGTCTCAAAACAGCTTCAAGGGCGACGAACGACCAAAACGTCCAGATACAGAGTAAAAACCCGAACACTAACGGAAGCATCAGCATTTCCAGTGCACTCGTTTGTCGTTTGATCATTTTCAAATCGCATCTACCACACAGTTTTTAAAAAGCTATAATCACATAATGTCCAATTATGTTTCTGTGAATAATATACTTTTAGGTAACCGTTGGCCTCATTGACAAATGGTGTATCTGAAACTGCACTCATTTACCACACGATTTTAGATCGAAACGACATGAACAATAATTCTACCCGTAAAATTTAAGAGATGAAATATCACAGCATAGTGGCCGCATATCAGTCGTTAGAAAAACGCCAAACCGTACTCCGAATATTATTTTGTAAACCTTTTATGATGCTACGGCTTATGCTATTTGTCACGGATGCATGAAACTTTAAACAATAAGCCTTTTAAAATAACACCACTTAAAGGAGCAGTATGCACAATTTTCATTATCAAAAACGTCGTGAATTATACCTGAACAAATTTCTATTACATGCTATTTATCTATTTATCTACTTGATCAAACTGAATTTGTTTTAAAAGGGTTAATGAAAAACTGAGAGTACTACTTATTAATGAAGCAGTTTAAACAAGTTTTGATAAAGGGTCTCATAAATACTATTTTTAGTTGAAAACTTAAGAATACGTTGGGGACACTCTACAATAAGGCATTTTCTTTGCTTAAATCCGTACAGTAGTTTTCTAACACTTATCAAAAAGTGTAACGAACTTAAAAGGTTTAAATTATAATGCCTCATCTGATAAGTATAGAAGTATAACTCTCTAACTTAGAAGCTTTTACATCAGAAAAACTGATACAGTGATTGCATTTTAATTACAGGGTTTACTTTACAAAATGAAAATCAAGCACTGAGTTAGTCAACAATTGAATAAAACTATTGAATTTAAGTAACGGATGAAGAAGCAACAAAATTTCATTTTTAGACCTAGTTGTACTATTATTAATATATAAAACAAAAGATTGGAAAATTCCGAATGACATCACATTATAACTAACTTTCGTTCAGTTTTTTCATTAGCTTTCATAGCCACTTTAGTTAGGGTCTAAAGACAGCCCTCTTGAACGTTCGTCGACCTAACCTGGTAAACACCGAGTCACAAAATGCCATAATGTCGTTAGACCCTGCTATACTACAAAAAAAGCTAATAAAAAAAACAAACAAAAGTTTGGTATAATCTAATTAGACTGTAGATCATAATATTAAAATCTAATCAAGAAAAAAAAAAACCTAATTATAGACGAACCTGGCGTCAAAAACAGTTTTCATTTTGAAAAGTAATACGGGTGGTTACGTTAGTAAAGTGAATGAATAGACTTTATCTCTTTATGGACAGTCAGCTGTTACACTTGAACCCAAGAGAGATAATCATCCCCCTGATAAGTAGAACCCATTATTCTTATATCATTTCGGTCATAAATTTTTTAAAGGGATTGTAAAGAGGTTTACTATTGCGTCATTTAGGGGGTGGTTTTGAGTCTTGAATATATGAAAATAGTCTGCAGAAGTACTAGAAATGCACGAAAATCATATAATTCGTTCAAAAATATCTCAAACTAGGAATTTCTTTTCATATTTCTATAGATGCCTTTTATATATAGCCTATGGCAGTGCCTCAAAAAAGACGACTCGTCTTTTTAACTTTCAAACGTGGATAATGCTGAACACACATGGATTCAAAGGCTCAAATTTCAACGGTGAGCTGCGAACAATATTACTGATTGGCTTAGCCAAAGAATTTCCCGTTTCTGAGATGATTGGTCAAAAAATGGTACACCCCCCTTTCAATAGAAAAACGACAGTAAAACGATAAAAAAAATTTGAAAAACGAAAAACATTGTGAAGTACGTTCATTATTCGTTATTGCCATTAACCCTTAGGAATTGGGCCACTGTGCATTTGGATCAACCAGTCCCTCTTGTAGTTCACATATTGTAGTTACATATTAAATAGTTCACGAACTGTGTAATTGGATACAAATAGGACATTTGACCTTTCTTCAGTAAAGAGAAACTTATCTCACTGTTTGTCTACAAAATGTCGGCCGATAAATCCCTATTGAAGCATAATGAAGATTATTTGACGTATTTTTCGCCTGAAGGTCACTGCTGAGCCTTACGTTCAAGAGATCTTCCTCAGTGACTATGTACCTGCTAATCGAGACTACTTATACCATTGGTTGACTGGATCAATCAAATTAGATTTTAAAGATATGTTCCAGTGTATCACACGGCTTGAAAATAAAGGGTAAGTAGTCCAGATTAATCAAACGGAAGATGGCTTAAGAGCCATAGTTCATCATTTTCGCAGGTCAATCGTACCTTGGTCTCAAAAACCGGGAATTATTGTTCAGCTAAGAAAATCAGTAATAGTGTTTGTCTTTCGTATCGGTTTAAGTGAAATATGTACTAGTTTCTGACGTGTTAAAAGGGCAACGGATGAGATACATCTTTATTAGTTCATGATTTATCTTGCTTGGAACACAGATAAAAACATACTTCAGTTCATGATTTGCTATCTTGCTTGGAACACAGATGAAAACATACTTCAGTTCATGATTTGCTATCTTGCTTGGAACACAGATGAAAACATACTTCAGTTCAGTATTTGCTATCTTGCTTGGAACACAGATAAAAACATACTTCAGTTCATGATTTGCTATCTTGCTTAGAACAAAGATGAAAGCATACTTCAGTTCATGATTTGCTATCTTGCTTAGAACAAAGATGAAAGCATACTTCAGTTCATGATTTGCTATCTTGCTTAGAACACAAATGAAAACATACTTCAGTTCATGATTTGCTATCTTGCTTAGAACAAAGATGAAAGCATACTTCAGTTCATGATTTTGCTATATTGCTAGGATCACAGATGAAAGCATACTTCAGTTCATGATTTGCTATCTTGCTTAGAACAAAAATGAAAACATACTTCAGTTCAGTATTTGTTATCTTGCTTGGAACACAGATGAAAACATACTTCAGTTCATGATTTGTTATCTTGCTTGGAACACAGATGAAAACATACTTCAGTTCATGATTTGTTATCTTGCTAGGAACACAGATGAAAACATACTTCAGTTCATGATTTGCTATATTGCTAGGAACCCAGATGAAAACATGAGAGGTACGCTACAAGACGCCTAAACAGAGTTGCCACATTCAACCAGTTCAACTGGCTTCGAGTCCGAGTCTAGAAACTTAAATAGATTGTAAAGTAGTTTTCTGAAAAAAAAAATGTGTATCGGGGACATTGATAGCATCAATATGAACCATTCCAATTATTAATCAAATGTTTGTAGTTCCTGCAAATCCATTAAAACTAAGTGTTTGATGCCGTCACCAATCGCCTTTTTTTAATGAAGCAAATTTACTTTTTTGACTCATAATATATGTAAGAATGCACCAAATGAATTTAATTTTTCGGTAATTTTCCAGGGACATTCCTTCCTACACTCCGACATGAGAGGCATGCGACAAGACGCCTCAACATAGTTGTCGTATTTCGAGTACTTCAGAAGACATTTTACGTATATTCAAGACCTAAATCAACCCACGAAAATAGCTAACCCGTCCCTTTAAAAAAAAGTATATATGTGTAAAAAGTATCGATCGAGAAAATTATCACGGTCGAATAAATCAGTATTGTTTCTTGTTGCTTATTACATTAAAGCAGAAGATATCAGACTTAGATATTTAATTAAAGGCTTATATCGAGCAGGTGCTTGAGCTTAATTACAAAAAACAATAGGACAGTCGTAGATCAATATATAATTTGGAATGAACAATATTCCTATAAATACAGCATGGAATTGTATTCACAGCTTTGTGGACATTCCGTCGTAAGGTAAATTTGTTTTGCTTTTTTTTTCTTACGTTATCTATAAGTTGCTTAGATTTTTTAATTTTGCCATCCGTCTGACCAATCGTACCTTAGTCTCAGAAACGGGAATTGTCTTAACATTTCACCATCGAAATTTTAGTCTTCGAATCCTTGTGTATTAATTATCAATGTTAAAATGACGAGATGGAAGAGAAGTAAAACGGAATCTCAGATGATTTAAAATATGTTCTAGATGGGTGTCAAGCTTTTATTCTTGGGTATTTGTCTGATTTATTTGGTACTGGATCTCCACGATGCCGAGGTCACTGCTGTGTCAGACAGACAAGCCAAGCTGAAGGAAAAAGACGCAAGAGAAAAGGTACTTTACATGTATTATCAAATCCTTATCTCAATTTTTTGCTTGTTTTCTTGAAAGTCAATCGCCTAAGAGGGTATTTTAGGAATTTCTTCGAATCCAATCCACAGAAAACTGTTAAATGTGTAGAAATGTTTGTAAAATTTATGTTTATCTTAGCGAAGACAGACTTGATTACTTTGAGTAGCGGTATTTATATTATCGATATGAAACAACCACGGAATAAGACAGGGTTCACTCATACCACCCTCACCCTTCTTGTATTAAGCCAATTTAAACAAAAGAATTTATCGAAAATTTATTATTGGAAAGAATACGAGTTTGTGTTACTGCTGTCGCAATTGATATTCTTCCTCATGTTAAAAGTTCATTAGCAGCTACTAATGTTTCGCCAATATGTTGTTTGGATTTCGAACTTCGTTTGGCGGTTCGGATCGTTAGTACTTGGTTTATATATCCTTATAATCACATGCCAGAAAAGCAGGATTTAAAACTCCATTTCATTTCTTATTCCAGCTTCAACAAGAGCTAAGCAAGAACTATGCCGTAAAACAGAGACGAAGGAAGAAGAAGAAGTTTAGGGATCCAAGAACTCGTGGAAAATCTTCAAAAGTCGTGAATCGAGGTGGAGCTCCCAAAGTTCAAAATGGAGATGATGTAAGGTTAACCTTTTCAATAGCATTTGGATTAAAAGTAGATAACATAGAAACATAACTACTGTTCTACGTCATGTTGTTCGGTAGTAAAAAGTCGACTTTGTTTTTGACTTTTATGCGTTTCAAGAAGCTTCATTTCAGTGGCCGCGTCAGCCTCACAAGATCGGGTTACAAATAGGGCAGACTTGCTTAAAGCAGGAACATCTGAGTTGTAAATGCGACAATTTTGTATGGGCAAGCAAGCCTGTTATTTTCAAAAAAATTTTAGACCCATCCTGAAGCAAAAACGTATAAAAATAATTTTTTCAAATAAAGTGGAGGTACAATTATTGGAAGTTCAAACCATTTTCTACAGGGAAAAAAAGCCTACCATGTACCCTCATTGGTGCACACTTTCATGTACCTGAAGACGACGGGGGAAACACGTCGAAACGTTGCATAAAACTTTAACCAGTGATTGTTGTTCCATAAAGCTGTGTCTATATATCGTATTCACAATTGCTAAATGCCATTCAAAGACTTTTTCATATTGACGTGTTCTTGTCGTAGCTCTAGAACAGACCGGGCTCAGATTTAAAATGTTTAAAATGCTGAGCAAAGCTGTACAGCAAGTAGGTTGAAGACGAAAGCCTTGATGATTATTTTCTACACTTGCAGGGCGGTGACGATCCTCATATTGGAAATCGTGAAAATTATCTTCAGAAATATTTTAAAGGGGTAAGGATTTAAATTTCATTGTTAGGACTTAATTGTGTGATTGATATTGTGTCAAGAATTCCATAGACCAATCACTCTGCTGGTGGACAAAATTGTCCCTATGGTCATTGTACAATCCTTCAGTCTGTTCAAATTTAAGCTTTCGAGTCCGAATCTAACAACTTAAATGGATTGTAAAGAGTTGTTCTAAATTCTTTTGTGTATCGGGACAATGATAGCACCAATTTTTACCAATTCAATTTTCTTTCAGACATCTGTGGTTCCTGCAATTCGACTTAAATTAAGCGTTTGATGATGTCACAAAATTTGCTTTATCACATATTAAGACTCTTCGCCGAATGTTGTAAGCCTAATTTCTGTAGTCAGTTCGCTTAGCTCGCTCCTCTAGAACAGTCAGTTTCTGACTTAACACTATCTTCAGAATTATCCTGTTCTCAAATTTTGCTTCAGAAAATGTGGGGAATACGAGATAAGAAGAAGGCACCGAAAGGAAACTGGCGAAAAAAACTTCGAAAACAAAAACATAAGAAAAAGGAAAAACGTCAAAACATGAAAAAGAAGGAAAAATCCAAGCGTACCAAAGTGAAGAAGTTTAAAAAGAAAAGAAAAAAGCACAAGAAGAGGCGAAGAGGAAAAAGATCTACCGACGAGAACGAGGACGATCCGGGAAGCGACCAGGAACACACTCACAGGACAAAGAGATATGCTATAACTGACCAAGAACGTATGTGGGATTATGGAGTTGTTCCCTATTCTTTTTCTTCAGACGTCAGTAAGTATAGCTCTGTTCATTCGTGGCTGGGGATATTAACCACTTCGTGGCAAACAGTCTTCAGCCATTCAAAAGGCTATTTGCCACATTTTCGTTCACGCCTTATTTTGTACATACAGATAAATATTCGTTACAAATAAAATCGAAATTTACGTGTTTATTAGACTTTTTAATAGCTCAGGATTATTTAACACGTATGTGGTAAGTAGTCACTGCCTTAAATCATTCTATGAAAACAAGCTTTTTGAGAGTCAGGAATTAAACTTGTTGTATCTTCTTACTTCAGCTGATGTGATGGCGAGGACGTATAGAGGTGTATTTGATGCTCTAGAAAAGAGAACATGTATATCATTTGTAGAATGGGATGGAACTGAGTCGTTTTATTCGAATAGAAGTCTCAATCATATGGTTCACCTCAACTTTGTCGACCAAGGGGGGTAAGTGTGGAAGCATCGGCTTCACCAAAATACTAATGTCTCTCTACGGGACAACACTGCCAATCATAAGGTGATATGATGTACACTGGCTCAACTACCAAAGGGACTATGGGCACCCACCCCTAAGGGGGCTACACCTCGGTGTCTTTAATCTTCCGACAGCCTCCGACAGTCCGATGGATCATTAACAGGCATTAAATTGACTTACAGAGGGGTCTCAGAATACAGGAGACCATATGTTAAAAAACAAATAACGGGGGAGGGGCCTCCACCCATCTAGTTGTTTCACTGGTGGTGCATAAGGATCGGTTATGATTATGTTGCTCATCGTTCTGGAACACCTGATGTCATTATGTTATTCATCCACTCCACATTTTTTTTTTTGGAAACAACATAAATTTTATCATCTTTACAGATGCTGGGCATACTTGGGCCGCTATACCTACAGAACGACCAATATAGCTCAAGATATCTCTTGTTGTTATGTGGGGGTAAGTAAAATAAAACATCTATCTCTAAATATCGGGGTTTGCTGGATTGAGGTACATGTAAATATTCACACCTTTGGAGGTGCGGAAAATCTAAAAAACAAGGCCTAGTTTTTCTAACCCTACTCCTGCCGACAACTTTCAAAATATCTGAGACTTGAATAGAGTCAGGTGTTTAGGACTAGGAAATAACGAGCTACAAAATAAAAACCAAGTAAACTTACTTACACGTAAAGTTGAAGCATCCGATACTTCATTTCATCCAAAGGGGTTTGAGAGACACCACACTTCATCTTCATACTTCTAAAACCTCAGATTTGTTTTCAATTCTTCTTTATTCTAACCTACCTCTCCATAGAGTTACTCCCCTTCTGTCAAATTGGAACGTACACAATTCAGTGGCGCTCGATTGGTGAGTTCTGCACGCTCGGGAATCATGGAATCAACGGAACGTTCAATAAAACAAGTTGGAACAGAGATCAACGCATTCCACTTCTGCCGAAAAAATAGTAGATGCAGACAGAATTCAAAATGGCAGAAGAAGAAATAGATGGAAAAATTTTCGAATGTGACATAATGTCCACTTTCATGTGGGTCAAACATTCAGAACTCAACAATCGAGCGCCACCCTTTTAAGATATAAAATGAATTAAAGGGGTATAATCGTCAAAATAGTTTACCCTCTGAAAGAGCTCAGCTATCCGTATCATTTTAAAGAATTAAAAACCCGACGCCTAGTTCTTCTAAAATTACTAAAGAAATATCTCGCCATTTTAGATTATCGTCACACCCATGTCGTTATTCTATTTCAGAGAACATGTTTACATGAAATCATGCATTCTTTGTCCATGGAACACGAACATACCAGTCCTTTGCGAGACGGGTGGCTGAGAGTCAACTGGGATAATCTGAACGAAGGTAATGGAAAAATTTCCATCGTTTCACACTGGAATCTGTTTCTCGTACTCGTACCAAACTTTCGTTCCGTATATTATTCACTTTTATTTTTAATTTAGACACTTCAGTAAGGGTCTGAAGACGGGCCTCTTGAACATTCGCCAGTTTGATAAAATTTCTGCACTTCCCATCGCTCGGATCGCAACAAAAAGTTGTATCTGGAGAAGCATTAGACACTAAATACACGTGTCACAATATCCCAGCTAACGTGGCTAAATTAAAATTTAAAGCTAGTAAAAAACGGAACGACAATTTGGTCTAATTTAAATTAGACTGCCGTACTTATTGGCCATAAATTAATACCTGCAAACATTTAAGAATTAAATGCAGATAGCCCAGCCTCGAATACTTTAACTGTGTGGAAACTCTGAAATAATGCCATTTTGAAAAACCCTGTCGCAGACGCTCTGTAAAGAAACAATTTCGAACACTGTCAAAGAAATGATTCAATATATCAAAAATGTCACAGATCTTACAATGTTTCCTTTCAGATGGGCAGTTTCAGTTCTCAGTTATAGATCCATTGATGTTGGGAAGAGAATCCTGGGGTTTTGATATTAAATCATTTGTCAGCTACGGGACCACGGTAAGGGTGTTTACTTGGCCCTATTTTCAGTTTTAATTTCATCGAATTTACTTCCAAGTGGAAAAATGCTGAATAATTCAGTCTCTGACACCCAGATATCCCCTGTGTACAGGGGCTGGCACAAGAGCGGTCTTGGTCGGAGACTTTTGTATCCGATTAAAGTCTTGTGTTGAGTTTCAACGACTGGCACGGGCACACGATAAGACAAAAATCTCCAGTCGGTCGTTTTCCACCTTGTCGATAATCACGTGCGGAGCATGTAATTAAAAGGAAAAGGAATCTGATTGGATGATGACGGTCTGTCTTGCAGACGATAAAACTATCGGAGACAATTAAAAAACTTGTGTAATATTATAAATCCTGCCGGCGACACGATAATCTTGTCGTGGAAGCACGGGCACACGCGAAATTTTACTCAATATTCGACTCGGAGACAAAAATCTCCGACCAAGACTGCTCGTGTGCCAGCACCTTAAGACGACTTTCCATAATATTTAATGTACGGCGCTTTCAAATTCCACCAGGGGAGATAACTACAAAAAAGCATATTCTCAAACGACTTTAGTTTAAAACCGAAACAAAATGACAACCCCGACAAATTTTTCAGTTTATTTTTGATATTTTTATCACCTGATATGATTCATTGGCTGCTCGAGATCAGAATAAATATCCAATGCATTTTCTTTATTACTGATTTATTAATACAAAAGGAAGCTCTACTTTTAGCTAATGTTGTCCCGCATCAAACGTCAACCAATCAGATTCAATAGCCACTGTAGACTCGGTCAATTACAAAGACTTTAAGCAACCGGTCCAGGCCATCTTTCTTCAAAGCTGTACGTATATAGACAAAGAGGGACTGGATGATGCAGGCTAAATAATTAATTCATTCATTTATTTATTCATCCATTCTTTATTGCCAGGAATTTACTAAAAACGGTATGATGGGATTCCAACCGTTAATGCCTGATTTCTACCCGACTGGTAACAGTTATTGGCAGCCATTTAAAGAAGTACAGATGAATTACGATTGTTTTGGTATGTAATGAGATCCACGACACATACATGACATTTGGGGCCGACTGGGATTGGTAATGTACCTCTCGACAGTTGGACAAATTGCCTTCATTGCACACTGTATGCTGTTGCCTGTCTCCAAAAGTCCAACAAGGTGCAGAAAAGAAGGACTGATTTAGCGTTTATCTTTGACAGGTTAAGTTCACTCTTCAAGAATAGCACAAGTATTTAAAGTGTTTTACGTACCGTTTGATTGAGGGCAGAATTGTTTCCAACTAACAGGCAGATTTGTTGAACAATATGGTAGCTTCAAGTCGCCAGTATGGGATATAGGGAACGCAACACTATCTTGTGCAACTAGCACTGCCATTTCCCATGCAATTTCAGGTATCAAGTGTAGCGGAATGGAAGAACCAGTCTGTGAAAACGATGGTTACCCGGGATACTATGAGGGTGAATGTGGGTGTGTTTGTCCACCTGGGTTAGATCCTGCCACCAACTGTGCTTCAATTAAACCAACGGGTAAGGTGCTAAACTGAAATCAATTTGATTTTTTTATTGGGATGGGGGGTGGGGTGGTGATACTGGGAGGAAGGATTTGGGATCACAAATTAGGATTTTTGTTTATGTTGCGTCATTATAATGTTTACCTACGCAAACGACCTGGTGCTGTTCCAGCAACTACATGTTCAATCTTACCCAAGCAACTTCGATATGCACAACCAATCTTAACCGAACATCTTCGATATGTACAACCAATCTTATCCGAGCAACTTGGATATGATCAACTAATCTTAGCCGAGTAATTACGACCTGTACAGCCAATCTTACCCCAGCTACTACAACGTGAACAACCAATCTTACCCGAGCAACTATGACATGTACAACCAATCTTAACCGACCAATTACGACATGTACAATCAATCTTACCCGAGCAACTATGACATGTACAACCAATCTTAACCGGCCAATTACGACATGTACAATCAATCTTACCCGTGCAACTTCGATATGAACAACCAATCTTACCCGAGCGACTACGACATAGACAACCAATCTTACCCGAGCGACTACGACATGAACAACCAATATTAGACGAGCAAATTCGTCACGCAATACCATTCTTACTTGAGCAACTTCTAGAGACATTTAGAATCTAGTTTATTTATGCTCGTCAAATTCCTTAAAAATAAGAAAACAAGTTTACAATTGTGTGGATCTGATCAATTTGGAGAGTTTATATAACTGGGTTTCATTTCAGATCCAATCAGAGGCTGGCCACCATCATCGTTCGGATTACCAGAACCGATAGAGGGTTGTCCAGCAGGATTCCAACTCGGCAGTTTAACCCAACCGTTAGCTGGCGACTCCGAAGTATCGTCTAGTAGCCACATCAATGCTGGTTTTGAGAATTCCACAGCGGAGTTCGGTTTCTGTCTTAAAGATACCGCTAGTCAAACAGAGGGTGGATTGACGGAGTGGCCTCGTGGACAATATTGTATCCATTCTTATAGTAATGCTTGTCCTCCAGGTAAACAGAAAAAATCTCTTTCATCGTCGCAAGTATTACTTCCCTGATCTCTAAAACTGGATGCATACAAAATATTGTGCCAATCTAATTAGCAAATATACGAAACTACGGATGGTTCTTACATGGAAATAACACACTCGAACGTAGTTCACAGCAATTTTGAATCTAACTACAGTCGTGAACGTTCGTCAAATTAACCTTTTGACCTAAGCCGATAAACACCGCGTTACAAAATGCCAGCGCTAGAGAAGGTAGAACTTTGATTGGTTAAAGCAGTCACCGAGTTAGGTTAATAGGTTAATTTGAGGACCGTTCAAGAGGACTGTTGTTAGACCCTAACCGAAGAAGCTATATTAGAAATAAAATTCTAATAAAAAACGTAACGAAAGTTTGGTCTAATTTTAATTATTTTATATTTCATGGATTCTCCACACTAATTTTTATTCCATTTCAGGATTTCAAGAAGGCTTAATCACCTATGATGATTCTGTAAACGCCACTCGTACGATATTGACCGAGTCTCCCCTACCAGATGGATCTTTTGTTAACAATACAGAATTGTGGTACTGTTGTCGCTCTGATGGCATGGTGCAACTCGACATTAAACTTCCTAACACCGAATCATTTATACTGTACAGACATGGCACTGCTGAATGTCAGAACGTAGAAGGTATGGTGTTTCAGCAACATTTTATTCAGCGGCGGTGCCAGCTCCCCGATATTGGGGGTACAAATATGGGACAGACTGAGACAACTGTCGAGGCTGAATTCATAATACATTGTGGAGGCGTCATAGTCGCAAGCCTCTCATGGAGCGTCTGTGAGGATTATCCCAAGAAAATTTTCGAAAAATTGAATTGATTTTGTGCATTCTGACACATTTTTGGGGGCATAAATGTATACAAATCCTAATTTTTAAAAAATGAAGTGGGGTTACAATTGGGGGTGCAAACCTCCACTGGTTGTACAGACTTTAAAGAGAAACGCCCCAGCAAAATGTTTGGAACAAATTACAATCCACCATTTTGTAAATTTCAGGAATGTACATGTTTCCCGAATATTACTCTCTGATGATAGAAGGGGAGACAATTAGAAGTATTTCAGTTTACCAGACTCTAGGTTCTGTCCCTTACAATGTTTTAGATGGAAACGAACTATTCGTGTACTATTGTTACTATTCGCCTCTAAATAAAGGTAAACTATTCTTTCATCAGACCCAACACCAGGTGTGTTGGCTGGGATCTTCTATTTTTATATTTCTGTATCTTTTACATATATGGCAGAATCTCAAGAAAAGACGACTCGTCTTTTTAACTTTCAAATGCAAATAATTCTGGACACACATGGCTTTGAAGGCTCAAATTTCGAATGTGAGCTGTGAACACTATTACTGATTAGCGTAATTTAAAAATTCCCGTTTCTGAGACTAAGGTACGATTGATCAAAAGGATGGCGAACCGGTCCCATTATAATTCGTGGAACTAGGTCGGGGAAATATTCAAAGTTGTTCAAGGTGCAACGAAAGAAATACTACAATATTCCCCATAATTAGGAATTAGGAAAGTGGTGGAAACTTTTAACATGGTGTCTACTCCGGATTTCTGACTGGACAAAATTTGTGAAAATATAACAGTATCTACCGAATTTACCATACTGATTTAAACTGATCGCAAATACCCATCCAAATCAAACTTCAAACGTCAAAGTCCAAAAAATCAATGAGTCAATAGCGGCCATCGTAAACGTCTTCTTCCCTGCATCCAAGATTATAAATCTTATATCGTCAAAAAAGAGCCACTGTCGTTCTGGAACAGTATATATATATTTCAATTTTTTCCAGATTGTGGTGAAGTAATTCATCTAGGGCCAGAAAACCCGACTCATGATATCATGACACCCAATTACCCATTCGACTACCCACTAAATACAGAGTGCAACTGGCTTTTTGTGGTAAGAATCTCCTTAAATTATGTCACATTGTACTACCCAATCTTATTAAAATTGGATTACAATTTTAGTCTACAGTGTAAACTCAGAAGTTTTCTACCGTATGCTGTCCCAAAGGTCGTATTTTTAACCAATCAAAGCATGTCACGTAAAAACCGAATCCTGATATTATAAGGAATTGTGGTATATTGAAACTTTAAAGTAGAGCAATATGATTCTTTTGGTTTTGCTATTCCCAATTCCACATACTTTTTTTTTGTTTCTTACAGGCACCAGAAGGATCGGAAGTGATGTTAAATTTTAATGATTTCGATGTAGAAGGCGATGATTTTGATTGTTTTGATTATGTAACGATTAAACGAGGATTACCTGGTATACCAGGAGTAAGGTAAGACAAATGGATATCTCAGGATATTTTGATTTGATAAACGGAGGACTGATATAAAGTACATGTAACTGCAAACAGGACTGTTTCGGCCTTCTGGACCTCAGATGATCCCGCATATTATGTGGTATCATCGCACCATGCCAGAGTCATCAAACCATCAAGCTAGTGAGCTACGCATACATAAGAACATGTATATCACTGAATCTTAATTTATTTCTTCTCACGTTCGCTCACTTCAGTGCTCCTAATGTCACTTTGTAAAACGCAAAACTCCATTTTCATAAATGTCTTTTGGGTTATATTTTGAAAAATTAAAGCTCGATGATGCAACATTTATTAGGATTTGTCTATTTCAGTTATTGTGGTACGGAATTTAAAGCTGCCATTAAAAGTATAGATCGATATCTGATGATCACCTTCACTTCCGGAAGTGAGATCACCTACACTGGTTTCCATGCTACAGGACGCTTACTGGACGGTAAGACTTCACTTCCGCTTTCCACTCTTTATCCCTTCTATGTACGCCTTTCTTTCTAGTTTACAACCCCTGATGCCGCCTAGAAAACTGGTTCGCACCACCAGAGTTGTCGCATAATGAATTCAGCCTGTGTGCTATTGGCTTTTATCGGGATCAGGTAGTAGTCGAATTTCATTTGATTTTATGTTTATGACGACTTGGACGTAGAACGCCAGGGACAGCTAATCACAGGTATTTGTTTTTTGCTTTGTTTTTTGTCTCACGCCTTTGATCCCCTTCATTTGATATATTGCTGTTGTCTTTCTAGTTGCTGATCTATGCTATAATCCCGATGATTTTGGAAGAACGTACAATGGTATCCACAACTATGCAGAAGACTTTACAGAGTGTTTGCCTTGGGTTGAGATGGCTCATTGTGATACCAATCTCTTCAATACAGAGTAAGCTAGTTCTTTTACTAGATGTGGCTCGGTGGGAGCAAACCGTAGGCTACAGTTCACTTTTCGAGTTTCAATGCCGAAATAGGTAGAGATAGATAGCCCCGTTTGAGAGATCTCGTCAACATCACCTCGATTAACATCAGGTGTTCTGGAACAGTTAGCAGTGGCTCAACTAGATGAGTGGGGCCCGTGTACTGAAGTATTTTGTGACTCGTTTCTCGGGAATTTAACATATGATCTACTGCATTTTTTCAAGGTTTAACCAGTTCATCTGGATGTTTAACCAGTGATAGTAAGCATCTTCCACTCTCAATGTAAAGATCTTATAATGTATTTGTTTGTTGTTTCAGGGATGCGTTCGATAACCTAGACGGAAACTACTGCCGGAATCCAGGTGCACGATACGACAGTCCGTGGTGTTACACCGAGAAGGAGAACTGTACCATCAAATACTGTGATGTTTGTCAAGAACGTAGGTCAAACGTTTGTGAGTTTACGAGCGAATGTTTTGCTTGGTTATGTCGACCAAATGGTGGCTGTGGGCTCTAGTCTCGACTGGCGTGTGATAGTTCGACTTAACTGTTAATGGTACGGATAATTCTAAAGGTCGTTGCCAAGAAGTTGGGCTAAGGACCAGCTGGCAGAAAGGATCTGGCGTGAACCTAAGACTCAAGGTTGGGGTCGTACCTTCAACCTCTTGGTGAAGTCAATTCATTTAATTTCTCATGGAAATTTCTGCTAAAAACGAAAAATTAGCTACGACTCTATTGTAAAAAGAACCATATATTATGAAACTGTCCTGGGAAAATTCCCCTCATTGCACGCCGCAGGGTGTTGCCATTTTCATAAATATAACATGCTGTTTCAGGAACAATATATGATAATTTTGATGATTGTGAAGAATTGATAGCTGAACATCCTAATTTCTGTCTGGACGGGGACCATCATCATTATGGTTGCCTGGCAACTTGCATAGAATATGGACACATCACCATTCCAGAAAAATCAAACAGAGGTAGGGATTCCATTACTGTAACTAAACACAGTACATCATTGCCCCTCCGGATATAGCACTTGCCCTCCAAACAATCAAGTCCTGCCACGGGCCTATAAGGATTAGACATTTATCCATTCCGGACAAAAAACATAGAACTATGGTTCTTTAAGATAATCAATGGTGGCGCCAGAGGGAGCTTCCTGAGAAAATGGTTTGTACCACCACTTTATTTTTAACAAATTTAAAAATATCATATTTTATAAGTTTGAGTACCAAAATATGTGCAAGAATGCACCAAATCCATCCTATTTGTTCACGAGTTTCTAAGGGAACTCTCTCAGACGCTTTATGCGTAGAGTTAAACACACCCACACCCACCATTGAGTCATTCTGCCACTATTTGTACCTCCAGTTTCGGAAGGCTGACGTCACCACTTCCATTAATTTGAACTATTTGTTTATTAAAAGCTCAAGACGTCTCATGTCCAGTACCAGATGATATTGTCGATGCTGATCCGATCGTTCACGACGTGACGAGATATAACGTTGGCGACAGCTTGGCTTACGTCTGCTCAAATGGAACGGCAACAAAGATGCGACGTTGTCTTACGGATGGAACGTGGACGGACATTGAGTACGTCTGTGGAGGTAATCATATTTTTTAACTATAAATCCTTAAATAATACGAAATCTTAAGACATTAGATGATGCTGTGTAGCCTGTGTGAGAGCTGTTTATCCCAGGCACTCCGGAAAAATTCGCAGAGGAAGACTATTCAAGAGATCTGACCATACAACTGTAATAGACTATGGTCTGGGCAAGGACCAGTTGGTAGAAAGGATCCTCTATGAACGAACTGTTTGCCCGGGATTGGCCAAGGATGGTTGGCGTTATTCTAAAAATAAAATCATTCAATCTGACTCGAGAGCATTCGATCTTGTGTATTACTACCAAAGTTTTATCGTTGATTTTGTTTTTTCTGTTCAGGATGTGGAGACGAAATGAAGAGTGATACAAGAGGAACCTGTTATGCCTATGTAGCTGAAGAAGTTAGGTTTGTGGAAGCCGAGGAATACTGTATCGAGAAGGATTGGGACGTTGCTTCAGCTCAGACAGAGGACGCTTTCAATTTCTTGGTCCAGTATCGCTCAGATATGGGGTAAGCAAAACTCTTATAGACTTAGGCAGTGCTATTCAACGGGCGAGGAATTTCTCCCTACAGAGGAATTGAAAAAAACATGGAGAGGAATTATTGTTTTCATTTGGAAGAGGTTAACATGCTGTTTCTATAGAAGCACAAGCAGGCTTCGGAATATCTTTTGCCAACTTAAAGAAGTTCGACAATGCTTCCATATATCACGTATATTTCACGTGGGTTATTGTAGATCGGATGGTAAACAAGTATGGTTAGATTTATATGAAGACCCTGTAGGAGTATGGAGCTGGGGTGACGAAAGTTTGGTTCAAGATGGCTTCACCAACTGGAGATCCACGTACCCAGGTCAGCTTCTATTTAAATATTTGAATCAATCAAAAATTAAAAGTTCAATCCACGTGAAATTCCTTACTCTGGTCAGTTATCTTTCAGAGTTGCCACGTTTCTATTTGTAGTTTTCTGTGTATGTTAAGCAGCTATGACGGATGTAGCTCTGGGCAGGGTATGCTTATTCTTCTAGTCACCTGATACCACTTTTCATCATGAAATACTTCCCTACTTATAGTTCATATACTTCCTGAAAAGTTCATTAGCTGCTACCAATGTTTCGGCAATATGTTGTTTGGATTTCGGGTTGAGTTTTGCAGTTCGGATCGTCAGTACATGTACTTGGTTTATTTATCCACACTGTCGACACTTTGCGACTGGGTTTGTCAACATTCAAACAGTCCACATATTGATATTGTATTCCAGTGAGTGGTCCTATAGAAACAGATGGGAATAACTGGTACCGGTGCGCTACTATGGTGGGAACAGGTCAGAGTTCAGTCTGGAACCAGGTGGCTTGTGATAATAAATGGTACAAGGCACATTACATCTGCCAAACCATGGAATCAGGTACTACTATAGAACGATAGTGTTTTTGGTGACATTGTTTCTATACTTGGATGTCGTAGTTCTGACGCTGTGGCTCAACCAGATGAAATGCGAAAATGCACTTTGTCAATTTTGTATTCATGGGATGTAAATACCAGCCACCTTATATATAAATAATGCTTATGCTCAACTCACCAGAGAGCTGTTGCTATATGATCTCTACAATCTTGCACTTTTTTTCCAGAACGAGAAATTTGTGCTGATAGAAAATCATCTTGTACCAGGAATCTGATTGATATACCACTACTCTGCTCTCAATACCAATCCTACGCTCATGAAGTTTGCCCCTATACTTGTGGCATCTGTGATGTTGAAAACGGTACGCCATTTTTATTTCCTTAAATCTGCATATTATCGGATGTTACACCATGAAAGATCGCGTCATAGAATCGATTTTCTTTCATAGTTCTTGTTAGTAAGAACGGAGCAAAAACCTACACACGCCTTATGTCTTCAGAAGGCAGTGATACAAATACTTATTAATTTGGGTACAGTCACAAAAGGGCAGAACTGAAATTTACTTCTGGTACCCATGCACTCATCCCCCATGCCTTATGCTCTCAGAAATTCAAAGTTCAATTCTATTCTTTTCAGCTGACTCGTGTACAGTGACAGCAGATTTCGTCGTAGGCCTGAACCTTGTTAGCGGTGGATCAACTCCATTCAGTTTGAACCCTGGTGAGAGTTTTACTACACAATGTCCAGCTGGCCAGATCTGTACACAAAACTGTCAACATTTCAGTAGAGCTTGTCGTCGTTCAGGGGAAGTTACTGGTGCTACTCCTGTGTGTCAAGGTAGGTAACTCCTTATCTTTGTTCAGAAATTTTTCCAAGGTAGATAACCATCTATTTCGTTCAGGATGGTTGCCAAGGTAGATAACTCTTCCATCTTTTGTTTAGTTTTGGGTATTCTATTCGGCACTGGCGTCGTTCGATTTCCGAGTTATGCACGTTCGGGATATATGGAATCAATAGAACGTTCAATAAAACAAGTTAGAACACGTTTCACGTGTGCCAAAAAAATGGAAATAGATGGGAAAATTATTAATGTGACGTATCTACTTTCATATCGTTCGATTGGAGACAGAAGTGGAACAGACGGAACATGTTCTGAAATCTCCAATCTAGCGCTACCATCGTAAGTAAGAAAACACCGACCTTACCAGTAACGAATATCGGAAAGTCTTGTACATTACCTGGCGTGAAAATGTCGATAAAAAGACGCAAAAAAGTTTTTTTTTTTTTGCATTTTCAGACGCTGATTCTGTACCAACGCTCGTCAATAACATAGAGAGAATACCCAGGCTAGACACTAGTGAGGCTAGGCGAATATACCAGGGAGATAACTCTTACATGAACATCACTAGATCAGGGGAGATTACCAAATGGATGACGTTATGTGAAAATGACGGAATTGTCCACCTAATGGCCTTTAAATACTGGAGTCAAGAGTAAGAATACATTCAAATTTGTTATTCCATCGTGACCATGCAGTAATTCTGATCTAAAGGGATCAACGCAATCAGTTTGACCAATCGTACATTAGTCTGAGAAACAGGAATTGTTTAAGCTAATACGTAATAGTAACAGCTCACCGTCAATAATATCGTGCCTCTTTTTTCAGTCGGTACTTTAAAGTGATGGGCGTGAACCAAGTTGAATGTAAGGCGGGCAGAAGAATGACTTGGGAGATACCGGAAGGGGAAAGAATCCAGGTTGATCCTTCCATGAATATTGGGTTAATGGATTGGAATGGTGGATGTATACCACTGTATGAATGTTTTGCGAGTGAATATCCGGACCTGAACAAGATCTACCACACCATGGCAGAGAGTCAGGATGAAGTAGCATTAAATAAACTGGTCTGGATGCGAGCCGGTCCAACCTGTTACTTCTTCTCGTTGAATGCTGAAATCAGTCCGGTAAGTCGCTTTCTTTCCATTATCTATCACGAAACAATGAATTGAAAAGTATAGATTATCAAACAGTCTTATCAATCATGATGATGATGATGATGACAAAGTTAGACAATCCAACTCGCTACCGACTGAGCTATTCGGTTGACTGATGAATACCTGAGACTAATAATCTTTAATATTTAATTTCAGGTCGGTTACATCGCCCCAGCTACCACACAGCTTACCACACCATCTACCACCACAGAAGAACCGGAACCAGAACCAGAGGCGACATCTACTTCGTCTGAAGATACATCTGAATCGACAGACATGACGACGTCTTCGGGTGATGTTAGTACATCGTCCACTTCCACATCAGCTGGCAACACAGAAAGTTCCTCAACTGGAGCAAGCAGATCTTCACCTTCCACTGATGCCTTTGTATCAGAAGACACAACGTCATCTGTATGGCAGAGGACGACAACTCACTCCGTGGTAATAACTACGCCTCGAAGAACGATCAATGAAGACTTCATCAAATCTTTCATTAAGAAAAAGAAAAAGAAGAGGAAATGGTGGAAGAACCGAGGCAAGAAGACGGACAAGACCCGTAAGCGTAAGAACAAGAGGCGTAAGAAGGCTCAAAAAGGTCGTTAAGAACAATACAGAACTGTGAATGTCAGAAGGTATACTAATATTGGACATAGAGGAATTCCCCCATTCTGCATATACCTATTCAAACAGCTAAATAAACAAAATTTTTCTAATGGACATTTCTTGCATTGTGAGGCCTGCATTTCCGAAAGCATCTAATACTACGATTGCCTTGTACCATTTGATTGAAACGTGATCTGTATTTGCCTGTTTTATCTATGTTATTGCTTGTATTTAGCCTAATAAATATAGTATTGCAAATAACGTCATATATTTTAATTCACAAAGGATATCCAAATCACCATAAGCGTGGTATGAGCGTCAGATATCGTACAATGAGCGCTATCATCAGCGTTGAGATGGCAACAGAAACGTGCATTGGCAACGCAATATATGGTCGCATACGTTTTCCGGCGACTCGGTACATTTTTGTACGCCGTACGAACGCATATGAATCCGATGTCACGGTGCCATAATGAAGACGCTAGTACTCGTAACAAAAACCCAGCTTGTATATCTTAGCGTACATGTTTGTGGCAATATATAGAGGCTTTACTTGATAAAAACATAGTAAACAATATAGATGAACTGTTAGTTTCACTGAGTGTTTAATTAGTATTTCTTGCGTCATAAACTTAGTAGAGTGACCCAAAAGAATGACATGGGCTTGTTTTGGATACAAGGAATTTGTTATAATACGGACTAGAGATGGTATGGCCACTCACTTATATTAGCTCTACTGATGGCAATGCAAGCTTAAAGACAAAAATATCGTGTACTCATTCGGATTATTTCAAAATAGCTCCAAGGTAGGCTAACTATTAAAGGGTATACTACCTCTTAGAATGGACATAAAATTAAAAAGTCTCAACTTGGTCAATAAGAGTATTATATTCATCAGTTGGACTTAACAGGTATCATGACTAAAGAATAGAATCTCTATATAACACCATATATCCATTAAACTAAGTAATTATTGAAAAACGCTTCTAAGCATGTTTCAAAATTATTTAGTTTAATTAATTATTTACGGAACCCCTTAGGCGCAATTTTCCGTACTTTCATAAAATATATTTCGTTTTAACGAATTAGTTATTTCGCTATTACGAAATAACTAATTCGTTTAAACGAAATATCGTCAAATATTTCGTTTAATACTTATTTCGTTCAAACGAAATACCTTTTTATATTACATTTTAATCGAATAACTTATTTCGTTTAAACGAAATACATTTTTTTATAATTAATTCGTTTAAATGAAAATTATTATTTCGTTTAAACGAAAAATCATTTCAAATTGACAAATTGGTATGCTATCAGTGTCTCCGATACACATACAAAACCTCTTTACATTCCCTTTAATTTCATTTAATGCATACGGGCCATTGTCAATGTTTTAATAAGTAGATTGCTTAAACAATAGGCACCTCGCCAACGAATTACAATCTTTATAAAACGTCTGTAGGGATATTTTTGTAATATAGATCGTTTTGTTCGCTAGGCATAGAGTTCATATTGATTGTTTATACTTTGTTCTGTTTAAATCCACGCAGATCAAACAGAGATATGAAAATTTCAAATGTTTCTGAAACGCTTTAGATAAATCATCAGTTATAAGGAATGGTAAACATCTTGGAACTTTTTCTGGATTCTGAAGTAGAACTTAAAGTCGGTAACTAAGGATTGATATCTGCTTTTGAAACTCAGGAACTTTTTTTGCATTTTGAAGAAAAACGAAATCACCTTTGAATAGAACAATTAAGTTAACGCCTACGAGTGGTTCAAACGGGAGTTCCACGGAATTTCCAGGAATCTTTGGAACATTTCTGTGTGGAAATAATCAAAGATTACTTAAAGAATATAGAAGATTCTTTAAAGATTTTCGAAGGGGTTTGGAGATTTTGTTTGGACTCTTGTAAAACACGTCTTCGCCATCAAAACCTTAAGCGTGAATGTTAGTTAGTTAGAAATGTTAAAATAAGCCAAATTGTAAGCCTACTAAAAATTCCAAATTTGTGAGTGTTTTATATGCAGCGCAGAAGTTTCGGTGTGTAAGGGATTAAAATTAGATTTAGAAAAAAACTGTAATATAAGACGTTGAACTATACTTCAAATAATCTGTTTAAAGTGTGATATACCATAACTAGGTGTTCAATATTGAATGATCATTTATCGCAGGACAACTGGTGTTATAAGCAAAGATAGAAATTCACTTGGAATTTCAATTAATGGATTTCGGCAAATTTTAAGAAATTTTGGAAATAATTTTGACGAAAGTAAGTATGTATTTTTAATTTATTTCATAATCTACTATTCCGTACGAGCAAGACAATACCGTTAATCAAAATCTCGTCCAAAGTACGGCAAACTTTAGAGTAAGAGTTGTATAGTAGTGGACTCCTCTAAAGAGAAGTACCATCAGGTGTTTGAAGGTATGGAATTGGCATATGCTGATCTCAATCACTATGGCATATAGTAAGCTGGACGTTTGCTCTCTTAATTGAAGTTCCAGGATTCAATCATAGATAGAAATGATACCGCCGAATTGTTCAACTCCCCTATAGGAGTCCTCAAGTCCTACAGAATGTGCACGTTAAAGATACCTCGGGGTTAGAACATCGATAAAAGTAGGCTAATGCTGTTGCCTCGACAAAGTCCCCCCCCCCCCCCCCCCAGTTTGGATCAGTACCCCGGTACATGGTTTTCTCCTCACGATTGAATAAGGTTTTTTTTGGATTATAAACATATCGATTTACCAGTGATCAGAAATTAACCCAATTAGATTAACAAAGATTTAATCTTGTCGGTAAACAGAGGGTTAATCAACCGTGAAGCATAGTTAAAGAGATGTAAGAAGGTTTTGTCAAAAACATTATGTGCATTGGGGACACTAATAGCATCAATTAACACTATTCCAATTTTCAATCACACGTCTGTGGTTCCTGCAATTCCACTAAAACTAAGTGTTTAGTGACGTCACTAATCGCAAAATACGCTATATCACATAACACCCTTCGCGAGTAGTGACGTCATCAAACACTGGGTTTTAGTAGAATTGCAGGAACCACAGACGTCTGATGATCTTATCAGTGTCTACGATACAGAAAATTTTTTTAGAAAACCTCTTTACAGTCCCTTTGAAAGAATCAATAGATCCAATTTCCTATTGATATTATAACAATTATAAGACTTCAACTGAAACAATTCCATTCCTAGATTTGAATCAAAATCTTACAATAGGTGTTTTTAAAAATGGAATAAAATCAATTACTGGTCTCCCCCCTCAACGTTTAAAGGTATACATTCGTCTTACCGTTATGTTATAGGCCTAAACAGTTGCCTTGAAGGTCTTTCATGTAGAAATAATTATTTTGTTGGTTATAGTAGTTTTAAAGGGATTGTATAGAAAAATATTATGTGTATCGAGGACACTGATAGCATCAATTTGCACCTTGTCAATTTTCAGTCTAACGTCTGTGGCTCTTGAAATTCCACATAAACTAATCGTTTTCTGACGTAACCAATCGCCAGGGGCATTATGTGCTACGTGATAAAGCATATTATTGACTTCATCAAACGCTTAGTTTTAGTGGAATTGCAGGAACCACAGACATCAGATTGAAAATTAGAATTGTACAAATTGATGCTATCAGCGTCTCCGATACATACAAAAAAATGTAGAAATTCTCTTTACAATCCCTTTAAAACTACTGTAACGAACAGAATAATTATTTATATAAGAATAGCGTGTCATTCTCTCAATTTTTTAAAGTGATACCGGTATATGTCTGTTTAATATACACATCCTTTAGGATTATCAACAAAAAAAACCCCAAGAAAACCCATAAAATTTTGAATTCTAAAAATATAGCCTCTAACGCTAAAACTTTAACAGAAATATCAAAATATAATAAAATCTTTCAATTTTGAAAAGAGATACGGATAAATCTCTATTGATTACATAATATCTGAATATAATATGATAGTCAGTCTATCACGCTATAAAATGATCTATCATAATCTACATTTATAAAATATATAAGGAGAGCAATAGTATTGTATGAATGACAATACGGGCTGAATATAGCCAATCATATTGTAAAGAAAATAATAACATTTCATTACTACTGTCTAATATAGTCTTGTTTCTAATCAAAAACTCTCACTAAATTAGACAGAGATTGATCTTTTAAAGGGACAAGTTCGCCATCCGTTTGACCAATCGTACCCTAGTACCAGAAACGGATTTATTTTAACACAGCCAGTCAGTAATAGTTTTCACACCTCACCGTCGGAATTTGAGCCTTCAAATCGATGCTTGTCCAGAAATATCCGCGTTTGAAAATTAAAAAGACGACTCGCCTTTTATTGAGCCTCTACCATAGATAGAAAAGTATAATAATATATAATTAGAAAAAAATGAAAAATACTCTACTGAAGAATTTTTGAACTAATTATGTACATTTCTAGTACTTTAAAAGTGACTCTACCAACATGAGCCAATGCACAAACTTTCTTTAGACCACGTGGACTCACAGTGGGATGAATGACTCAGTTCCGTACCAAATAAAGATTTTTAACTTTGTGGACCCTCTGCGACAAATGAATGAATTAATTAATGTGAATGAATGAATAAATGAATGAACTTTCTAAAAATGAAAATAGTACCTTAATATTACGCGATACCTTGCGACAGGACCTTTAATGTACATAAAATGAACAGGAGAAATAAGGGTTAAGTGGGGAAGTATCTTTAACTATAGACGGACTGTAATTAGATCAGGATTAGCCAAGGGAAAATACCAGATTAAATATGGTGGCTACGTCTCAATCTCACCAAAAAACTAGTGAAATTCTTAGCAACAGTTCGTGTTGGTAAAATAGTCAAACAAGAAACTTATATCAAGAAAAAACTTAGATCTTCTGTTTGGATTATAAAATGTAAATAAATTATACTAAGCTGGGAATAAAATTTTAAAAAACCAAGACGAAAATGTCGATATGGTAAGGGCAAAATTCGTTATTTTACTTTGTATATCTATTTCATTGTTATTAGGCAAATTAATTATTCCTTAAAGGGGAACAGTCAGCATTTTCGGGGAGTGATTTGGGTCTTTATTGTGCTTTAATAGTCTTAAGAAGTACTAAAACGAACGAAAATAGCATAATCCCTTCAGATATACTTCAAACTAGAAATTTCACTGTCTATTCTTACATATGGCATAATCTCACTAAAATTCGAGTCGAATTTTCAACTTTCAAACGTGAATAATTATGGATACACGTGGATTTAAAGGTTCAGATATCGATGATGAGCTGTGCACACTATATGATTGGTTGAACGGATAATGAAGGTGCTCCTTTAAAAAGCGATTGTAAAGAGGCTTTCTAAAAGGATTATGTTTGTCGAGGACCCTGAAGCATCAATTTGCACTATTCCAATTTTCAATCAGAGGTCTGTGGTTCCTCGCGATTAGTGACATCATCAAACATTTAGTTTTGTTGAATTTGCAGGAAACACAGAACTCTGATTGGAAATTGGAATGGTACAAATTTAATTCTATAAGTTTCCCCGCTACACATACACAATTTAGAAATCCCTTTTCAATCTCTTTAAAAGATGGAAAACAAAAAGTTGTAGACACAATAAAATGGTTATAAGCACAAACAATCAAATGAAGTGAAACGGTTTTCAGAAAATGGTTTCGAAAATGGTCGTCAGTAAAATGGTTATAAGTAAAACGTTTGTCAGTAAAACAGTTCTTGGTAAACGATTATGGTTTAAAGAAAAAATAGTCACTGCCAAGAGCAAAACAAAGGTTATAGATGAAACGGTTTTAAGTGAAATGGTTTTATTGAAAACCGGAAGAAAGGGGTTATAAGTGAAATAGATATGGGTTATGAGTAAACCGGTATGAAAAATTCTGGAACAAGGTCAGGTTGTATTTTCGGTGAAATTATTTGCAAGCTATTTCTTGTGAAATCATTTTGTCCTTATTTCGGGATAGCCCAAAATATATTTTATGATTACATATTTGTCTTCCAGGGAAAGCTTGGAAAAAACCAAAATGGCGCATCTGATCAACCAAGTTATTGACGTCATCTCGAAACCTCCCGAGAAGAGAAACGACGGTGAGATCAATGCTATTATACCCTGGTTGAGAAAGAGAACTCCTATGTTTCACAACCAACAGGAAGGTGAGATGTTTTTTAAAAAATGGGGTGGAGAAAGTAGCGTGAATAAAGTTTGGGTTGGGGTGGAGAAAGAGGGGTGGAGGTGGACGAAGTAAGGGTGGAGAAAGTAGATTGAATAAAGTTTGGGTTGGGGTGGAGAAAGTGGGGTGGAGGTGGAGGAAGTAGGGTGGAGAAAGTAGTGGTGGAGACAGTAGTGTTAGAACGATGAAGGTTGTAATGACGAAATGGATGCCATTCATTATACCCTGGTCGAACCTGCCACGTTCTACAAAAAAAAAACATGATGAAGCTGGTGTGACTTTAAATAGGATTGGGAGGAGAAGGAAAGGGTGGAGAAAGTAAGGGTGGAGAAAGTAAAGGGTGGAGAAAGTAAAGGGTGGAGAAAGTAGGATTAGTATGTTCTTAAAATGGGGTGGAGTGAGTGAGGGGTTGTTTGATAATGGTTGTAATGATTTTGTCCCACGGCCAATGCTTTTGAGAATTAAAGGTATTGTAAAGAGGTTTTCTAAATTTTGTATGTGTATCGGGGACCATTCCAATTTTCAATTTTCAATAGTTCTTGCGATTCCACTAAAACTTAGTGTTTGGTGACGTCATTAAACCTTATGTGATAAGCAACCTTCATGGTGCTTTCTGTAACGGCATTCTTACATGATGTAAACAAAATATTTGTATGTTTGTCGGCGAAAGATCAAAGAGATTAACCTAATCCTTCACACCTTTAGATTATTGCTTGAAATTAATCAAAACAGGATTACTGTATCTTCTTACAGAGAAATCTAGGTGACTAGGCAAGAATGTCCAAAACAAATTTGGAAATCACTTGTTATTCTGGCAAATGAGATCAAAAAGTTGCTTTGTGGTTAAAGGGGCATTCCGTTTTTTTGTAGGTCAAAAATTTTTGGCTAAAATTTGCGAAAACTATAGCCTACACCAAAATTTAGAGAAATTTGTCCCTTAAAGGCCGAGTATAATTCACTTAACACCATTTTCGTTTGAGGTTAAGCAACAGCAACTGTCAATCAAGTAATTTTCAATGAGGTAACAGTGCCTGTCAAGACAATTGGCTTTTATTTTCGTCAATGGCATAATCCTAGGTGAATACAAACAGTCACACCAAGTTTCGTCAAAATCCGTCAAGAATTGTGCCTTCCAGAGTGTTTACGATCTGTAAATTGAACGCATTTTCAAGATCAAGGGCAATAACTCATACTTCATATTTGTTGATTTTCAATGGGGTTCAATCTTGCGTAAAACCAGCTTTCTATCTTGTCCACAACAATTGTGGACGGACGGCACTAGACTTAAAAACGGAATGTCGCCAAGAAGGGCACGATTTTGTTCAGTACAGACTAGATCTAGCTAGGCTAATCTGATAATCCATTATTCACGTCAACTGGATTGGCTGATTAATACCCTGATTAGACGACGTTTTACACCTTTCAATCCTTTCCGACTAGACGGTCGGGCGACCAGAATCAGATTTAGTTCAGAAACACCGTAACATTCTACACTCTTATATTCAACAGAATAATAATGGGTCTCTAATTACATTTCGTCATATGCTAGATACATATTTTGCTATAGTCTGTCTAGATTTAGCCTTTATATCCACGTGTGTATAGAATTATCTGCGTTTGAAAGTTAAAATGACGAGTCTGTATTTTAGACTCTGACTTATATTGAAAAGACCTAATGCTAGAAAAGACCTAATAGCAAGTGAATTTCCTTGTTTGAAGTATTTTAAATCAACCCTCGAAAATGGCAAATCTGTCATTCTTTAGTAACTGATGTCACGGACTTCCTTATAATCCCATGATCCCGTACGAATATATTCTACTGACGGGGTTTTATTCTAGTTATCCTCGACACCCACCCTGAATTTAATAGGCTTATACAGACAAAGCTGTAATTATATCTTTCTATTCGCAACCATAAACACACAATCATGGAGTCAAATTTCAGTTAAATTTAGAATTGTTTTACAAAAACATTAGACCAATAACATGGTTCAATAATCACATATCATTTAAAACCATATTAAAGGGATATATACGCCATTTCGGAAGTACGAGAAATGAATAAAAATCGCATAATTCTTTCAAAAATACTTAAAACTAGGAATATCATTTTCTATTTTTATATATGTCCCAAGAAAAGACGAGTCGTCATTTCAACTTTCTAGAGCGGATATTTCTGGACACATGGATTTGAAGGCTCAAATTTATCCAATCAGATTTAACTATGTCGGAAGGTACGAACTGTCTGAGAATATGCCAAATATATTTTTGAGTCCAACTGAACATCTTCTGAATATATTCCCATTTCCATGAAATAATGATACATTAAAATAATTAACTATTGTAGAAGTGTTAAAAGATATCATTCGAAACTGTGAGTACCAAATGGCAAGTCATGACGACGTCATATTGTGCCAGGGAGAGCGAGGAGAATGGTAGGTATTTCCATCGATATTTCTTCTACGATAGGGTAAAATAGTTTTCTTGACTCTACACATCCAGAGAACATTATCTCACTTAACGACAGGGATTGTCAATTTGGCACACTATTCAGAGAGTTCACAAAGTTGTTGATGTTGAATTGATAAATTAAGCACAATGGTGTGGAGGCCTACAGATTCGTACACCCAGACATAAGACGACTCGTACACCCAAGACACTCGTACACCCATGACACAAGACAATTCTTACACCCAAAACATAAGATGACTCCTACACCCTAGAAACAAGACGACTCGCACATCCATGACATAGAAGTTTATGATCTATTTCAGTATGTTTGTGATCCTGAGAGGGAGTGTGTCGGTGTATGTTGACGCTAGTATGACGGGAGAAGACGAGGGATTCCCGTCCCCAGTTCCTCGGTCTGCCAGTAAAGACAGCAGTAACGCCTCACCAGAAATACGACTAGGAAGGGATTTAGATAGAAGAGTTTTTGGGAAGTTTATCATTAAAATGGGTATGTTGGTTAAATCATTGCAATGCATTTAAGCCACAGTGGCGGCACCAGTGGACGAGAAATGGTTTGTACCCTCAATTGTAGACCCACTTTATTTTGAACAAATTTCAAAAATAAGATATTTAAAATCAGAAATCAATGGTTATCAGAATCAGAAATCAATGGTTATCAGAAACATAAATCAATGGTTATCAAAATCAGAAATCAATGGTTATCAGAATCATAATAAATCAAGAACACAAGTTATATGGATATACTACTTCTAGTTTTATTACACATTACTACGTTTCGAAACACATACAGGTAATGTTATCAAGTAAAATGATTAACAACCAAACAACACAAGATATATAGGTAAATCAATAGAAGCCATAAAGGGATATAACAATAACAAAACTTGTGTTCTTAATGTTTACCTTCCTGCTTCTATATGTCTTACAAAGATTATATCATAATAAATGGTTATCAAAATCAGAAATCAATCATTGTCAAAATCAGAAAACAATGGTTGTCAAAATCAGAAATGAATGAGAATCAGAAATCAGAAATGAAAGAGAATCAGAAATCGGAAATGAATGAGAATCAGAAATGAATGAGAATCAGAAATCAGTGAGAATCAGAATGGTTTTCAGAATCAGAAACCAATGAGAATCAGAATCAGAATCAGAAATCATTGAGAATCAGAAATCAATGGTTATCAGCATCAGAAATCTTTTTAAGATACCTTGATTTACACCGTAAAACAATCCATTTTTTCAGAATCAGGTACAAGTTTTGGTGAAGTTGCTCTGATATCAGAAGATTCGACAAGAAATGCCTCTGTCATTGTGGATACTGCTTGTGATTTTTTAGTTGTTGGTAAAAAACTGTTCAACAGATCTCTTAAGGTGGGCATTGTTTCCACTTAAAGTTTTGAAAAAGTGAGATGTAAGGCAAATAAGGTACAAGAGCTGTTGGTTAATATTGCCCAACTACCCTTTTAACCCTATTTTTACTCTTAGGTCATAACCTTATCCTCGTTTAATAAGCTCAATAAGAGGCCGATAAAATACTGGACAATAGAGTTGTCAAGGAGTAGTAGTGACATAATTTTAAATCCTATTTTTCATCAATTTGCAGGCATACGAAGAAAATAAGTATGAAAGTACGAAGAATTTTATCAAAAGTCATCCTTATTTCAATCAATGGTCTGCCAGATTTAAACGTCTGCTGGAGCTGAGTTTGAGGCGGGAAATATACCCCTTTAATTCCACAATTGTTAAACAGGGAGGCAGGGTTCGTGGAATGTACTTCATTGTCAAGTAAGACGTCGTTATATCATTTACCGATTCCCCTTATGGCAACGTCACACCGGAAGGCGTCCTTATTGAGCTGATACGGCGATGGAAAATTAGTTAAAGTCGTTATAAGCGCGATACAAGCGTGGAAAAAGCGTCAGATATCGTGCGGTGGGCGCCATTGTCGCCAATAAATGACAGCCGTTGAGAACGCCACTGAATCGTCTTTAGACAAGCGTCGTAACATTACGACAATAAATGTGAAATGCACCATGGAATTTTTTTTTTTTAAAATAGAAAATGGTATATTACAACGAGCATTTCGAGATCTTTCTTGGTTTGACCTGATTAACAAACAGTTTGTTGTTTTTTGAGGGGTTTACAATATTTTCTTGCTCTGTCACTTTCAGAGGAGAAGCAAATGTTTCGGTGGAACCAGCTCGACATAGACACCAATATGATCATTTGTGGCCATTTGAAGCCGGAGTTGATACGTACTCTATAGAGTTTGAATGGCTCAGGTAAGTATCACGGTTTTGTTTCTACAATCCTATCAGTCGACACTCACATGACCGACGTAAAGAGTCATTGGCGCGCTGAATCGTAGGTTCCGTTATGTCTTAATACAATGTCGCTCTCATCTAGTCAACCGTCTGCTCTGTAGGTGGACAAGATTGTTTCAATGGTATTTGGAATGCATAAAATACCATTGTAAAAAGCTCTACTGGTGACAATGACAATTCCAGGCCATACGTTAAGCTCATATAACTGACTCCAAAAAAAACCATCTCGCACACAACGACTAGTCCGTCCACACATAATTTAGAGAAGGGGTAAGTTTGAGGAAAAAAAATTTCCTGCGAGTCCAATTCCATCATGACAAGTAGTCACCTCCATGCGTGATTTGATGATGTATCAAGTAAAAATGTGTATCATTTTCTAGAGAATCCAGAAAGAATGCAATATTAAGACGTTATGAAAACCCAGCCACCATTCCTACAAAACCAGACCATGTTAAGATCAGACGGAAAGAAGGCTGTGGCGCCGTGGAACGGATGAAACAAGAAAAGCTAGTCAGTATGAACACCGTCAGTGATGGAGAGATCATCGGAGATATCGAACTGTCCATGAATCTTAAAACTTGGATGCAGACTGTCGTTTGTACAGCCGATACGGAAGTGTATTTCTTGGACATGAAAACCTATGATCGATTGGTCAATCGTAAGAATCTGTCGACCGTTTCCAAAATGAAGGCCCATGTGATTGACAAGCTTAAAACACGGATGGAACTTATACCAAACGGACATGTACCCCTTCTTTCTTACTTACATTACAAACTCACAGAACGTTCACTTCCGTCAGCTAAAAAACTTCCCCCATTAAAGGCAACAAAGTCTCTGCCCGATACCGAAGTCCAATTTCAGTATCTTTTAGCTCGATTTCGAGAAGGGCGAGCCCCCTTAGTGCTACCCCGCGTTCCCGGAGCTGTGTATTATAAAGACTTGATGGCAGAAAAAGCTCGAATTCGTGAAAATGTTAGACGGCGAGCAACAATGAGTTTAGCTGAAAAAGTGCGAGAAACAAGACGTGCTATCAACAGACGAAAACCACGTAGCAGACGTGAAATTTGCGAATCGCTCCGCGAAATGGCTGAAGCAGAGTTGATTACGTTTGAGCAGAACAAAAACAAAGAAGATCTGGCTTTGGAATCTTTCCGCTCCGTCGACGAATTCGGAACAGTAGACGAAGCATCATCGCTATCTGTTTTAGCCCCATCTAAACCGGAATTAATAGAACCCGTTGCAACTTCCCGACCAGAACTTGGAACACCATTACCTCCAATTCGAGAGGAAAGTGGCCCAGTTACACAAAAAGCAACAGGTGTGTCAACGATTCCTGAGAAACCGGCTGTCGTTACGTTTGCTGAAAACCTTGAAACTGTGAAAGAAATGGGAACGGCTACCGAACCACACGAAGTCGTGAATGACGGAGACAATGTGGTAACGATCAGCGTCGGCGAAGATCTACCTCCAACCTTTATCACCCAAAAGGCCTCAAAATCAAAATGGGAAATACCTAGAAAAATCGTTCAGGAACGTATACAGGAAAAACAGTCCGCTAACGACAACCAAACTCTATTCGCCAGTACAGAAATGGAAGACTTTGAAGATTTCGAAACAAGCGAGACAACTCTTAGCTTCCTTGAATCTCGAATCCAGTCCTTCCACATGAAATATGCTGACAAACCAAAGATGGCACTGAAACTCCCAAAACTGAGACGGTTCCAACAAGACATACAGGTAAGTTATTCAAGTTTTTAAAAATAATACAATCCTCTAGTTTACCTCATTTATCTAGCCTAGATGCAGGCCCGTAGCCAGACTTGATTGTTCGGAGGGGCAAGTAATTCACCCGGAAGGACAAGTGTTAATCCAGAGGGGCAATGGTGTATGGTGTTTAGTTGCAGTAAATTATTGCAATGGAATTGATCGGTTGTCAGAATTTTTTCAGGGTGGTAATCCATTGTTTTCAGAAGAAAGGGTGGGGTCATTTCCCCTATGTAGGAAATTAAATGCTCTATCAACTGACATAAACATTATAATTCGATGTTTTTACTAGTTTTTTTTTTCCTTGTGGGTAAATGGATAACTGAAAGGCTATCAAATTCTATCAAATAAGTAATGAAATTCTTTGTCATTGCAGGACGAATTTCAGAACAGACCAAGACCAGGCGGTCGAGTCTGGATGCACAGACGTCATTGCCGATTCGCAGACAGTCAAATTCAAGTCAAAGGACACGAGCACGTCCGTCATCATATGGTGACATCACTTCCGGAGTTTGAGAGTATAAAGCACACACAATTGGTAGTTAACGTCATGATGAAAGGCTCTGTGGACAAATAACTATTGTATAACATTAGTCCTGTCAAAATTTAAAAGTGCTCAAATTTGCCATTCGCCATCCATTTGGGCCTTCATATATACGTGTGTGCAGAATTATCCGCGTTTGACAGTAAAAATGATGAGTCGTCTTTTCTTGAGACTCTTTCATATGTACAAATGTAAAGGGCAATTCCTAGAGTATTTTTGAAGGAGTTATATGCGATTTTCATACATTTCTAGTACTTCTGAAGACTATAAATTAAATATATTCAAGACCCAAACTCAGGCGAAAATGACCCTTTAATAGATGTTTCTAGCACTACCTACCTCTATCTATCACTATGCCAAATGTTAAAATATATCAATACAAATTATTTCAAAATAAAATCGATAACTTTTTCATGGGTTTCGTGAGGCAAATTCTGCATCCCCCAGTCCAGAAGGTGTCTTCCGTCTGCACTTTAATTGGGTATAAGAGGTTCAGGATTAGCTGTGCTTAATAGTTTGTTCACTCACTGACCACAGTTTCTCCTGTCCGAAACATATGCCTCCAATTCTAGCCTCGGATAGCTATTTTGAAATTGGCGCGTAGTATAAGATAGCTTGCCAGGCAAGGTAATATACGCCCACTGGCAGCTTTGATTTTGAATAACAATATTAAGCAGTACAGTAACAATTACCAGTATGAAATATTCAACCTTCAGACATACACTTCAAACAACTCATAGCCTACTAAATATTTTTTTCAATTTTTCTGATTTTCGATAGGGTTAACTTGGATGATTACAAACAATTCAAGAACAAAGGCAATAACTCATACTAATTATTTTTTGATCTTTCGGATTTAAATAGGATTCATCCTTGGGTGACAACAAACACTAACACCAAGTTTCATCAAAATCCGTAAAGAATTGCACCATTTAGAGTGTTTACGAGTGTAATAAGAACAAGGGCAATAACTCATACTAAATATTTTTCCACTTTTCAATAGGGTTTATCCTTGAGTGATTACAAACAATTCAAGAACAAATGCAATAACTCATACTTATTATTTTTGATCTTTCGGATTTAAATAGGATTCATCCTTGGGTGATAGCAAACACACCAAGTTTCATCAAAATCCGTCAAGAATTGTGCATTCTAGGGTGTTTTAAGAACAAGGGCAATAACTCTTACTATATATTTTTCAATTTTTAGTAGGGTTCATCCTTGGGTGATTACGTACAACCATATTAAGTTTCGTCGAAATTAGTCTAGAAATGTGCCTTGTAGAGTGTTTACGAGCAATTGTGGACGCACGACAATACGTATACCCCGATTTCATGTGGGCGTATAATAAAATAGCGAACCATAGCCTTTACCATGCAGAAACGATTAAGCATCGAGTCAGTTTCTCAACCCATCGCCAATGATACTGACCTCATCCAGGCTTGATTTATAATTTACATATTTTCGGAAGAATATAATGTAGGACTTCCACACGTTAGTTTAATACTAAAAGGGATTGCAAACAGGTTTTCTAAATGTTGTATGTGTATTGGCGACAATTTAATTGTTTGATAAAGTCACTACTTATAAAACGCTTGTATAACTTAAGGCCCTTCACGACTAGAATTTTCAACAAAATGGCGTCAACAGTACAGATAGTTCATGTTAATATAATAAAAGGACACGTTTTGATATTTTTTTATTTTACAATATTTTAGGTTCTTGGTGGACCTCCTGGGCCGCCTCCTCCGCCGCCCTGACCACCTTGTCCACCCTGCTCATTCCTCTGGCCTCCGCCGCCTTGCTGTAAATACACAAATAAATTTTTACATAGTATGATTTTCTATCATTTACCATGTTATCTTGAAAACTCTGGCCGTACCCAGTTCCTTATACTTTATATACTGATGTGATGATGCAGTTGGCGCCAAACATGTAATGTCGCTCTTTAAAGGGGGGGGGGTCAATCTGATCCATTTTTGGATTAGTAGTTTTTGAGAATTTAAAAAGTAGCGCAACTTTTGTTATCTATACAAAGCTGAAACATCAATAAGTCCATCACATCAACAAATATTCTATGATTCTATATTTTTTGTCTCAATTGTAATCTAACAAATTTTCTACCCAAAACTAGTTCTAATGACTTTATTTGCAACCAATCAAAGTGTGTCATGTAAAATCTGTTTCTTGTTAACATAACTAATTAGTGTGGGATAGAAAAACCAAGTTTTCACTATCCAACAAATTATTATGTAAGAAATGCACAAACAAGGAACTTCCACTTAAGTGCTTCCAATTCCCAAAACACCTTGGGCTTTAAAGGAATTGTATGGAGTCTTTCTAAGTTTTGTATGTGTATCAGGGACAAATTGCACCATTCCAATTTATAATGAGTGTGGTTCCTCCAATGCTACAAGAAATAAGTATTCGATTATGTCACTAATTGCAAAGGAAAGCATATTTCCTATTAGTGACATCAAACACTCATTTTTTGTGGAATTGCAGAACCACAGACTTCTTCAGGATTGAAAATTTGGAATGGTGCAAATTGATGCTATCAGTGTCCCCGACATACATAAAAAAAAATTAGTAGAAAACCTCTTAACAATCCCTTCAAGTTGCATTGTTACCAATTATTTTAATCAGATAGCAGTGAGGAGCCACTTCAAAAGTTCAGCTTATCTTTGCAGGCCATCAAAATATTAAGCCACAATTGGCTATTCTTCCATAATGGCTATTCTTCATCTAAAGAATAACCTGATGGGTTAAACAGCAGCAAATATTACTTAAGAAATTAAGCATTTCAAAACATTTTTGTACCCACATGTGGAATTTTTCAGTAAACAAAAGAAATTTAAAGAAACTTACTCTCATAGGTCTGAACCTGATTGGGGGAGTTCTATCTTTTCTTCCTTCTTTAGAGCGATTTCGGACCACTTTCGAGTGAATAGCACAAGATACACAATATAATAGCTTGGCATACAATTTGGGTAATGCATAAACTGTAAGAGAAACAAAATGATTTTAAAAAACCATAGAAATGAAATGAAATATTACATCTCGGCTTCTGTTTCACCTTCAATTGCATTTTCATCCTATTGATTATGAGATTAAAATAAGAGTGATGGAAATTCAGCTAAACAAGAATTATTTTGTTTAACAAAGTTAATGTATTTATTAATCCAGTAATAATGAAATTAGGTTCGTCTAGAGATGCCCAATATGCTGCTGGGTTTGTGATCTTGACATTCTTTTCAGAGAGTACACAAACGGGTCGCTCAGTTGGTGAGTTCTGCATGTGGTGTCTGGTCAACTTGTGGACATGTCAACCTTTTTAACAAACCTAGATAACTCGTAGACAACCTTCAGATGACTCATTGACACATATTACACAAATAAAATCGTTGTGTAAGTCTGATGTTTACATTTATTTCAAATAGTTTAATACATCTCAAACGATAAGATGTAGGCAGAATTCAAATGGCAGAGATGGAAATGAGTTCATTTTAAATGTGACGTATCCGCTTTTATACCATTCGCTCGAGGGCAGAATTGGAACATCTAACGTCACCAAGGTAGGCCAAATACCAAAGCAAATATACACAAAACCCAATCATTCACCAATCAACCAGATATTGAAATGGATAGGTGTGTAAACCAAAGCTTACCATCATAAACGCTAGCCTCAGAAATATCTCGGACAGCAGCTGCCTCTACAATATTTCTAATAACAAATTTCTTAATGGCCTTGTCTTTAGGGACACAACGAGCACAGTTGGTACATCTTACATAGCAGACGTGTCCTCGGTTCTTCTTGCTACGTCCATTATTTCTTCGCTTGCGAGTCTGTAAAGAAATGAATTGAATGAAATGAGAGCTGTATATCCTTCAATTGACAATTCAACAACCAAATGAAGACCAGTTGAATTAATTGAAGCAAATGTGCAAAATGAAGACTGAATGTAGGAGTATTCTATTGAAGATCCAACATTAACAAGGCGCAAATGAAATGGAGTTTAACGTTCTACTTTTCGCTTAACAATGGGCAAGAACAAAGTATAAGCATACACATTTCAATATCAAACATGCTCTAATGACTTTTACAAGATATTTTCATTAGTCGTTGGAATCCAAACAACAAAATGAAATGCAAAGCGAGAGACTTAACCACGTGCCACACGTGTTCTCCAGGACAGAACGTCAAATATTGAAAAGCTACATGTTCGCCATCATGAAAAGCGGTTGGAAGACTTTCAGAATGTGAATGTGCAGTAAAAACACAATTTCAAAGGCCGAGAAGGGTTTATTTGTTCTTTTTTGAGATATTTTTGGCTAATATTTTCTCAATCCTACCATTTTGGCTCACGACTGAGACTGAAAAGGACTATTTCAAGGTTCCTACGCTGCAACTTCCGGTAGTGAAAAAATAGTCCATAAGAATCATTAGTTTCGTTAAAAACAAATAAATTCTTTTTTCACCCCAATCTAAGTATGAACATAAAATATTTGATGATCTAATATTTCTTCTTATATGATATATTTGCTTTTTTGACATCTTTTGATTAAAAGAAATAAAAATGTAAAAGTTATCTCCCTTCGATAATCCAGACTACAATTGACTTTCCATAACTTTGATCTGAAAATAATGGTTATCCCCCTTGATCGGCTTCATCATCTCAGCACGAACAGACCACAAATAAATTTCACATTTGATTGATTTATCCAACTTATTCCCACATTAACATGGCTTTCACATTTATATTGAAAGAAGGCATAAGCACAAGAGCCAAGAATCATTTGAGCAGAGGATATCTTTAAATGAAATGAATGGAGTTTAACGTCTTACTTTTCTGCACCATGTAGGCTAATGAAGTCGGCCAACACCATCCAGGGTACAATGTGGGAAATTTTGTCAGGACATCGGCATTAGCCTGCTCTTTTTTCAATTTCCAACTGTTGAGGAATCTTTAAGGTGCAGAGGCTCTAGTACACAGGGACTCAGTTTATTGTCCCATCCGAACAAATAGACCCATTCTCAATGTCAGCCCTGCTTACCTGCATCATTGACAGAGGGAAACCAGGCTGAAAAATCCAAAGGTATTACCTTCACCTATGCTGGGATTGAATGAGGATATCGTTAAAAAGACGTAAAAAATTACCCAAGTCTTGTCCAAATTTTTTCAACGCTGCTGAGCCTATTGACCTGACTTGTGTTATTCATTTTGCAGCTCCAAAGACAAAATTTTAGATTATGTATCAGGGGGTGAAGCTGACACAAGGCACAGGCATCAGAACATTTCTTGCCTTAATCGCTTAATTGCCTAACAGACGACAATCCAACTCAATACCGACTGAGCTTTTCCACTGCCACCATGACAGTGTTTCAACCCAGTGTTAGAGGGAAGTGTTGACATTTACACAGTTTGAATCAATATGGAGAGGCTTAAGGTGTGGACACACAAGCAGTCACGGATTGTCGCAGATTATAGTCTTGTCTTGAGTTTCAAGTTTCTGCACACAAGGAGACAAAAATCTCCAGTTGGTGTTTTCCACCTTGTGGAGACTTTTTAGAGATTTTACTAAAGATTCGAGTTGACCAAAACCCCTTGTTTGCTCGCATCTTAAGCTACCCACAACCTGAATATGACTGATCCTTTTTCCTTTTTTTTTTTTAAGTAATGACATTTGAAAATACAAATAGATATATTTTCAATTTTTTTACAGAATTTATACATAATGTATGCACTTTGATGCCAATATACACAAATTTAAATTTTACTGATCCTTTTTAATTTTTTTCTGCTCCACTACAAACCAATCTTCAGCGTCTCCTAACTTGCTGTGGAGAAGCGTAGTCACGGTTACGTTCCCGTTGAGGTGATGGGCTAAAATCATGATCCTTTCTCGAGCTTTTGGATCGTTTTTTACTTAAAGTTATCTCATCTTCTGCTGGGGAATGATATCGTTTCCTTGGTGACCGTTCATAATTTTCTTTATTATGATAATACTGATCTCGATCACCAGATCGTTTTGACCTTGACCTTTGACTGTCCTCGTACGTATCCACGTCTCTTTTAGCACGTTTATAATCCTCATTGTCATAGCGATCAGAATCATATTCACCATTACGTCTCTTGCTTGCATATCGTTCACTTTCATATCTTCCATTTCTGTCACTGGCATAACTTTCCTTTTTATTGTATCGGTTTTCCCTTTCATTTTCATAGTGTTCATCAGAATAGCGTTTATTTTTCTCTTTACGAATTTCACTGTCTGAATCATATCTATTTTTCTGACGCTTTTCTCTATCACCATCATCATAGCGATTGTCACTATAGTGAGATCCACCGTTTCCATGACGATCATCTCTTCCATCACTACGGCGATTGTCTCTACTGTCACTACGGCGCTTATCTCTAAGATCACTTTCACTGTAGTCACGATCACCATGTCTTTTGTTTGGATTATCTCCATGACGATAGTCACCACGATTACCATAGCGATCGTCACTATTTTTATCGTAACGCTTATCAGAGCCCTCTCTTTCCTCGCGTGAATTTTCACTTTTCCGCTTGTCCTTAATTCCTCTACGATTTTCTTTTTCATTTCCTGAGTCATCCCTGACAACATCGCTTTTCCGTTTTGATGTGGACTTAGAAGATTCTTGCTCATCAAAGTCAGCCCGTCTGCTTCGTTGTGTATCACTATTTTTGGGTGTCTGACGTGCCCAAGGATCAGTGAATGAGTCCATGACAGGTTGATGACGACGATGATGATGTTCTTTGTGTTTTCTCTTAGACTTCTCTTCTACGACAGGCTCAGACTTTTTCTTACGTTTTTTCTTCCTTTTTTCTGATTCAGATTCGGAGGAAGAGCTTTCAGAGTCTGAAAATAGAACCAAAATCAAATCATACAAGCTTTAAGGAATTTGATGATACCAGCCAATCAAACTTCGGCCCTCTCTTAAGGCTTAAAGTGAACAAAAGGTATGTTAAGTGTCAAATGCTTCACAAAATCCCAGCCTTTGAGGACAGAATTTGATTGGCTGGTGTTATCATCAAAGAGAGGAATGTTTAAAAGGCTCATCTTAAGACCTTAACTGAAGTGGCTAAATTAAAAATATAAGCTAATAAAAATTGGAACAAGAGCTTGCTCTAATTCTAATTAGAATGTACATTTTGATTTAAGATTTTTCTGCAAAACTTATTTTGCTCCTAAATCTTTTATTTTAAGTATGGTTTTGCTTTTCTCCATTTTGACATTGACCTAGTGATCCAGCCAGTCCAAAATAAAATGTCCTCAATTTTTCATTACTCTTCTCTAGTTTTAGTCTAATTGAGCATCTAAATATGAACCTACCAGCGTCAGAAGCACTAGAACTTGAGGAAGATGAAGAACTATCTGAACTGTCATCAGAACTGTCGTCTGAGCTGTTATTGGCTGCTTCTGCTGCTGCTTGCTCTGCCTCTTTCTTCTCCATCAGTTGCTTAGTGACGTCTTTAAGATGATTTCTGAGCTCTTCACTGGAAGTTTAAAAAAACATTGTAGTTGGTAAAAGTTCTACACAGACTTATGAATGGAGGGTAAAAACCATGCAGATTTTCAAAAGAGGGCTGCCCCTGCTTAATTTTGAAAAGGGGGCTGGTCGATTGGTTAGTTCTGCACGTTAGGGATTTATGAAATCAACAGAACATTCAATAAAACAGGAGTTGGTACCACTGTTTTGTTTGTTACTAACTGAACTAAGAAATAGAAATAAATAGTTTTAACTTCATGACCTAGGCTTTCTATGGGAATTCTATTCTTTAGTTGGAACAGAATTCAGAACGCGTGTGTCGAAAAAATAGGTAGGTGCAAACAAAATTAAAAATGGCGGAAGGGGCAAATAGATGGAACAAACGGCGAATTTGTCCCTTTAAGGAGACAGTTGCTGGATAAATTTGACCCCATCGATGAACGTTGCCTCAAGTTACATACTGTTTCTTATGTTCAACTTTCAAAAATATTGAATCTTGTCGTTGGTTAGAATCTGCTTTATTATTGATGACAAATGCAAGCAGTTCAGTTCCATTTTAACTTTTTTGACAAACGCTTTTTAAATCTAAAAAACCTTTACTTGTAACTTTTTCTTAATTCAACGTCAATAACGCAAAGATAAGAAACTTACGTCAAGCCACCCAGACCAATAGTGGTAAAAAAGTTGATAGCAAATCTTGTATTTTTAGGATTATCTCGTGGCATTATTCCTTCAAAATATGGCTGTAGAGACCTGAAATAATAAACAAACAAAAAACATGAACTTGCCAACTGAAAGTAGGTGTATGGTTAGGAAAATGAAAATGAAATGAATGGAGTTTAGGTCTTACTTTTCTGTGGGGAAGAATGGCAACACTAAGCACTGTGCAATGAGGGATATTTCGCCAGGATATTTAACTTTTGAGGGATCGATAATGTGCACAGCCTGTAGCACACTGGGCCTCAGTTTGTTTCCCATCTGAACGACTAGACGCTTTTTCCATGTCAGCCCCTCTTATCTATATCACTGACAGGGAGAAACCATGTTGAAAGATATTATCTCAACATTTGCCGGGATTGAACCCTGGACCTTCAGGTTAGTGAGCAAGCGTCTAACTCACTGAGCCATCAGGGCTCGGGAAATAAGGACAAAAACTTACTGATCTTTGAATCTATCATTTAGTTTGGGTAGTCCCATATATTCTGATAACTCTTGGAATAATAGTTTGATAAAAATACGACTAGCAGAGGTAGTGTCTTCTTCATTCAGGCTAATACAACACATCACCTATGGAAAATAAAATATAACTTTGAATTGGAAAGAAAAAACAGGAAATTAAAGTGATTGTAAAGAGTTTTTCTATATTTTTTATGTGTATCAGGGACATTGATAACATCAATTTGTATCATTCAAATTAAATCAGATGTCTGTGGTTCCTGCAATTCCACTAAAACTAAGTGTTTGATGACATCGCTAATTGCAAAGGGCCTTGTGAGATTAAGCATATTTTGCGATTAAAGACGTTAACAAACACTTAGATTTTGGGAAACTTTGTCTACATTAATTCTTAAAGGGATTGTAAAGAGTTTTTAAAATTTTTTTTAAAAAGGGACACTGATAGCATCAATTTGCACCGTTCCAATTTTCATTCCAACATCTGTGGTTCATGCAATTCCACTAAAACTAACTTTTATGACGTCACGAGAGGGGAGATACTGGAAGCTACGATTAATATCGATGCAGTTGCCCTCTATTGATGCATAAAACGAGTTAGTTTTAGTGAAATTGCAAGAACCACAGACGTCTGGTTGAAAATTGGAATGGTGAAAATTGATGCTATCAGTGTCCCTGATACATATAAAAAGTTTAGAAAACTTCTTTACAATCTCTTTAACTTAAAATAACATTGGCAAACTTACCCCCCAGCTGATGGCGTCTGTATATAGAAGATGAGCGAAGAATTTGGAACAGTTTCGTAGTTTACCAGTTTCTAAACGATGTATAGTTTCATATTGCTCTTTAAACATAATCTGGAAAGGTTCCACGTATTTCTTGTCCATCTGACAAAATCTCTGAAATTAAATTTAAACTCTGAATTAAGACTCTTGTCCACTGTCACGTTTTCATGAGCGTTTTAACACAGCGTAAAACACGTCAGATTATGCCTGAAAATGACAGGGTAATACGCCGTGTCCACATGAGCGTAGGCAGAGACACACTTGCAAGAGAGGAACACAACATGGCAGACGAATCAGACAAGGGCATTGAATTCAAAGCACTTTATATCTACAATAAACGGCATCATCCTGAAAAAAGAAGTCACTGGGTCCTCGTTTAGGGAATATCACCACTTAGTGAGGCAACTATTTCCATATTAGGATAAGTTTTTCATAAATATGCTCACGTGACATTTTTATTGAGATTTCATTGGCTAACGCCTTTGGATGTTATAGGCGTATTACATGACTTACAGTTTTTTAAAACACACCTATGTGGACACGGACCAATTGAAATGTTATATAGGATTTCTCAGCGTGGCGTGAAATCCCCATAAACTCATGTATGTGAACTCACTCAACTCAGGCCTTATTACAGAACTTTCAGTTTTTTAAACACACCTATGTGGACACAGACCAATTGAAATATTATAGAGGATATATGTATGTATGCCTTAAGTCTGCTTCATTTGCATCTTATCGATACTGTTTTGCTAATAAGTATACTTAATTAAAAAGTTCATGAAAGAATGAAGCTAATAGATAAAAAAAATTGCAGCCTACCTGGGCTAATAAACCAAAGAATTTTTCATATGTTCGTAACTGACAACAACAATCTAAAATCATGTTACATAGCTCCACCTGTTGATTTAAAAATATATTAATCATTTTATATTATAAATAGAATCATTATTATTCTTACTATCTTTAGTCGGCTGGTCTCACCCTGTGTTAGTGAATGTGCTTTCGAATGGAAATATTTGACAATCGCTCAATTTTTGCAACATTTGCTGTGGTTTTTTCGTAAGCGTCAGTAAGAAATTCGGAACGTTGACAAGTCATTCTCCACCTCCTTTCAAAGAACGGTCTAGTTAGGAAGCACTTGTTAAATTTCAGCGAATGTTGCATTTATTTGAATTCTTTTGTAAGCTCATTCTCAACATTTGCATCTTCTTGTTAGCTATTCGTAAAGCATTGGCAAGCATTGATAAGCATTCGTAATATTTGCGTAAGAAGAGGTCGAGGGATAACCAAGGGGTGACCGAGATGAAAATATTCACTATCCCAATGCAAATTTTTCGGTGAATTCATGAAGACACCATGCAGGGTACAATGAGGATCAAAGGATCTTTAACGTGCACAGCCTGTAGCACACAGGGTCTTGGTTCCCATCGACTGGACGCTTTTCCATGTGAGCCCCTCTTACGGTCCAGTGTGAGACTAGCATATGAGAGTGGCAGCCCATACTCATATATGAAAAGTTTTGTGCCTGTGTTAATATTTACAAAACAAAACATAACCTGGGTCCCTAATAATAATATGAGGTTTATATGCTAAAGCAAAATACGGTTGAAATAAGACAAAATTCTCGAAAATATTGAAGAGACAAAAGCCTACCTCCTGACCAGGTTTTAACTCCATTTTCAGAAGTTTGTGAGCACATTCTTCATAATCTAAACTAGATTGTATAGTTAAATATATAGTACGTCTTAAAACTACCATGTTGGTTTCTGTTGAATCTATTATAGTCTGTTTACTTTCCTTTTCTGAAAAAAAATAACCACCAATGTCTCTAAAACAGTTATTTATAACCAACACTTGTTATACAATAAAGCTTAATATATCAAAGTTATGCCACTCAGAAACTCTGCAACTCTTGTATATGAAAACTGAATATTGTTATTTCTTACCTTCATCATCGGAAGCTGAACTATCAGAACTACCTGATCCTGAATCACTTCCAGATCCTTCCTCATCTGTACTACTTTCTTCTAATATACCTGTAATGTATTCATACGCCTCGTCAAGACCTGGGCTCATATACTCAAAAACTTAACCTAAGATGACTTAAGTATTATCCAGTCATCTGATTGGTCAATCATTATCATCGATTTTAAACTTTTTATCAATCAGACCACAATATCCTGGTTCCATCTGTTCTGATTCTGCCCTTAATCGAACCGTATGAAAGTGAAAATGTCACATTCAAAATTTCCTTGTCCACCATTTTGAATTCTGTCCACTATTTTATTCAGCACATGTGGAACACATTTTGTTGATTCCATAAATCCCGAACAAGCATAACTAATCAATCGTGTGGCCCCCTATACAATTGGTCAAAAATAGCAAAAAACGAGGCAACAATCCTTATAAGTAAAAGATATAAAATTATAGGACAACCTATAGACCAACCAAAACTATATACAATTTTAATAACCATAACCAGCAAAAAACAGCTAAAACACAAATGACTTTTACATGTCAAAAAATATTAATATGAAAATTACTTCTTACCTTTTTTCAATGTTTTATATTTTTCTTCATTTTCTTGATAATTTTCATCAGCCTTGAACACGTCTGAAATAGAAAATGGCATACAAAACAGATTTACATATGCGTTATATTATGTATTGTAATTGATATTATAGATAGAAAATAAATATGATATGATACAGGGATCACGATACATATTCCGATACAAGGGTCATGATACGATACAGAGGTCACAATTATACATATCATGATACAAAGGTCATGATACCATACAGGGGTCACGACACATATCATGATACAAAGGTCATACCATACCATACAGGGGTCACGATACATATCATGATACAAGGGTCATGATACAATACAGGGGTCACGATACGATACAGGGGTCACAATACATATCATGGTACAAAGGTCATGACACCATACAGGGGTCACGACACATATCATGATACAAAGGTCATACCATACCATACAGGGGTCACGATACATATCATGATACAAGGGTCATGACTTTATAACTGTGATATTTGGTAATATAGTTGATAGAAGTGGTCAGCCACAAAGATACATGCATCAAAAGTATTCCCTTGAATCCTGCTACACCAATTTTGAACTTACTCAAAATGTCTTCTGGATCACCAGCCTGTTCTAAACTTAATAAATGTGTAAACTGTTCATTGTCTTCTACTAGATCTAACTTCTCTATCACTGCTTGGTATTCCTACAAATATTACAACAAATAACTAATCAATGAAGAGAAACACGCAAAGTTTACAAAAATAAAGCCCAGAATCCTTTTTTCTGTAGTTGCACAAGCGTATCTATAAGCGTGGAAAAGATATCTCCTAATTTTAGTTAAAACAACTCCATCTATCAGCAAACTGCAATGGCATACGCACAAGTCTTCAGGTACCACAGACTGATAGATAGATAAATGTTGTAATATTGCCTGTCTATGGATTATGACAATGAACAGTAATTATTTACCTTGAATCCATCCTTCCTAATAGCGAACATGACTTCCATCATATACTGTACACGTTTATCTATTTGGCCCTCGTGTAAAATATTTCTTAATCTGTCAAATATAGCTGAAAAAAAGATAAGTTACCACATAAAATTTACATTCCATTGTTCCTTGTTGGGTTAATGAACGAAAGGCCATTGTGCATTGAGGATATGGCAGTACAATTCTACTCTTTTTCAATTTCAAATATTGAGGGGTCTCTAACTTGCACGGCTTGTAGCAGTAGCAACGGATGTCTGGATTTATTGTCCTATTTGGTCAAACCTAGACCATTGAGTTAGACACTGGCTCGTTATATATATCCAGGGTTTAATAGATTGAGATAAAACCATCAGATTTTTCAACTCTGTTTCCCCTTGTCAGTGATGCAGGGCAGAGGGACTGACATGGAAAAAGGGTCCAGTCATTCGAATGGGATAATAACTGAGGTCCTGGTGTACCTTCAACAGTTGGAAATCGAAAAAAGAGTAGGATAATGTTGCTGCTCTGGCGAAATTTCCCTCATTGCACACTGTCTGGCATTGCCCGCTTCATTAGCCTGATAGGAGCAGTAGAGTATGATGTAAAACTCTATCATTTCATTTAAGCCAGGACACATCAATTCTTGATGATTCTAAAAACTTACCATTGATGCCTCTTGGAGAAAGTTCTGAGAGTTTCTGACCCACTTCCTTAAGGAAACCAATAGCTATCTCCACAGAGTCATCGGTTGGGGAATCTAATAACAGAGTCAGAATCTCAAGAGCTAGAACTTCATGAGCCTGTAAAAAACATAAACAAATCAAAAGTATTCAGTTATTAGCTAAAAAACTTGATGCTTTAAGCCTTCCATCACATCACTAATAAGGAAACTCCAAGGTCGCTCGATTGGTGAGTTCTGCACGTTCTAGATTCAAGGAATTATCAGGACGTTCAATAAAACATGTTGGAACACATTCCATATGTAGATGCTGACAGAACTCAATATGGCAGAGAAGGAAATAGATAGAAAAATTTTAAATATGACATATTCTGCTTCCAAACTGTTTGATTTAGGCAGAAGTGGAACAGAAGGAATCTGTTCAAAACTCACCAATCAAGTGCTACCCAGGAAAGTTGAATGAGAGGGGACACAACTTGTATGCACTGAGATTGGACACACCATCTACTTTCTCCCAAAAAGTTGACAAACACCCCGTGCTAAAATAGGCAGTGACCGAACCTATATGCTAGTATAATTAGGATCCAAGTGAAACACGCTAGTTCTTGTGAGGCAGAAACAAAATATTTACTTACAACTTGTTGGTTGACGAGATGAGCGATAAACCTGGTAGAGGATAGACACAGATTTTTATCGTTTCTACGGAAACCACGTCGAAACTGTATCACCAACCTCTTTAATATCAACTCTCCATTTTGTGGAAACTGAAAAAATATATCGGTATCTTTTGAGTCATTGATATTTGCCATGCATCTCTGTTCCTGTTATGCTGTGTATGAGGGAAGTAAGCTTGTTTCAAGAGTTTGGGCAGGAAGCTGAGCATTAACCAACCGAAATGAAAACTTCATTAAAGGGATTGTAAAGACAATTTCTAAGTTTTGTATGTGTATAAGGGACACTGAAAGCATTAATTTGTACCATTCCAATTTTCAATCAGACATCTGTGGTTCCTACAATTCTAATTCTCTGCACACTAAAACTAAGTGTTTGATGGTGTTACTAATCGCAAAGGGCCTTTTATGGTAAAGTGTATTTTGAGATTAGTAACGTCATCAAACACTTATTTTTAGTGAAATTACAGGAACCACAGACGTCTGATTGTAAATTTATTTGGAAAAACCTCTTTACAATCCCTTTAATAATCAGATAAAAACAACAGCCTCTACAGTGATCACAATAAATGTACTAACAGGGGAAAAATATTTTGGAGGCTGTTAAAAAAAATGACAGAAATAATGAGTTGCCTACCTTGGTATTAAGAATTGCTACCAATGCAGCATAGACATGAGTGAAGGTAGGTGAAGCAGCCTGGGCTTGAATTACAGATCTTGCTAATACGCCTCTATAATATACAAAATATGTTTTTAAGATTGCAATCTAAAGCATAAAATTAACAACTAAATATAAGATAGACCACAGCCATATACGCCCACCATGGCATGCGGATGGAAAATATTCAAGATTTTGGGGCAAGGGCAATAACTCTGCTACTAACGGTCGAAAATAGCTCAAATTCAAACTTGATCTATGATCAGCTCGATTTATGTATATGTATACACATACCGAATTTCATTTGATTCCATCAAACAATCTAGTTTTTAGAGCATTTACAAGCAAATGTTGACGGATGGACGGACCAATAGCGGACAGTCTTCTTTTCATGACTATGTATGCATATATGCGTTTACAATGTTATTGACTTTAAACTCTATCACAACACATCAAAAGACGTCTGGTTGAAAATTGGAATGGTGCAAATTAATGCTATCAATGCCCCCCGATACAAATAAAAAATTTAAAAAATCTCTTTATAATCTCTTTAAGCTGGAAAAATTAAATTAAAGATCCAATGACTGTAAAGATAACCTACCTTCCCCTGACAATATTTTCTTGGAATAATTCTCTCACGACGAAATCTATATTAGAGATGTTAACTTTATTAATCAAACCATTAATACTCTTCTTTAACGCTTCCCATGCCATCCTCTGATATACAGCACTGGAAAATAAATGCACTTGTACAATAGTTATTCAGGGATAAATTCGCCATCTGTTGGAACAATCGTACCATAGTAACAGAAACTGTAATTTTTTTAGCTAAGCTAATCAGTGATAGTGTTCACATCTCGCTGTTGAAATTTGAGCCTTCAAATCCATGTGCGTCCAGAATTATCCAGGTTTGAAAGTTAAAAAGACGAGTTGTCTTAGCTTGATACAATATATAGAAACACAAAGTGAAATTCCTAGTTAGAGGTATTTTTGAAGTAAAAATCTGAAGATTATTTACATATATTCAGGACCTAAATCAACTCAAAAATTGGAGAACATGTCCCCTAAATATAGTTAAGCGTATATAGTTGTCCAACTGTCTAATTTAATAGAATAAATAATTGCCATGTAACAGCAAGCTTGTTTGTCAGTGTATGGAGTAACAGCAAGCATGTTTGTCAGTGTATGGAGTAACAGCAAGCTTGTTTGTCAGAGTATGGAGTAACAACAAGCTTGTTTGTCAGTGTATGGAGTAACAGCAAGCTTGTTTGTCAGAGTATGGAGTAACAACAAGCTTGTTTGTCAGTGTATGGAGTAACAGCAAGCTTGTTTGTCAGAGTATGGAGTAACAGCAAGCTTGTCAGAGTATGGAGTAACAGCAAGCTTGTTTGTCAGAGTATGGATTCGAATTTTGGACTAATTTTTGACATAATAAAATATCACCAACTCTTTGACTGCAATATTTTCTGAATTGAATTGTCAGTGTATGGATTCGAATTTTTGACGGATGATTCTAACCGCCAAAATGAATCATTACCTAGTCTTGTCTGTAATCTGAGCTTGCATCATTCTTAGCCTAGCAGGTGGTATGTAGGCTCCACCAGTGCGTGTTAATATATTATTAGGATCAATTTCTTTCTGTGTTTTACCATCTTTACTGACATCTTTGTATTTTCCTTCTTTCTTATTATCCTCATCCCTAGAAAAATAACATAATACAAATTATATAATTACAAAATCAAAATTACAAATGCACAAAAGAAAGAATGCATTTAGACAAAATTATTTTTTTCTACCGTCTAAATTGGCTACAGGGCCACAGTGGCTCAATGAGTTAGACACTTGCTCGCTAACATGAAGGTTCAGGATTGAATGCGGGGATACTTAGAGATGCTATCTTTGAGTTTTTCAACCAGGTTTCCCCCTGTCAGTGATGAAGGTGGAAGGGGTTTTGACATGAAAGAAGCGTCTAGTCATTCGGATGGGACAATAAACTGAGTCTGTCTTCATTACAATTACATGCAAAAGAGTAGGACGTAAAACTCCATTCTGTTCATTTCTAAATTAACAAAGCCAATACAAAGCTTTCAAGTTTGAAAATAGCAGATATAATTAATATACATATAATTTATTTAAAATTGTATGAATATCAACACAAAGATGCCAAAATAATTGATCTTTTTTACTGTAAAGTCAACTTACTTTTCATTTCTCTGTTTTTCCTTTTCTCTGATCAGTTGATGTTCTTGTAATTCTCGATCATAATTATTCCTTCTGTCATTTCTATCATTCCTTCTATTATTTCTCCAGTCATCTTCTCTTCTATCTCTCCAACCATCAGACCTCCTATCCCTGCGATCTATGTAATCATTTCTTCGGTCCCTGCGATCATAATCTCTATGACGACCACCATCACCATCATCTCGATTGTGATCTCTATGTCTATCCCTCCAATCTCGATCGTCACGTCTTCTATCTCCTTGATCATCTCTCTCAGAACGTCTATGACGCTTATCATCCTCATCTTTTCGACCATGACGCCCGTCTCGTTCTCGGCTACTAGATTTACTCAATGATCGGAAGCGAGCAGGTTTGACTTTCTCTTCTGGCCAATCACGTTCTTTCCTCCAGTCTGGTTCTTCCTCTGCACTGTCATCATTTGCGTGCCGATTTTTAACATGTCTATCTTTTTCATTGTCTGATTCATCTCTCTATAAACAAAAAATTTCAGTCATAAGTTAGACAAAAAATAGAAATTTCTTGCTCAATCACCAAATGCCCTAAATACAATTTTATTTTTCATCTGATGATGCCACGTGTAAATTGTGTTGAAACATTTTGTACTAAGTGTGTAATACTATAATATAATCCCTTGTGTTTTTTTTTTATTACATGTCCTAAATATAAATATGACAGCCGCACAGTTTTGATCTCTAATCAGACACGATTGGTAAAAACTGACATACTTAACAACGCTGAATCTGGATTCTCAAAACTCTTTAAATCTTAGTTGTCTTAGGAGTGAAATTTCAAATTTATAAATTGTGAAATGAATTAACAGTAAACAACAAATTCATACCTTTTTCTTTGATCTAGAACGCTTTTCAGTTTCTTCTTCATCATTAGAATCTTCATCACTCTAAAATTTATAAATTAAGTTCATACAAACTTTCCCTAAACATGAGTTCCTCAAGCCATTGTGAGGTGGCGCTTGATTGAAGAGTTCTGAACAGGTTTTGTCTATTGCAATTCTGCCCAATCGGATGGAATGAAAGGGGATGTGGCATTCAAAATTTTTGCATCTATTTCCTACACCACCATTTTGAATTTTGTCTGCACAGGGCACATTCTGAACTCTGTTATTATGTTGATATAAATCCCAAACGTGTAGAACTCACCAATCGAGTAGCGCCAAAAAGACAAAGTAATGAAGTAGACATTTTGTTCATGTAAACTCCAGACAAATAAGGTTTAGTTTGGGCAACAGGCTTGCACTATTAGTACCGCTACCTTCCCCTTTCAGGTTGATATGAAATGAATCAAAGTAAAAAAGGGGAAAGCTGCTCAAAAAGAAACCTATATATCAAATGCCAACAAAATCTATGAGGCAGACATGAAAGTCCTCAATCTTGAAATCTTAAAAAAGTCCCCACTATTTTGTGGAATGAGAAGTATCAATACACAACCTTGCGATAAGATGTGTATTGTGACATGTCATATTGCTATATATCGATTCACAGATACATAATACTAATATCATGTGAAATTTAATTGAAAAGACAAGTTACCTGTTTCTTAGATTTGATATTAGAAACTAAACTCTTCACTTTTCTTTCATCATCATCACTAGAGGAGGACACCTCACCACTCTCAGCAGAAGAATCATTGGCGTTACTATGGTTACGGTTCCTGGCATCAGATCTACGACCTGAGCCTTTTACTGGGCTTGTGTCAGAGGTACTGGTGTCGTGTCTTTCCTTCACTCTTCTGGATGATTTCTCTGGACTTTGGTCAGTCTCAGAGTTGCTGACTCTTCTGGCACGTCTTGGCGATTGTTTTTCATGGCTTCGTCTTTTGGAAGGTCTGTCAGAATCTCTTCTGGCATCCTTTTGGGCATGATTTGATGAATGTTTTTCCCTATCTCCTCTATGTTCAGATCTCTTTGGGCTTTTAGACATCCTTTCAGTACGTCTGGATCGTCTGGCATCACCGTGTCTGTGCGTAGACCTATCTGGACTACTTTCTGAGCTCTCTGAACTAGATTGCTTTTTCTGTTTAGTTTGTAGTTTGCTTTTCGACTCCCTTCTATCAGGACTGCTTTCAGAATCACTCTCCCCTTTCCTTCTCTGGATTGGTTGCTTTTCTGTTTTTGAGTCAACTTCTTCTTCACTATCTGAATCATGCCGTTTTTGGCTGACATTTGACTGTCGTTTATCTCTTTTTGACTCAACTGGGCTACTATCACTGCTTACCGATCTTTGGGGTTTCTTCGTTCCAGGGCTCTTCGCCGAGCCACACCTCTCAGGTTTGCGTTTTGATTTATGTGCTGAATTCTTTACAGAAGAGTCAGAATCGCTATCTTCAGATGAATCTTTTGTTTTTCTCGATTTTTTCACTGGACTACTCTCTGAAGTGGAACTTGTTTGGTGTTTCCGCGATGATTTTTCAGGGAGTGATTCTCTTCTGCTGTCCCTTCCTGTATGTTCTCGACTAGAATTTCTACTTGGTCGTTGTTCATCAGGTTTCTTTGATTTATCTGGACTACCGTCTGATTTGCTACTGGAACTACTAGAGTTACTGCTCGAATCTGAACTAGAATCTGAGCTGGTGTTTTTTCCAGATCTTGATTTTTCTTTTTCCGTCATTTTCTTCTTCACTTCCTCATCATTGTCTGAATCAGACGACGAAGAATCCGAGGAGTCATGTCTCCTGTTAAAGAGAATAGAATATTTATCAATTAAAACATTCATTATCAATTTCTGCTTATCAAAGACCGAAAATCAAAATTCAGCACTGAAAATATTCAAAACAAAGGCCAAAGAAAAGAGCTCTTAACATGTATGCCATGTCAAAGTGTTGCCTCTTTTGCTAACTTCTGGTAATAAAAATCAATCGACTGAAACCTGTCTCTGGTCAATGTGAGTCACAGTCAAAAAGATAATTGAAGAGTAAACGGTTTAAAAAGGCAAAATATGGTAAATTTTGAAAGTGGAAACTGAAATTTTTTGTCAAAATCAAACGTGTTTCTCCATTTTTACATTGGTTAAAACGTACAGAAGATCAATAGGTTTATTAAATTCAATAGAAATAATACCTGGGCATAATTCTTTCTCAAAAGTTATTGTTACAACAAAATGAATTATCTTTTTTTGAAAATAATATTTTACTACGACAGGAAAACCTTGCCGGAAACTGCCATTACCGGAAGTGTAGGACCGGACATCACAGGTATTTGTTATTTTTAACCAATCAGCGCCAAGCCTCTAATCATTCCCGCCAACTTATAGAGTACAGCTGAACTTTTCGCACAAAAATTGATAACATAAAAAGTGAAAAAACTTTAAGAGAAACCAAATAGTGCCTTGTTGTGAGTATTGCAATTATTTCAAAAATTGTTGATGCATTTTCCCTTACGATTTTAAAGCCATCGGACCTAATATCACCCAGTTACAGAACTTTTTAATTTGGCAGCCACCGTATTGTTTTTGTTGTCAATCCACTGATAAAATGGCACGGTCAATCATTTACTTTCACCGGTAAAACAACCTCTCTAGTCCCTATTCTCCAATGCAGATGCATATATAAACAATTATCAGTAGATTGAGGAAATTATCATCTGTTCAAAATTATATGGGCTTCTGATTTACTATAAAATTGCAGGAATTCAATCAGATTTTAACATTTTTATTTTGCAGGATTTGGTTGTTACGATCTACTACATTGAAAAGAAATTGAATCAGATTGTCAAAACGAGCCAAGTGCAGATTGGGGAATAGCTGACAAATAAATTTGTTGCTGTGCAGTCTTTTAAGGTATGCTATTATTGCCCTCCCTTTTAAAGCTATTACTACAGGGGCATACTTAGTTTTCCAACCTGTATATTATTAGATATTCACTTTTGAAGTGATTAACTTGCCAGCACGTGATTGTGACAGGGATAAGTGAGTTATCTTTGCTCGAATGACATTAAAATCTTGTACTTTTAGATTTTAAACATGACAACCATTCAGAGAAAATTAGATTTTAAAGTTCGGAAAAGTTCACGACTAAACAGCAAGAAGTTGATTGAAGCAGAAAATGATTTGAAGAAAAGTTCGGGTCGCAGTGAAAGAAGAAAACTCAGAAGCAAGAAAAATGAGGACATTGTTTTGTCTCCTAAGAAAAGATCTAGTTCAGGTACATTATGAATCTACATGTGGAAATAATATACAAACGTAGTTGACAGCCATTTTGAATCTCTACCTCGACTTAATAGGTCAAAAAAGCTATAATACTTCAACGCAGCCTTTTGACAGGCTATAGCCCCAGAAGACAAAAGAAAAGTAACAAACCAAAGCTTGTAGGTGAAATATCAGAACCTGCAGGCTGATATAGCGTGAAACTCTGAAAACAACATGATTCAAGTTCTGTTATGAATATTTGTAACCTAGAAAAAGTAATTATACTAAAATGTTTTTAGAAAATGTTTTTAGTTGACCTGTTCTTGATGTTTATTCACATTATTTTCAGAATCGGAGCCGAATTCTCCTGTTAAACCCCCAGCACCTTGTTCACCCAGTAAAAAGAAAAAGGAGGTAGTTAAAACAGCGTCACGGGAAACACCCAGTAAATCTTCACTGATAGATAAATATCCTATCCTTTCACCACGCAAAGACAACAGCAATATCATTGGTATGTTTTTATAAAGGAATACTACCTCTTTGACTGTATATAAAGTTGAGAATCTCAAACTTGGTCAATAAGTGTACATATTCATCAGTTGGACTTACCTGATACCATGACTAAAGAAAGAATCTCTATATAAGAATGTATATCCATGCCACATTCCCTGAAAATCTGTGATAGGTATCGTATCTTGGCTTGATTGGTGATTCCCAGCACTAATTGAAATGAGATTGTACATTGGTAAGACATGTCTATTCTCTCTTGCTTTGCTAAGAAAAGTTTCCTTGCAAGCTTTGAATTTTTTTAAATATTATTTTCAGGGTCTGAAGTAAAATTGACCCAGCTGACATCTCCATTGAAAAATGGCAGAGTAGTCATCAACAACGATTTAACACCTTCTAAACGACGAAATTTATTACTCAATTCACCAATCAAAGAAAACCTTTCTGTATCCAGAGATTGTTCTCCTACAAAACGGAGGCTTCAGATGTTGAGCTCTCCTGTCAAAGAAAACCAACTGAGGTCACCATCAAAGCGTCAACCATTATTGAACTCTCCAGTCAAAGAAAATCAGCTAAGGTCACCATTAAAGCACTTGCGTCTGCTAAGCTCGCCCATGAAAGAAAATAGCCTTACATCACCAAGGAAACGACTTACATTGGCATCACCTGTAAAAGAAAATGGCGCAACACTGCTTGGGTCGCCCTCAAAATGTCGACAGATTAATTTTAATTCTCCAAGTAAATCAAAATCTAAAACCATCAGTCATGTAACTGAAGAAATCATGTCTCCTAAAATCAAAAGATCCACTAGTAAGTTCTGTTTCTTTTTATTTATTTTGATTCTTTTGCAAAAAAGCTATCGTTATTCTAAGAATACTTTTTGAGATGCCTTGGATACATTGAACCCAGCAGTGAAAGGCTTAACCTGGACAATATACTGTCATCAAGTGGTATTTAACCCCATTGCCAATGACAGAGAAATAGCTCAATCAGTACTTGGTAGGGAATTGGATTGTCGTCTGCTAGACCATTAGGTGTCTTGGGTTCGAATCATCCTCATAATAAGAAACATTCTGATGCCTATGCCAATTCTTCCGAGAGTCAACCTAGTATCGGCTTCCACCCTCTTATACCCATTGCCAAACCAGCTGTCCTGATGAGTGTTGAGTATCCAAAACATGTCAATAGCAAGATGAGCTATTATTGTTAATTAATCGTTTTGTAGATCCTGCTTACAATCTGGTCAAACAGTCGTTACACACAGCGAAACCAGAACGTCTGGTGTGTCGAGAGAAGGAAGTAGGGGAGATAACTGAGTTTCTAGAAGGGAATTTAGAAAAGAAATCGGCAGGAAGTCTGTATATATCTGGTGCTCCTGGTACTGGAAAAACGGCTGCTTTACTTCATATTATCGATGATGTAAAGGTATGTTTTTGTCTTCTGTTGTTTTCAGTTGAGCTCTAATGAAAAAAATGAACACAAGTTACTTTTAGTCAGGAGTAGACTATTTTTTAAATATTTCCAAATTTTGTAATTTTTTTTGCAGGAATCGTACCCTTGTAAAATATGTTATTTAAACTGTATGATGGTGAAAGATTCAGCGACTGTTTTTAAAAAACTCTATCAAGAAATAACAGGGAAGGCTTTAACTGGAAAACGTGATCCAACACGCAGCATGGAGAAATGTCTAACGACCAGTAAATCAAGCATGTAAGTAGACAGAAATATCCCCTTTAAACAGTGTCTAGTTTTTCTGACTCTACTCAAGCCAATAACTGTCAAACTATTTATCTGGAATAGATGCAGATCTGTTGGACTAATTTCAAGAGGAAAATTCATGCACTGATCCAAACCATAACTTCATATGTAGCCGGATAAACTGATCACTGGTAGAAAAAATACGATTGAGATACTTTCTTCAGAATTTGTAAATTTGCTTTATTGTACACTGAATGGCTTGCCTTTCTTTATTAACCTCTGAGATGCTGAAAAGTAGGATGTAAAACTCAACATTTGAAATAAATATCTCTATATTTTCAGTATACTAGTATTAGATGAGATAGACCAACTAGATAGTAAGAGTCAAGAAGTTTTATATACGATATTTGAATGGCCGACCTTGCCTAATTCTAAATTAATCTTGATAGGTAGGGAAAATTCTTTTTGTCATAGGAAAATTAAGGAGTGGTAACTTATAACCAGCCTTGAATGACTGTTTTAGTCTGAGGGACATTTTCTAACGATTATGACACATGGTATGGGAGACTTATGCTACGGGCACATGAAGAGTCTTAGTCGGTGATTTTTGTCCCCGACTACGGTCTTGTCAAGAGTCAAGAGACCAACTGTGGGACAAAAAATCTCAAGTTGGTTGTGTCTATGTCAATAAATAGTAAATTACATACTGAGCATGCAATTGAAAGGAAAATGAATCTGATTGGATGATGACACTTTGTCTTGCAGACGATAAAACAATTAGTGACAAATATCAAACTTGAAATTATAAATCCTGTTGGCAATGGGATAATCTTGTTATGGAAGCGCGAGCACACGTAAGATTCTGCTCAAGATTTGTGTTGGTAACAAAAGACTATTTGAATGCCTGCAACATAAGTGGATTAAGCAATTATGAAAATGTTGGATGAACTTTTCAGTCTAGTTTAATAAGTTTAATAAGCAGAACAAACAGTTGCCAGTTCTAACAGCTGCCAGTGGGTGTATGTTACCTTGTCAATTTTTATATCTGTCCCTGTCTAAACCACTGTATATATAATTGTAGGTATAGCCAATGCATTAGATTTAACAGATAGAATATTACCAAGACTTCAAGCTCAACCTAAATGTAAACCTCAACTATTAAACTTTGCCCCGTACAGTCGAGAACAGATAGCTACTGTTATACAAGACAGGTTAAAAAAGGTAAGGTTTATTGCTACACAAGTTTCTTGAACCTATGATATAAAGCCATTCCAATTTTCAATCAGGCGTGTGTGGTTCCTGCAATTCAATTATGGTGCATATTGATGCTATTAGTGTCCCCGAGGCACAAGTTTATTTTGATGGGACATTAGTAGGTCATTACATTACATATTCTCTGGTTTATTTGCAGTTAGAAGACTCAGGAATGTGTGTTATGGAGGCTAGTGCTATACAATTCTGTGCTCGGAAAGTGTCAGCTGTGGCTGGTGATATGAGAAAAGCTCTAGACGTCTGTCGGAGGTCTGTAGAATTAGTAGAGGCAGAAATCAGAGGTCAGCAAATTCTCAAAGCTAAAGGTAGATTTGACTTAATTATTTGAGTAGTCTAGGAACCTGTTTATTGGTCCAATGCAGAAACAATTTTGTTTCATTATTTTTCTTCGTTAGTCTCGATTGTAATCTTAAAGATTTAAACCAAGGTTGTGTACTATTGATTTTCATTTCAACCAATCACAGTGTGTCATGCAGAATCTGTCTAAATATTGACTATGAATTGTGGGATAGCAAAAACCAAAATAGCCATATAACCAATGAGATTTTGAGGCTGTCAATACTCTCTTGTTACAGTAATTCTGATTGGCTGGAGAATGGTGCATGATTGTCTGCTATAAATAGCTTGTAACGTGACCTTGGTATAAATCTTGAAGTTAGCCCGAATTTTTGCCATTAAAACGATTTTTTCACCTGAACTTTTTTTCTTTAAGGTTGTGATAGTGGTGGAAATGGCATCACTAAGAAAATTGGTGTGATGCAAATATCACGAGTCATCTCAGAAGTTTACGGCACAGGAGTTAAAACATCCAATCAGAAAGAAGAAACAGTTCCGTTACAGCAGAAATTAGTCACATGTTCGTTATTGTTGATGCTCAAAACTGGGAAAGCCAAAGAGGTTCCAATGGGAAAGGTGAGACTTTTTTCTCAAGAAGTTTTGGTCCCCAAACTTTTTCACTCATTGTGTCTAACCCCCTGGTATCCCAAGAAAAAAGAAAATCATCACAGATTTTCCAGATGTTTCAAATGCATCATAATGTTTGATGCTGCGACCCCATTTCCAGTCTTGTATTTTGCGTTTTCTGTCTATTGTAGCTTCATGAAACATATCGTAAATTGTGTGCCAAACGTCAGATAGCCCCAATTGACCAGTCTGAATTCTACAGTTTATGTGAATTGTTGGAGTCTAGAGGATTAATGGGGCTGAAGAAAGCTAAAGAAGCCAGATTAGCCAAGGTAGAATATTTTGTTTCATCTGTTTTTGATTTTCATGGCACATCTTGTTTGATTTGAAAACTTGTTTGTGAAAACAATAGACTCATAAAAGACATGTTTCAGAACAGTTCTACCAACAAGCCTGACAAAATGGCTAAGACTTGATATTGTTAGTTCACTTCCATTAAAACAAGTCATGATATGTTGGGTGGCGCTTGATTAGAGAGTTAACAGTTTCCGTCTGTTCCATTTCTGGTCTCACTTGAAGTGGAATATGTCACATTTCAATTTCCACCATTTTGAATTCTGCTTGCAACTAGTATTTGTTGGAAACAAGTGGAACTTGTTCTGAATTCTGTTTCAACTTGTTTTATTGAATTCCAAACGTGCAAAACTCACTAATCAAGCAACCACCTGTATTACATTTAAGGGCTGTAACTCTTATTCTCAGCTTGTTGGTAAGACTGAGAAGGGAATTTCTAATCTGGAGATTAAGTAGGAAAATGTGTCTTGCTCTTTGGACAGAATTAAAAAGTGGGCAATTTGTTTTCATTCATTCATTTATTCTTTCTTTCTTCTCATCTACAGGTCAGTTTAAAGTTAGATGAAAAGGAATTAGAACATGCTCTACAGGATAAAATACTCATTTCTACTATATTACAAGAGGGAATTTGAACTGTGACAAGCTTACTGGACAGGAGAAAAATTGTGTCCATTCGTTTCATTGAAGAAGCTTCCATGAAATTTTGTTTACTGAGTTAACTATCCAGCAAGAGAATTTTGATCTGGTTGTATCTCATGATGTTGACATAGTAGTGGTGGATGTCCCATACGAAGCAGACCATGCTTACAAAACACCTGAGGTACTTCTCTTTGGAGGAGTCCACTATTATACAACATATACTTTTGCCATATTGTGGAAGAGATTTTGGTTAACGTTTTGTCTTGCTTGAACGTATTTTTAATAAAACATGACAGTTACTGCACAGGAGAATAGTGGCCTGGATTCGTTTCATTGAATGAGACAATTCTGTCAGGTCCAAATACAATTTCTGTGGGGTGTTAAATTCTAGAATACTTTGTGCATTTCAGTATTTAACTATATTAAACCAATTTTAACAGGAGAAAAGTTATGTGGATTCGTTTTGTAGGTCTGCTGTGATTTTTGGAAAGTACGACAGTTAAAGAAAAATTCCCACGAAAAGAGATACATGATATTGGGGACACTGATAACATCAATTTGCACCATTCCAATTTTCAATCAAACGTCTGTGGCTGCTGCAATTCCACTAAAACTGTGTGTTTGATGATCCACAGACCTCTGATTGAAAATTGGAATGGTGCAAATTGATGATATCAGTGTTCCTGATGAACATAAAAAATGTGGAAAAATTTCTTAACAATCTCTTCAATATTCAGGAATATTTTTATTTTATTATCAAGTATAGATTTTTAGTTTTACAAAATTTCATGTTTTCATTATATCATAGCACAATTGTGATAAAATACCAAAAAAATAATATTGCTCAATTATGTAGAGAAAAGATGGACTATATTTGAGAATTGTGTATGGAAAAGGGATAGTTATAAATAGCCCTTCCTGGCCTTTGTATGTCTTGTTCTCAATTAGTATTTTGAATAGTAATAATTTTATTTGATCAAGTTTTTCAAGAATTACCAAAACTTCCAAATAATTATTTGTATTCCCTTTATGGTTGGAACAGAATTTTGCAGTCAATCCTGTGATTGGTACAAAATGACAGAGGCAGCCATTGTCTCATAATATCAACATCAACATTGGTTAAAGAAATATCGATTGCCCAATAATATACGCGCAAATCCAAGTGCCAACCGAAAATATCTTCTTTTTTTTTTGGCAATTCGTATGGGCGTAAAAAAATTTCATCAACATGGATGGGCATATTTTAGAGTGATTTTAGAATTTGCTGCAATTGTGCGCTAAAATATGCTCCTCTGCCCCCAGCATAACACATTAAAAGGCTAGAAATGCATTTGAATTCCTGTTATTGCAGTTGTCTCTTATTCACCTTGCCTACAGGCTCAGTCCATATTATTTAAGAACTCCCTTGAGAAATGTTGATGATTGAAACAGTATTGATGTATTATATATATGATAAGAATTAAATTGTTAAAATATTTAAAAAAATTATTGAAAATTTAATATTGTAAAAAAAATATCACTTAATAATAAACTCTATTTGTCTGTTATATGAGTTATTGCCCTTGATATTAACTGAGAAATCAATGCAGGTCCAAAAGATTTAAAGAGGTTGTAAGGAGGTTTTTCTCAATTTTTTATGTCTATTGGGGACACTGATAGCATCAAATCTGCACCATGCCAATTGTCAATCAGACGTCTGTGGTTCCTGCAATTCCCCTAAAATTAAGTGTTTAATGACCTTATGGCCTAGTGATTTTTTCAATTAGTGGCGTCATAAAACGCAAAAAAGCACTGTCTAAATACGCTAATGAAAATGAAGAAGACAGTTTAAGAAATATAATTATTTATTATGTTTAAAATCCAGACAACAAACAGAATGAAATATAACTAATAAGTGCATAGATAAACCAATAAATACATACACAACTACTATAGTTCTTACATGGAAGTAATACACACGAACGTAGTTCACGGCCATTTTGAATCTCTTCCTCGACTAAACAAGTCGAATTTCTAAAAAGGCTAAAATATTTCAACTAAGCCTTCAAATAACATTAAAAGGTTTTTCGAAATGGCTTAAATCTGATTTGAAGGTTAAGTTGAAATATAGCCTTTTTTAAATATCGACTTATTAAGTCGAGAAAGATATTCAAAATGGCCGTGAACTACGTTCGTGTGTGTTATTTCCATGTAAGAACTATACGTAGTTTCGTATGCCAATAAACACTCATTTGATTAAAATACAAATTCAATAAGTTATATAGACAATGGCGATCAAATACAAAGTAGGCCAGCTTCCCTCATAGCACACTGCATAACTTTCTTTTCTTGGTGAGCTATAGAACACTCACTATACTTAGGCTTATAAAAGTTAAAACATCACAGGTCAATTGCGTCACTATTTTCCTCAATGCACACTGCATAGCTTTGTCTGATTTCACAGGCCCTCCCAGCAAAAAATGTAGACTAACTATATGTTGTGCATGTCATAAATCTCCTGACATCGTTTTCCTCGTTGCACACTCAATAACTTAACCAAATGCCACAGCCTTTGTATGATACAGATCCAAAAGGGATAGACTTTTCTGGCAAATTTTTCATCATTGCACACAGCTCAGTAGGTAGGCCTAATATTAATATTTCAAACTCTTCTTGAAAAATAGGCTTATTTTTGGTCTTTTGATAACCATTAGCAATGTACTCTGAACTCAAATTGAGTCTTGGGTTTTTATGTTGAAACAAAATATTTAATGGGACAGATTCGTCATTTTTGGGGGTTGATTTTAGTCTCATATATATTTAAATAGTCTTCAGAAGTACTAGAAATATAAAAAAAAATCTCACAATTCCTTGAAAAATATCTCAAACTAGGAAACTATATTTTTTCTATATATGACAGAGTCTCAAAAAATGACGAGTCGTCTTTTTAACATTCACACGCAGATAATTCTGGAAACACATAAATTTGAAAGCAAAAATTTCGACAGTGAGCTGTGAACACTATTACTGATTGGCTTAGCTAAAAAATAATCCTGTTTCTGAGATTGAGTTACAAATTGGTCAAACGAGTGGAAAACCTGTCCCTTTTAAGGTACATTTAGCTAATATCACAGGCAAACAGGGAAAATATTTACAATAATCATTAAAACAACAATAACTATGACAGATAAACATAGATAAATTATTATTCTGGCCAGGTAAAGAGTTACTTCCCTTCCCACTGCTCTGAGTTTCAAGGGAAACATCCCGTCAAGACCAGAAAAACTTTTGCATCAACATTTAAAAGATATTAGACAAATATTGAAATCAAATCTGAACACGTACTATAATATACTATTTACATCTTCTCCTTCAATGCATTAAAATCACTGATTTATACAATTTTCAAAAGCATGTTAAAGGTATACTACCTTTGAATTGTTTATCCATTCCAAGAGGTAGTATACCCTTAATCAAAAATAGCGAATATACAGAAAAACAACAACCATTAAAAATTATACCAGCAAACATTAAAACATTGTATCACAAATATTGCACCAAAACCATACCGGATATCGGAAAAATAGTAAAAAATAATCATAAACAGTCAGCAGTTTTAAAACAGCAGAATATATGGGAGGAATGGCGAGATACCACGGCTCTTAATAAAACTAAAAATATCGTTTGAATACAGCCAGACTAATTAAAATTATACCAAACTTTCGTTCCGATTTTATTAACTTTTATTTTTAATATAACCCTTCAGTTAGGGTCTATAGACGGATCTCTTGAACTGGCGTCAAAATCAGGTTTAAACCAATCAAATTTCTGCCAAATCTTACGCTGGAATTTTGTGAGAAAATGAAGGAATTTGATTGGTTAAAGCAGAGATCATCAGGTTAAGTCAAAAGGTTATTTGATGAATGTTGAAGAAATGGCTATATTAAAAATAAAAGGTTAGAAAAACCGAACGAAAGTTTGGTCTAATTTTAGTTAGACTGGAATACAGCAAAAGTTATGGAATTAGCGGCGGGGGTAATAACGTGCCACCTTAAAAAACAAGAATGGTTAACCAAACATGTTTCCTTTTTGTATAAGGTTATATATATGGTTTTCAAAAAGTACTGTAAATTCTCCCACTTACAACATTACCCATTACCCATTAGTCAGGAGTAGACTATTTTTTAAATATTTCCAAATTTTGTAATTTTTTTTGCAGGAATCGTACCCTTGTAAAATATGTTATTTAAACTGTATGATGGTGAAAGATTCAGCGACTGTTTTTAAAAAACTCTATCAAGAAATAACAGGGAAGGCTTTAACTGGAAAACGTGATCCAACACGCAGCATGGAGAAATGTCTAACGACCAGTAAATCAAGCATGTAAGTAGACAGAAATATCCCCTTTAAACAGTGTCTAGTTTTTCTGACTCTACTCAAGCCAATAACTGTCAAACTATTTATCTGGAATAGATGCAGATCTGTTGGACTAATTTCAAGAGGAAAATTCATGCACTGATCCAAACCATAACTTCATATGTAGCCGGATAAACTGATCACTGGTAGAAAAAATACGATTGAGATACTTTCTTCAGAATTTGTAAATTTGCTTTATTGTACACTGAATGGCTTGCCTTTCTTTATTAACCTCCGAGATGCTGAAAAGTAGGATGA